CAGCTGCAGCAGCGCCGCCACTGGAGGGGTAAGGGGGAAGTGGGGCGAGAGGGGGGGGGAGAGGGGGGAGGGGAGGGGGGGGGATGGATGTCAGTGGTCCAGGCCTTCTCACAGGGGCTCCCCTCCCCTCCCCACGTCGACAGCACCCCAGGGGCCGTCGATTGCAGAGCTGCCTGCAGCTGCAGCAGCGCTTCCACTGGGGAGGTGAGGGGGAAGAGGGAGCGGGGAGGGGAGGTGGGGATTGGAATGGAAGTCAGTGGTCCAGGCCTTTTCACAGGGATCCCCTTCCCCTCCCCTCGTCTAAAGCACCCCGACTATACGTTGCCCAACTATACAGCAGACTGCCCTCATATTAAAGGAATAAATATGTCATAAGAAGCATAACTTTTGGTTACGACCATATTCGCGTTCGACAAACAACGGATTTGAACAGATTCGACCACTTTACAGTGCGACTTTATCTGCTGCTGACTAAATGCCTGTCCCGCTGGTGTCTGTAGTACTCCCAGCAGTGGGATCGTTTCAGTGTGACTTACTGTCAGGCGTCTGCTGCGGGCCAGTGTCGGCAGCACCCAGCAATGCATTCGGTTCAAACAAATCATTCGAATAAAAAGGCCACCTGACTGTCACCTGCCCGATGCACGTGACTTACTGTCAGGCGTCTGCTGCGGGCCAGTGTCGGCAGCACCCAGCAATGCATTCGGTTCAAACAAATCATTCGAATAAAAAGGCCACCTGACTGTCACCTGCCCGATGCACGTGACTTACTGTCAGGCGTCTGCTGCGGGCCAGTGTCGGCAGCACCCAGCAGCAGAGGGTGCAGCGAGAGCAGCGCCACCAGCAAACAGTCCGTTCACGCAGCTACGTGTGAAAAGGCCACCACACATCTCTGTGCACGTGACTTACTGTCAGGTGTCTGCTGCGGGCCGGTGTCTGCAGCACCTAGCAGCAGAGGGTGCAGCGAAAGCAGCGCCACCAGCAGCAGCACGAACGGCAGGTCCAACCCGCGCCTTCCTCTCACGGGTATAGAGGACGCCATCGCTGGGAGATGGAAGGGATTTGCAGAGCGAGGAATAAAACAAACAAACAAAAAAACAGCGGATAGGGAGGGAAGTTTATCAAAATATTAAGGCTGGAGCGAGAGCAACGCCACCAGCAGCAGCACGAACGGTTGGTCCAGTCCGCGCCTTCCTCTCACGGGTATAGAGGACGCCATCGCTGGGAGATGGAAGGGATTGGCGGAGGGATGGGAGGAAAGAAAGCAACGGAAACGTAGGGATGTGATCATAAGTCAAGCAGTCTAGGTTGCAACAGTTGCAGCGAGAGCAGCGCCATCAGCAGCAGCACGAATGGCAGGTCCACCCGGCAGACTCGTTCGTTTGCTTTTATGTTTGTTTCTGAAATGTCTCTGAGAGGGACCTGTGTCCGAGAGGGGGACGAAACTAATGTACATGGTGCGGTTGGTTTCCGTTACAAGCACGTTCGATATTCGTGCCGCGTTGCCATGAGAGCACTGTCCGAAAGCTCGCATTGAGACGCGTGGGCAGCCAGGATTTCACGAGCTTTCTATTCCCCGTATTCGCATGTCGAGTCGACTCAAAAGGCACTCGAGCACGAATCGAACAGCAGCCGCGTACGGCGGTTACGCGCGGAATCCGGTTCAGAGGTCGTGTACGGAAGAAGACTGCGTGGAGAGACAGACTGATACTTGCTGTCATCTAACACCACCCAAAGGCAGTCGTCAGTCGACTGGAAAGAATATGGACGGTTAAGAAAGCGCGTAAGCAGCCCGCGTGGATAATCACCTGGACGCTCGCTCCCCGCATCGTTAACCTCAGCGAACATGACATTTGAATTTCATGACATACAACATGTAAGAAACAAAACGATGCGAATAAAAACGCGTAAACAAACCGTACACAGGCGCGACCGGTTCCACACACACGATGCAGAGTCAACGTTGCAGCTTCGACGAAGAAAAATGAAAAGACGGCGTCTTTTATTATAAAGTCGGTATCGGCGTGGTTGTGGGATCAATGCTAGGGAAGGTGGTTGAAACGCTCTGCAGCGACCCGGGTCTAAGTCAGTGGTTCTGAGTTAAGGTGATTTCTAAGTAAACTCAAGAGTCGGTAAAAATGTGGTTGCCGGATCATGGCTAGAGAAAACGGCTCGCACGTTCTACAACGACCCGGTCAGCGTCGGCGGCGTCAGGCAGCCTAGCAGCGTTCCCTGAGATGGGGGAAAAATTAGTTTCGCGAGCTATTAGCAACAAATGTCGACTCGCATGGCAGATACTAGGCAGCATTATGTAGTCAAGATGCGCCAGTACGACAGACGCCGGACGATTAGAGATGCGAGGGCATGGTCAAAGGAGGGTGAGGCATGGAAATGCATCCTGCCGTTCGACCTGTCTGCGACGAATGCAACATTAGAAAACTAGGCCGCAAATCTCGCAATACCGTTCCGCGTAACATTGACATTAAGATAGCTTTGCATGTGACATTTCTCTCACCTGTCCACGTTGACAGCGGTCGGATATAGATTCCCAAAATCCGTCGCCTTTCTTTCCAGTATATCTTAGAGCAGCGAACTAGGATGGGAACCGACCAGAACTTATCCCAATCCCAACCCTAACATAGCAAATGTGGCAGGATTGAATGCACCAAACACGGAGAGGATTATTCTGTGAGTTTGTCGTGCTCCTTTGATAAATCAGGTTCTGGCCTGCTTCTGGTTCTGAATGAACCAAGATTTGTGAATGCTTCGCAGAGAGGATGAAAAGGTGGACGGGTGGGTGGGTGGGTGATGACGGTGGGGGAGGTGGACAGAGAGGGATGGAGAGGAGTAAGCGTGGGTGAAAAAGGATCTATAAAGGGATGCGGATGGGTGGGATTTAGCGGTTTTTTGAGAGGAAAGGTGATGCTAGCAAGTTGTCATGGCTGGCTGCAAGAAACCATCAGGGGGAGAAAGCTGGCATGGCAACTTTCTGGCCGAGCCTGTCGTGCTGCTTGGAATTGCCCTCGTGTTTTTCAAGGCCCATCCAACCGTCCGTGAATCTCATTGCAGGCATCGTAGTCGTCTGTTTCATCCTTGCCGTTACGGTCACCCCCAATCGGAACGAGTTACGGCAAAAATCCTTGAATTTTGATGACAGGGTCAGGAGTGGAGAATCTAGCCTTGCACACCTGGAGTCTGGGCACGCATTGGAAAAAATGAAAATGCAGATTCTGACGGCAGCCAAGGTGCGATATTCAGTGTTACCCTCACCCAACTCTCTTCGCACGGAATGATGTAACCCTTGACTCGCCAGTACAGTACGCAGGTCAGGTGAGGGATCAACCCAAACTTCGAGCTGCCCGACAACGGTTCTGCAAGCCAGCTCGCGAATGCTTGGGGTTCGGATTCGCGAAGTTTCGTCAGCCACCTTCCAATGGCTTCGCGAAATAACTGTAACCATGCGCTCGATTCTTACCATTTTCACTTACCATTCTATACTTTATTTGAATTCAGCTTTCCAGCTCCCGTCGCCTTAGCAAATCTGGAAGACGCTTCATCGATCCGCATCGCGTCCTAGTGAGACTTGCGGCAGACCACGGGGGTCTTGGCTCACACCAGAGGGTAGTTGTTCTAGGGGTCGAAAACAAGTCGTATGCCTTCCTAGCATCTAGGAGACGCGATGAGCGACACGGTGGATCGCATAGTCGGTGGCGTGCTGGTCCTGATCGCGCTTACCGTGTTCTCATACTACAGCATCTGGGTCCTCGTTACAGTAAGTATCATGTTCTCGAACGGAGTATCGCTTGTGGACAAGATCGTCTCAATACACGGCGTCTGGCTTTTTGCTATAAGTGCTCGCGTCCCAAATTGATTTATGTGCCGCTTAGTTCGACCTCCGGTTACTGTGCTCCCTTTGTCGTCGTCAATTATGACCTCCCCCGATCCATGGCCTCCTCAGCCCCGCCGTTTTGTCCAGACGGACGTTCCATCAACGCCCACTTCATCCGACATCCATGCGTTCCGTGCTCGTTCCTCTTCCACCTGCTGTCTCTCCCTTCCCCTTTCCCTATTTCCTTTTCTCCCAACAATTCCCGCTGTTACCTCCTACCGTTTCCCTCCCACCGTTTCCCACCCCTCCCCACCGTTTCCCACCCCTCCCCACCCCAGCCATTCCTTCCGGACGGCCATTTCATGAACGCGCTCTTCCTCCCACGCATCTGTGCCGTGCTCTTCCCTGTTGCTGCCACTGTTCCCCCCTCCCGTCTTCACCCACCTCTCCCGTTTCCCCTCCCGTCCCCCCCTCTCCCCCCACCAGCCGTTTCTCCCGGACGGCCATTTCATCAACGCGCTCTTCCTCCCACGCATCTATGCTGTGCTCATCCCTGCTGCTGCCTTTGTGCTTATGCTTGGCTTCGTCCTAATCTTCTTTGCTGCCGTGCTCATGGGGCAGAAGACTGGCAAAGCCAAATCCAGCTAATAAAGCCACCTTGTTGTTGCTAATTTTTACACCTTTTGGAGCCTTTGCACATCAGTGTATGCAGTAGTTGTTCGGTAGCCCGGTGTGGATTTTGTTTGCAATCAACAAAGATGTAGGTCTGCGCTGCGCTGAAATCCCTTCCATCAAGATCTATAACCCCCAAAACATACGACAGGACCTGCTTTGTTGTAACGTATTGCACAAGCACATACCTTATACGCTAGCTAGGGTTGAAAATTGCAGGTGCTCTTCATGGCAGGAAGACGTCCTACGTACTAGCCCTTCTATTGAGGGGGGAATTGTTTTCACACCTGACCTTCCTGGCCTAAGCGACAAACCAAGACAGCGAAATGCATTGACGAAACACTACCGTAACAAGTCACTCTACCACGGCATGACCCAGAGGCCGAAACGTCTTGTACTGCAGCACTAACCTATTACGCGCCATTGTGTCAATTCCGTTGCACCAAGGGGACTGACGGAACGGCATCTTTCGAGGCACAAGCAGCATGCAGTGTTAAATTTGTCACTCCCCTTGCCCAATGAGGGGCCGGAAAGCCACTCCAAATGCGTATGGGCGGGGCGGCAACAGAAACTCCTTGTGCACCGATGGAGTCCAGCTGTCATCGCCACCCACACCCATGATGGCATGATCGAGATGCACCTGCAATGGTTGTGTGTGTGGGTATGGGTATCACAGGGGGTGAGGGAAGGTCGTCAGGTATCCTGTCATTTGGTTCAGTGCACAGATGTCGTCGCCGCTCACTTCCAGGATGGCATGATCCAGGTGCACCTGCAAGGGTGGGGAGAAGTAGGGAGAGAGGAGAGGAAGGGAGTGGTGCGGGTGAGTGTAAAGCGCACCTCACCAGGAGTCCAGATGTCGTCCCCGCCCACCCCCATGATGGCATAATCCAGGTGCATTTGTATAGACGGATGTGGACTGGGGTGGAAAGGGCATATAGGCAAATGCAGATACTGGGGGCAGGAGCGGCCTAAAAGTGTCCAGCTGTTATTGCAGCCGACAACCATGATGGCATGATCTGAGGACGGAAGGGGTGGATGGAGCGTGGGAGAGAGAAGGGAGAAGGGAAAAGGAGGAGGGGCACAGGTGCTCGTAAAGGGAAGAAGGAACAGGTCCAGAACTACATAGATATCCCCTACCCAGTCCACTCACATGGTTGTACTCCTCGTCTTCGACTAATTCCTCCTCATGCTGTGCCCGATGCAGCTCCTCTGCAGAGTATCCACTCGCTAGTCACCATTATTCAATTGATTCTGAAGTCACCTTTTTTGAGTTGATCCGTGAATCACTCACATGGTTGAACTCCTCGTCTTCCACCAATTCCTCCTCATGCTGCGCCCGATGCAGCTCCTCTGCAGCATACCCACTCGCACTGAAGTGCAGCACTGGCCTCCCTCCCTCCCCAATCTCCTCACCCCCTCCCCCACCTTCCACCCCTCCATCTATTTCCACTGGCTCCATAACAAGCCCTACCAGCGGAACCTTCTGGAATACCTCCCTCCCCTTTTCCCCATCCGGCTCCTTTCTCTCCTCCCTCTGTGCTTCCACCTGTGCTCCCCCCTGTGCTTCTGGCTGTGAACCGCCATCGACTCCCTCCTGTGGTTCCCCCACTGACCCCTGTTGTTCCCCCTCCTGTGTGTTCCCACTCCTGTTTATAAAGAGTGTGACCCATCGTGTGTCGACTCTCGCCCCGTTTTCCCCAGGAGCAATGTACGGCACGTGGAGGGATTTCACCGGCAAATAGTGAAGCGCCACGTGTGCAGACTGCTTCCGGTCAGGATAACATTCGTGCGGGCCCCGCCCGGACCAGACTGCATTGGAGAGTTTTTTTGCTGCCCGGAACCGCATTCCGACGCGAGGTAGAGGTGGAAGAGCAGGGCTTGGGTCCATCCAGAATTTTACGACAACCTGCCCGTTGCCATGGATCTGCCATTCTGACTTGAGCCGGACCCAGCAGTCCACGTCAGAAATATTTTTTGCCTGCCCGGCGCTGGCAGATGCTTCAGCTTCCGCCCCTCCATAAGCCTCGACCAGATTGGTTGGGGCAGCACCAGCCTCCACAGCTCCCTCCTCAGAAATTTCATCTGCCCGGGGTCGGAAAGTTGCCTCTACAACCACAGAAACCGTTCCATCCTTTCCAATCAAAACTTTCAAGGGCTCATCATCGCCCTCTCCTTGCTGTCCCTCTTTGCCCTTCCCCTCTCCGCCCTTCCCTTCTTCGCCCATCCCCTCTTTGCCTGTCCCTGTTTCAACCCCTCTCTCTCCCTTCTCACGCTCTCCTTCAACCCCCACTCCAGGCACCACCATAGCATCCCCCACTAGGGAAATCACTCCCCCAGCGTCAGCAGCAGCGAGGGTGCTGAGACCTGCAGCCTTCCATCGGGCAGCATAGCTGGCGGCACCGCCTCCCTTGTCGTTGTCAGTGGGTGCCCTCCACAGAGCGAGCCATTGGCCAGTGACAGATGGGGGGAGCAGCACATCTGAACCGTTGATCTGAGTGAGAGAGTTGTGTGGGGGGGAGGAGGGATTCAAGGCTGAATTGGAACGGAGGAGGGGATGGGGAACCCTGAAAGGTGAGAGTGAGTTTTTTTAGAATGCTCATAAAACATATGAATTGCTGTGACTCCCTTTTTTTTTTTTTTTTTTTTTTTTTTTTGTCAGTTTCCAGATTCAGCATAAATAAAGGTAGGTGACACTCCGGCAGAAACAAGCCTCACCTTCCAGGAAAGTGCACCACCGGTCTTGACATGAACAGTGACTGCGAACGAGCCATCAGTGGATGTGACAAGAACAGATGATTGGCTGATGGGTAGAGGAGGCTCGGAGAGCGCAGGTTCAGAAATTGCAGCCTTGGCGGAAGGCTCGGAAACGGTTGAGGTGGTAGCCCCTTCGGGCAGCTTGAAGGGCAGCTGAACAGATGCGACAACCTGCCCGGGAGCGCACCACCTTGATCTCTCGTTCACTGTAGCAGTGAACAGTGCAAAGAGCTCTGAGTCAGCGCTGACATCATGTGCCGCCCAGTCCAGGTCAGCAGGGATGGGGCTGGGGATGACGTGGCACTGACGTGGCAGGATGGTGGGAATGGCGAGCGGGCAGGAGAGGATGGGAGTGGGAGGAGAGGGAGGGAGGGTGGTGGTGGATTGGGGGGGAGGAGGGAGGGAGAAGAGAGAGAAGGAGAAGAAGGCGGAGGAGGGTTGGTAGAAGCTCTTGTTGAAAACCTGGTGGATAGAAAAAGGGGGAGCGGGAAAGGGTGAGGAGGGGAGACGCAGGGAGAGGCAGAAAGTGTTAGTCGTTTCATACGGGAGGTGGTAAAGAAAGAGGGGCAAGGGCGGATATGAAAAGATTGAATGCAGTACAGAGCGGTGTATGAGGGTGGATATGTGCGACATGCTGGGAGTATGAGGGTGCGTGCGAACGTGCCACATGAGATCCACAAAACCAGCAACAGCTCTCATCCCTCTCCTCTGCACTGCATCTATCTGCACCGCACTTCATTCCTTAGAACCGCTCTGTGTGCCCCCAGATTCACAAGATTGGGTACATGTCGTACCTCAACATCACCCTGCTCCGTCCACTTAAAGCCAAAGTAGCGATACACGTGGGCCAGCTCTGATGGTGGGGCATGAACGGGTGGAGAGGAGGCATGCAGAGAAAAGGGGTGGAGCGGATGGAGAAGGGTGAAAAGAGAGGGAGAGGATACAGCATGTAGGAGACGAACCCCCAACCTTACACGGCAGGAAGCGTACCTCGCATAGCAGGGTGGGGAGTCCTATCAGGCCTCATGAGCCCGTTGATGCAGAACCTGAGGTTAGAGGCCCCTCATGACCGGTTTCACACTTACATCGCATGGAAGTGTGTGTCCTTACCTCGCATGGCAGGGTGGGGAGTCCTATCAGGCCACAAGAGCCCGTTGATGCAGAAGCTGAGGTTGGAGGCCCCTCATGACCGGTCTCACAACAGAGAGCTTACAGAGCATTGCACGGTGCTTATCGTGCATGGTAGTATGCTCACCGCGCATGGCAGGGTGGGGAGTCCTATCGGGCCACAAGAGCCCGTTGATGCAGAAGTTGAAGTTAGAGGCCCCTCATGACAGGATTCACACTTACCACGCATGGCAGCACCCTGTCCTCACATGAGATAGTATACCCACCGCGCATGGCAGCACCTTCACCTCACATGAGATAGCATACTCACCGCGCATGGCAGGGTGGGGAGTCCTATCGGGCCACACGAGCCCGTTGATGCAGAAGTTGAGAGCAGAGGCAGGGACCTCAGGATGCGGAGTCCTATCAGGGCACACGAGCAAGGAATGCGATCTTACCGCGCATGGCAGGGTGGGGAGTCCTATCGGGCCACACGAGCCCATTGATGCAGAAGTTAAGGTCATTGGGTGTGTCCCCAAAGTCTCCCCCATACGCCCAGAACCTTCCAGGATGCTTCACTGGCAGCTCCACCCCCTCCCACGGCTGCTTTTGCTGCTTCTGCACCTCTATTCCAGCTATGTTGTCACGACTTTGATCTCCTTTAGGGATTCCTGCTGACACTAATGCTGCTGATGTTGAAGCTGACAGCGCTGGTTCAGCAATTGCTGGAGCTGGTGGTGCCACTGCTGCTCCTGCTGCTTCTCCTTCTGCTGCTGTCCCAGCTGTCGCTTCTCCTTCCTGCGCTGACTCAGGTGCTGACTCAGCTGCCGACTCAGCTGCCGACTCAGCTGCCGACCCAGCTGCGGACTCAGGTGCTGATTCAGCCACTTGTGGCGCTGAGTCTGGTAGCCCAGCTTCGACCGGTGCCCCACTTGCCATTTCCTCCGCAGCACCAACAGAAGAAGAACCACCAGGTGATTCTGCTGCATCTTTGGCATTAGCTTCACTGTCAGGACTTGCTGTTGCAGCGCCACTGATACCATTGCTGGTACCACTGCTGGTAGTTTTGTTGATCTGCGTGCCGCTGCGTGGAGCCATGTCCTTCCAAAGGGCCTGAAGAGGAGGGAGAGGAGGGGCATGGCATGAAGTGGGTGATGTGGGAAGAGGCGGGGTGGGGTGGGGTGGGGTGGGGTGGGGTGGAGTGGAGTGGGTGGAAGATGTGAGACTCTTTTTTGGAAGATGAATGGTGATGAATGGCGAGTACGAGGGGAAGAGGGGGCGAGCAAGAGGGGAAATTTTCTTAGCACTTTCTTTGTGAGGGGAATGGTGAATAATGCTGTGCCGGATAAAGCCTGCCTCAGGTAAAGCCTGTCCCTGTCTCACCCACCAGATTTACCCAGTCCCAGATGAAGCCTCCCTGTAGCCCCATGGGTTGACTCTATGGCGTCCCCAGTGTGCATCCGAGGTAAAATAGGCAATGCCTGTCCCAGATAAAGCATGTCCCAGATAATGCCTGCTGGTTTTTGAGAATTCTAAAAAACCAGCTCGAATTTTTTAAGAATTCTCAAAAAGCATGTCCCAGATAATGCCTGTCTTAGTCAAAGCCTGCCCCAGGTAAAGCCTGTCCCCGTTGAAGCCTGTCCCAGATAATGCCTGTCCCATATAAAACCTGTCCCAGATAAAGCCTGTCTCACCCACCTGATCCACCCAGTCCCAGATAAAGCCTCCCTGTAGCCCGTGGGTCGACTCGATGACATCCCAATACGCGTCCAGGTTACCACTGCTGTTGCCCATGGCGTGGGCGTACCTGGAGGAGGTGGTATCCAGGTGGGATAGGGAATGGTGCATTGATGTCCATGCTTACTGTCAGACATGTCCACAGTGCATGTACACGGTGGACACTAGGTCCATGGCAGCGCCATGCATATTGGGGCAAGAAACACATGGGGCAAGAAACACATGGGGCAAGAAACACATGGTACACACTGGGTCAGTGGCAGCAGTGGCAATATGCGGTTGTAATAACCAAACTGAGCCATTTGATTCTAGCCGACTCACTCGCAGAGGATGAGAGGGCGGGTTTCATTGGGATCGGCAGCGATAGCCTTGATGTCAGGCACGCGCATGTACATGGGACACACTATGTCCGTGGCAGTGGTGCGAGGACAATGAAATGCAATGCAGCAGGGGCGAGCAGCACAAAGCAGCAGGTGGCACGGCAGTGCATGGGAACAGACCAGCCAATTCACTCACTCGCAGAGGATGAGAGGGCGGGTCTCCTTGGGGTCTTGAGCAATGGCCTTGATGTCAGGCAGCGCATGTACATGGGACACACTAGGTCCGTGGCAGTGGTGCGAGGACAATGAAATGCAATGCAGCAGGGGCGAGCAGCACAAAGCAGCAGGTGGCACGGCAGTGCATGGGAACAGACCAGCCAATTCACTCACTCGCAGAGGATGAGAGGGCGGGTCTCCTTGGGGTCTTGAGCAATGGCCTTGATGTCAGGCACGCGCATGTACATGGGACACACTAGGTCCGTGGCAGTGGTGCGCGAGCCGCCCCCCTCGTAGTGTATGGGGCGAGAGGGGTCCCTGTGACGCAACCATGCTGGATGGGATAGGGACAGGGGAAGTGGAAGGAAGAAGGGGGACATGGGAAGGATGGAAGAAAGGAAGGGGACAGGAAGGAGATGCGAGAGTGAAGGGAGGAAGAATGATTTGGAAGTGCTATGTTGCTTAATAGCCCATGTGCTATGTTTCTTTACTACAGTAGTCACAATTGTAGTATACGCCATCTCCCATACAGAGCTTGCCATTCATTTCCACACCACCCATTCACCCCACCTGCCAATCCATCGTGTGTTGCCCCATAGCCCGCCTCGTTCCCCAGCGACCACACGACCACGCTCGCATGGTTCTTATCGCGCTCGCACATGCGCATCACCCGCGCGACCATCGCTGCCATCCCCTTACCATGCATCCCTATGCCTGCCATTGCGTCATGCGTGGCCCCATAGCGCGCTTCATTCCCCGGCGACCACACCACCCAACCCCACCCCACTACACCACACTACCCATCCCACCTGCCAGGGCTTCGTGAGTTGCACCATAGCCCGCCTCGTTCCCCAGCGACCACACCATTCAACTACACACCACCCAACCGCACACCACCCAACTACTTACCTGCCAATCCATTGTGTGTTGCCCCATAGCCTGCCTCGTTCCCCAGCGACCACACGACAACACTCGCATGGTTCGTGTCGCGCTCGCACATGCGCATCACCCGCGTCCTTCTCACTCCTACCCACCTGCCAATGCATCGTGTGTTGCCCCATAGCCTGCCTCGTTCCCCAGCGACCACACGACAACGCTCGCATGGTTCTTATCTCGCTCGCACATGCGCATCACCCGCGCCCCCATTGCTGCCGCCCACTCGGGGTCCTCGGCCGGCTGCCGCCCCTTCCTGTTCAGGTGGTTGTCTGGATCGAACCCATGCGTCTCTATGTTGGCCTCGTCTACAACTAAGAGGCCAAACAAGTCTGTGAGCTCGTACCTGGGTGGGACAGGGGAGGAGACATGTGAGAAAGGAGAGGGAGAAGACAGATGAGAAGTAAGGGAAAGAGGGAAGGGATAGGGTTGGATTCATGTGTCTCGCTGCTGCCGCCCACTCGGGGTCCTCGGCCGGCTGCCGCCCCTTCCGGTTGAGATGGTTGTCTGGGTCGAACCCATGCGTCTCGATGTTGGCCTCGTCTATCACAAGCAGGCCGAAGAGATCGGTCAGCTCGTACCTGAGGGGGGAGGAGGAACGAGACAGATGAAAAGGGAAAGAGGTGCTGCTCCTTCCTGTTGAGGTGATTGTCTGGATCGAACCTGTGCGTCTCAATGCTGGCCTCGTCTATCACTAAGAGACCAAAGAGGTCTGTCAGCTCGTACCTGGGGAGTGAGAGGGAGGAGGAGTGGAACAGGGAATGTGCATGGGCTATAAGGTATCATCAAACCCGTGCGTCTCGATGCTGGCCTCGTCTATGACAAGAAGGCCAAAGAGGTCCGTCCGTCAGCTCGTACCTGGGGAGGGAAGAGGGAGGAGAGTTGGATAGATATGTGTTTCCGCATGGGCATAAGAATTCACATGGCATGGGCATGGGCATGGGCATGGCGTAGGCACGCCACATGGGCATGAGGATGGGGATGGGAATGATGATGGACAATGGTTGTTATGTGTGGCAGGTTGTTGCGAGCATGAGGTGACTTTTGAGTCGACTCAAAAGTCACATCGGCACGCCACACGGGCATGAGCATGGGGATGGGAATGATGATGGAGAATGATGGTGTGTGGCAGGTTGTTGCGAGCATGCAAACAGCGAGCTGACAGGGAGAGAGATTGGCCATTCTGCGCAGCGTACCAGCGGGAGTGGTTGGGGTAGTGGCTGCATCGCACTGCATTCACGTTATGCCTCTTCATCTCCACCACATCCTGTGAAAGGAGGAAGGAGGGGGGAAGCAGGGAGGGAGCAGGGAATGAGCGAGGGAAGCGGCAAGTTTGGTTGGGGTAGTGGCTGCATCGCACTGCATTCACATTGTGTCGCTTCATCTCCACCACATCCTGAGAAGGTGGGGCCAGGGAGGGAGCAGGGAGGGAGTGAGGAAATGAGAAGAGAACAGCGAGATGCATAAGCCCTACCTTGACCAGCTTTAACCCAACTTAACCAGCGTCGCATCACCTTGACCAGCGTTGACTCACCTTGACCATGCACTCCTCGATGTTGACCTTCCCGGTCTGCGGGTGGTGCTCGTGCCGGTTCACCCCTTTCCCCTCCACCGCCTTCCCATTCACACCTTGACCAGCGTTGACCAGAGTTGACCAGCGTTGACTCACCTTGACCATGCACTCCTCGATGTTGACCTTCCCTGTCTGCGGGTGGTGCTCGTGCCGGTTCACTCCTTTCACCTCCATCGCCTTCCCATTCACACCTTGACCAACGTTAACCAGCATTGACTCACCACCTGCGTTGACCAGCGTTGACTCACCTTGACCATGCACTCTTCAATGTTGACCTTCCCGGTCTGCGGGTGGTGCTCGTGCCGGTTCACTCCTTTCACTTCTACAGCCTTCCCATTCACCAGCAGCTCTCTCCCGCGCACCTCCATATACTGACGTATAATGACCAGCGTTGACCAGCGCTGACCAGCGTTGACTCACCTTGACCATGCACTCCTCGATGTTGACCTTCCCGGTCTGCGGATGGTGCTCGTGCCGGTTCACCCCTTTCACCTCCACCGCCTTCCCATTCACCAGCAGCTCTCTCCCCCGCACCTCCACCCGCCTCACCCCCACCCTCGCTGCCTCCACCTGCTGTGGCCGCCCCGAGGCATCTGCCAGCGTCACCACTAAAGTGTACAGGTGCGGCTGGAAGGGGAGCGGGAGGGGGTTCGGGCAGTTCAGGGACCACGAGAAGAAAGAGAACAGGGATGTGAAACAGCTCTCTCTCTCCCCCGCACCTCCACCCGCCTCACCCCCACCCTTGCTGCCTCCACCTGCTGTGGCCGCCCAGACGCATCTGCCAGCGTCACCACTAAAGTGTACAGGTGCGGCTGGGGAGGGAGGGGGAGCAAGGAAGCGAAGAGAAGTGGGTTGGGCCAGGGACCAGGGAGAAAGGAGAAGAAATGAACAGGGATGTGAAGCAGCTATAAGCCCAGCACCTCCACCCGCCTCACCCCCACCCTCGCTGCCTCCACCTGCTGTGGCCGCCCCGAGGCATCTGCCAGCGTCACCACCAGCGTGTACAAGTGCGGCTGGGGTGGTGGGGCGGGTGGGGTGTTCGAGATGGAAATTCAGGGACCAGGGAGCAAGTAGAGAAAGCAAACAGGGATGTGAAGCGGCTCTCTCCCCCGCACTTCCACTCGCCTCACCCCCACCCTCGCTACTTCCACCTGGTGTGACCGCCATGAGGGATCTGCCTAACGTCACCACCACCAGCATGCAGAGATGTGCCTGGGGGACTGGGTTCAGGGTTTGAGAGTGTGGGGTCTACGCGGTTTCAGAACTTGGAATTAGGTTCGTTCCTCACAGACAGGGCACCACATCTCATGTTTTCTTTTCACCTGATCAGGAGACCACAACACAAGTTTGTCCTTATCCACCTTGGCCTCCATCCGCACTCGCATCGTGTTCCCAATCACCACCACCTGATCATCCTTCCATCCTCCACTCCCCTCCCCCCCTCCTCCACCCACTCCCACTCCTTCCGCACTGTTTTGAGACGTCTCAAAACACGCATCGTCTTCCCAATCACCACCACCCCATCATCCTTCCCACCCTTTGGAGTCGACTCAAAAGCAACTCACCTGGTCAGGAGACCACAACACAAGTTTGTCCTTATCCACCTTGGCCTCCATCCGCACTCGCATCGTGTTCCCAATCACCACCACTTGATCATCCTTCCATCCTCCACTCCCCTCTCCCACTCCTCCTCCCACTCCCGCCCCTTCCGCACTCTTCTCGCCCGCGCCCAACCCCACAGCCTGGAAAACCGCTGCTTCAGGGAGCCTCAGCGCTTCTAAGTCATCCTTTTCAGGGTCTTTAGGAGGGCGGGAGGTGGGGGACATGGGGACTGAGGAGAGGGAGGGGGAGAGGAAGGAGGAGGGATCAGAGGAGGGGGAGGAGGAGGAGGAGGGAGAGAGGAGGTGCTGAGGTGGCGGTGACGGGGGAGAGCGCCACGCGTCGAAGAGGTAGGCCTCGACGTGACAGCTGTCGAGCAGGGATTGGATGTCGCAGCGGGGCCAACCCTCCAGCAGCACCTCTAGCTGCGCCCTCGAGAGGAGGGGAAAAAGGGTAAGAGGGGAAGACAAGGAAAGAAGGGAGGAAAGGAGGAAGGAAAGGGAGGATGTTCTTGAGTTGATTTTAGAAAACAGCCATCCAGAAGATCCTCTAGCGTAGCTCTTGGGAGGAGAGGGGAATGGAGAGAAGGAGAGGCAGAGAAAGAGAAAATGTGCTGTATTTATCACGCTTACTTAACGAAGGACCATTCGAGAAAGAGAAAAGGTGGGAGAGGAAGACGCCCACCCTCCACGCACCCACCTTCCGTGCACCCACCACCACCTCAGCACCCACCCACACTCCACTCTTTACGCACCATGCACCATGCACCATGCACCATGCACCATGCACCATGCAGCTGCAACCATCGTACCTTCAATGTGGGGGACTGCGTCGTCCACATCAGTCTTCACCTCCAAATACGCATCAGCCAACCACATACAGCCGCATCATCCTACTACAGCCCCTCCATGCACCCACAATGCCCCCCATGCGCCATTCACAGTGATGTGAATCATGCTGCACCAGCACATCTCACCTTCACCGTTGCAGACTGAATGTCATCAGCCACTTCAGTCTTCACCTCCAAATCCGCTATGTGCACCTGAGAGGGTTGACAGTGAGGCCAGAGATGAGGGTTACGTTGAGGCAATATCACATACATACATGGTGGAGAGAGAGAACTGAACGGTTGTGGCAGAGTATATCGAAATCACTTTTGAGAATTCTCAAAAATGAATTCGATATAGCCGGTTTACGTTGAGGCAGTATCACATACATACATGGTGGAGAGAGAGAACTGAACGGTTGTGGCAGAGTATATCGAAATCACTTTTGAGAATTCTCAAAAATGAATTCGATATAGCCGGTTTACGTTGAGGCAGTATCACATACATACATGGTGGAGAGAGAGAACTGAACGGTTGTGGCAGAGCAAAGAGCACAGTGAACCGAATTCCATAGGCATATAGGATCTCGGATCACTGGATAACAAAAATCACATGTAATCGAATCTCACCTGCGGGCGGCACAGCAGAGTGACATCACGGTGCATGCCAGACAGCCACCAGTGGTCCTGGTCCTCCAGATACGACCCATTGCTCCACCGCACTATCATCACCGCCAACACATTCTCCCCTTCCCCTTTCCCCTCCCCATCCCCATCCCCAACCCCCTCCCCCTCCCCCTCCCCCTCCCCCACTCTCTTCCCCTCCCCTCCCACCCGCGCTTCCCCCTCTGCTTCACGAGTCTTTTCCTCCCGATTCTTCCCTTCCCAATTCTTCGCCTCAAAAGTGCCCTCATCCCCCTTTTCCTTCCCGCGTGTGATGCAATAAGGTGTGACGTTGAACTCAGCAGGCAGGCGGCTGTCCTGGCTGTACCCCACGTAGTGACCGTTCAGCCACACGTGGATGGCGGAGTCCACACCCTCGAAGCACAGCGTGACGTGCTGGCCTGCCAAGGGATGTGTGGCATGGCATGGCAGCATTAACAGTGGATGGGGGAATGTGTGAGTGGGAGGGGTGCGGAGTGTTGAACTCAGCAGGCAGGCGGCTGTCCTGGCTGTACCCCACGTAGTGACCGTTCAGCCACACGTGGATGGCGGAGTCTACTCCCTCGAAGCACAGTGTGATGTGCTGGCCTGCCAGGGGGGGAGGGTTCGCAGGGGAGGGGGGGTGAGAGACACAGGCGGCTGTTTGGCTGTACCCCACGTGGTGCCCGTTCAGCCACACGTGGATGGCGGAGTCCACTCCCTCAAAGCACAGTGTGATGTGCTGGCCTGGCAGGGGGGTTGACGACAGCAGGGAGAGAGGGAGGGGGACGCTTGAGCGGAAGGTGCCACACGTGGATGGCTCCCTCAAAGCACAGCGTGACGTGCTGGCCTGCCAGGGGGTTGATGACAGCAGTGAGAGGGAAGAGAGGGATGTGTGAGTGGAAGTTGGTGACTGTTTAACAACATGTGGATGGCGGAGTCCACTCCCTCAAAGCACAGCGTGATGTGCTGGCCTGGCAGGGGATGTGTGGCATGGCATGACATGGCAGCACCGACAGTGGAAGGGGGAATGTGTCAGTGGGAGGGGTGCGGAGTGTTGAACTCAGCAGGCAGGCGGCTGTCCTGGCTGTACCCCACGTAGTGACCGTTCAGCCACACGTGGATGGCGGAGTCTATACCCTCAAAGCACAGCGTGACGTGCTGGCCTGCCAGGGGGGGAGGGTTCGCAGGGGAGGGGGGGTGAGAGACACAGGCAGCTGTTTGGCTGTACCCCACGTGGTGACCGTTCAGCCACACGTGGATGGCAGAATCCACTCCCTCAAAGCACAGCGTGATGTGCTGGCCTGGCAGGGGGGGGCATGGTAGTGAACACAATGGAAAGGGGGATGTTTGAGTTGAGGGGGGTTGAGGAATCGGTGTGTTGAGTTGCAGGCAGGCGGCTGTCCTGGCTGTACCCCACGTGGTGCCCGTTCAGCCACACGTGGATCGCGGAGTCAACTCCCTCAAAGCACAGCGTGATGTGCTGGCCTGGCAGTGGGGAGAGACCGAGGGGATCCGGTGGGAAAGAGAGGTCTCTGAGTGTTGAACTCGGCAGGCAGGCGGCTGTCCTGGCTGTATCCCACGTAGTGACCGTTCAGCCACACGTGGATGGCAGAATCTACACCCTCGAAGCACAGCGTGATGTGCTGGCCTGGCAGGGGGTGAGGGTTCGCAGGGGAGGGGGGGTGAGAGACACAGGCAGCTGTTTGGCTGTACCCCATGTGGTGCCCGTTCAGCCACACGTGGATGGCGGAGTCAACTCCCTCGAAGCACAGCGTGATGTGCTGGCCTGGCAGGGGGTTGATGACAGCAGGGAGAGAGGGAGGGGGACGCTTGAGTGGAAGGTGCCACACGTGGATGGCGAAGTCCACTCCCTCAAAACACAAAGAGTTTACCTGACCAGGAGGCGGGGAGGGAGAAGCGGCGGCGGTAGCAGGCAGTGGGGTTGTCGGTGGGGACGAAGGGCGGCTGGGTGGGGAAGGGGTACTGGATGTTGGTGTAGATGGGCGGGTCCTGCACCTCCTCTGATTCCCATGGCGTTGCTGCTGCTGGCTGTGCTGATGCTGCTGATGGTGTTGCAGAAGGTGTGGGTGGTGACGATACTGTTGAACCTTCAGCTGCAGCTGCAGCTGACGTTGTTTGGTCACTTCCCGCTTCAGCTGATTGCTGCTGCTGCTGCTTTTTCTGCTTCTTTTGCTGAAGCTGCAACTGCCAGTGGGATGGGACTGCAGGTGGGGCAAGGAGGGGGGAAGGAGAGGGAACGGGCAAGAGGCAGAAAGAACTTGATGGAGGAGGAGAGAAGAGGAAGAGCGAGAAGGAGGGAGGGAGGGAGGGAGGGAGGGAGGGAGGGAGGGAGGGAGGGAGGGAGGGAGGGAGGGAGTGAGGGAGGGAGGGAGGGAGGGAGGGAGGGAGGGAGGGAGGGAGGGAGGGAGGGAGGGAGAGAGGGAGGGAGGGAAGGAGGGAGGGAGGGGGGAATGTTCGTGAAAAAGGAGGACCGTACACGTGAGTGGCTGGCTGGTATTGGTATAGGGTAAACCTGCAGTGACAGAATAATGCTTAAGAATAACCCTGAGACAACCACATCTAGGGAAACATTTACCTGGGTGTGTGGACCAATCAGAGTCGTTGAATCCAGGCGAGAAGAACCCCTCGGGAACTTCCTCAGGCCTCGGGAACAGCCGGAACCTCCAGGAGCCGCTCAAAGAGGTGACACGTGGCAGCCCGTGGACCCACCACCTGGCGCTCCGTACTGCCGCCACGTCAGCGCCAGCTCCAGGCGCCCAGGTGGCAGCATCTGCTGCCTCGAACGTGGCTGCTCTGTCTCGGTGGTACCAGAATCGAAGGGCGTCTGATGGGGCATTGGGAGGGAGGAGGAAGGGGAAGAATATTCACAGTATGTGCTATGAACAGGATGATTTTCTGAATATCCAACGTTGAACGTCGAATACTAAACGTTGATGATGCAATGATGATCAACACTCATGCTGCGAACATGCAATCTTGAACAACTAATCTTGACCATGCAATGTGGCCGAAAATGCCCTGGACGGCATCACATGTCACTTGTAATCAGCTGTACCGTCGACGCTCGCATGGGAGTGCAGAGGCACGTGAGCTCTCTCGCGCTTGTATCCAAACATCGCTTGATCCTCCCACCACCGCCCGCGCAACACCTCCGCCACTCCTCCCCCCATTCCGCGCAAATCCCCAGATTCAGCGCCGCAATCTCCGCCAATGCGCGAGCTTTCCCCCGCAACTTCCCCCGCGAGCACTATCGGAGATCTCCTTTTGCAGGTTTTCGGGCGTCCGTTTGTTCGCAGCGATGGGAAGCGCGGTGACTGCGAGACGAAGAGGCGCGAAGGACGTGAACGACAACGGTGTAACGGTGCCGGATTTGTCGCCGGATTCGCAGATGGCTGCTGGAAATTTTCAAGATACACCAAAGCGAGGGGACGACGAGCGTGTAACAATGTGGGATTCGGTGTCAGATGCACGGAGCAATGCACGTGGCAGGTGCTCCAGGCAAGGAGCATGGAGTTGCGTTGCGTGCTGATATGCGGATTTACAGAGAACGCGAAAATGACACTATCTAATCAACAATCTCGACCAGCCTCCTCGGCGAGGAGTAAATAGGCAAGGAATGAAGAGAAGATGCAGATGGAAGGATGAGGAGAAAGACAGGTTTGTGAAATGTTGGCATGGCAGGAATTCATGGAGGTGAGTTTGTTTTTGACAAATCAGGTCCACATAACCCTCTTGAACGTTTCCGAGCTCACTGAACCGTAATAAACTCCAGCTTCTATCTCCAGCTTCTGTCTGAATCCCTGGTCTTGTTCGGTAGGCACCCAGGGAGAGTGGGCCAACTCGCACTGGCGAACCCTTCGTGAGGCTTCCTAGCCTCGGGCCTCAACTCGCACTGAAGGCACCTTCGCGTTTGATTTCGCGAGCTTGCGCGACAACAGCGAGGTAACTTCAACCCTTGGAAAAACCGCCCTACATCCGAGCTGTCACTCGAATTGGTGATGGCCCATTACAGGGGGGGACCCTGAAGTGGACTCGGGCTTGTTTTTGCCAGGGAAAGAAATTTCGTTTGCAGCTTCGTCAAGGCCAGTCCCATCGCACTCAGACTAGCAAATTAAGGCGTTCGGTAGCAAACTCTAACTGGGTAGGTTCGGTGTTCTACTAACGATTTAATGGGCTTTAAGCATTTTCACATTCGAGCTGGGGAACCTGCGCTGAGCCATCCGCAGTCGGACTAAGCAGCCTACCGAACAAGGCCTCTACCTCCTGTCAGGAGGAAATGGAATCTGCTAGTCTAGCGGCCCTCTTTCGAAAATCTCGAGGTTGGGTTGGCTGGTTGGAACGATGGCTTTCACCATTCACAACAGCGTTCGGAGTTTTCAAGGAACGATATCGAGATGCGGCCTTGTTCGGTAGGCACCCACTCGCACTGGATTCACTCGCACTGACGAAACCTTCGATGAGCTTCCTAGCCTCGGGTGTCCACTTGCACTGAGAAGCACCTTCGCTGCTGACTTCAAGGAATTACGAGACAACAACAAAGTAGTTTCTCCCCTTGGGAGTGAGCCGCACACCCCCTGTAATGGGGTGCAACTACACTTCGACTAAGTTTTGCCTGGGGAGGAATATTCTCGTGCGGCTTCGTTGCTTGCGGTCACACCACAGTCAGATTTGCAATATGTAGCGTTCGGTAGCCATATCATACTGGCTAGGTTCGGTGTTCTTATACCGATTTTGTGGGCTTTAAGCAAGAAATTTTCGAGCTGACGAAGCCACAGATCCCCTTCGGCAGTCCGATTGGAGGGCCTACCGAACAAGGCCGTTCTTGTACTTCTAATTTCATATTGTTTCAATATATGCAGGGTTAAATTGTAGGATCAATCATTTATGCAGTTCTTGGACGACTGCGCGTTGGCATAAACCTGTACGACATAAGCAATGCAAATCGTGAAGTTTTCTACTGGGGTGCAGACTTATTTTAATCTGTGTAGGCACACCACATCGCACTGATATTCTCTTTTTGTTTCCTTGGAAAAGCAGCAGTAGCAGCAGCAGCCTGCTGGGAATGAGACGGGACATGAGCTTTACAACGACATGTACCGGTAGTAGCTTGTTTTTTGCACAAAAATACTTACTCGGTAACATGGATTACAGCAACATAGACTACAGTAACAGTTAAAGAAGATGTTATTGCCTGGATGTGGCAGGCTGGATGTGAATCACAGCCTGGATGCCATTCCTCTGGCAAGCTCAGCCCTGCAACCCGTACTGCCTCGCTGCTGCTGCTCCCGGTGCTGCCCCAGCTGCTGCTCCTTCTGCTGCTCCCGCGGCTGCCCCCAGAGGGAAAGGGCGTTTTCAAGGAAGCCTTGCAGTGCTGTGATGTACTCGTGCCTGTGGTGCCGCAGATGGCCTGGCAGCAGCGTGGTGATCGGGGAGGAGGGGAAGAAACGGCAGATTGATGTGTTTTACACTTCCCAAGCAGCTAAAGAGGCCCCTGGGACCTCTGTGCCTGTGCTCCTGCTACCCCTAATCCCTTCCCCACTCACCAACATGCTCCGATGCGCTCCACTTCACCTTCCTCACTGCCACTCCCCTTGCCCCCACCTCCTGTTTGTAGTTGTGAACGAACTTGACAACAACCCTGGGATCCAAACCTATCCACCTGCTATCCCCCACCCCCCCACTCACCAACATGCTCCGATGTGCTCCATTCCACTCTCTTCACGGTCGCACCCCTTGCCTCTGCCTCCCTCTCATACTTGTGAATAAACTCTATGGGAGCTAGTTGGTCGTCTGTGCTGCACAGCAGCAGCACCGGCGACAAGGTCTGCATAGTGGGCAGGCAGGCAGGCCGACGGGGCATAAGGGATGGGTAAAGACAGATGGGCCATGCGGGTGGAAGAGAAAACTGAGAGGCTACGCCCTGCAGCGCCTTGTGCCACTGCCTCCCTCTCATACTTGCGGATGAACCCAATGGGCGTCAGCTGGTTGCTAGTGCTGCACAGCAGCAGCACCGGCGCCATGGGCTTCATGGGAGGGAGCAGGCAGGCAGATGGGGATGACTTAGAAGAGGCGATGTGATTTTAAAGTCAAGCTCAGCTGTTCATCCGTGCTGCATAGGAGTAGCACAGGCGCTAGGACCTGGATGGGGGCATGCGGATGGATCTGGCATAGGGGATGGGGCATGAACGATGAGAGTAGGATCTCTGATCTAGGAGGGAAATATTCAAGGAGCCTGGTTGATGACGACACACACGGCACACAATGGAGGGCTGTGGAGATGAAAAAGAAACATGGAAGGGAGCAAGAAGCAGCACGCTGCCCGCTGCCTCTCAAACTCGGGCAGTGGAGGAGTGTGGTCCACTGTGCTGCCCGCTGCCTCTCAAACTCGGGCAGCAGCAGCCAGTCAAGCAGCATTAGGACCTCTACAACCTCGCAAGCTCGTACAGGGCATGGCAGGGAGCAGCAGGGGGCAACACCTACCGAGCACTGGAGGAGGGTGGTCCACTGTGCTGCCCGCTGCCTCTCAAACTCGGGGAGCAGCAGCCAGTCCAGCACCACAGCCGCTGACCGCACCAGCGTGTGCCGCACCACTGTGTGACGTATGGATGCATGTACCCAACAACCCAGAGAGCTCTAGAATCTAGCCAGTTTTTCATAGACACCTACCGAGCAGTGCAGAAGTGTGGTCCACTGTGCTGCCCGCTGCCTCTCAAACTCGGGGAGCAGCAGCCAGTCCAGCACCACAGCTGCTGACCGCACCAGCGTGTGTCGTAACGAGCTGGGCTGCTTGGCTGTTGCCACTGCTGAAGCAGCAGAATCAGCACGAGTAGTAGCAGGAGAATCAAGAGCAGGAGCGGTAACAGGAGTAGCAGGAGCAGCAGGAGCACCAGCAGAAGCAGGAGAAGAACCCTGCTTCTGGGAGGGTGGTTGGGCAGGAATGGATGGTTGGGAGGTGGCCTGCGGTTGGCCAGTTACCGGTGGCGGTTGGGAGAGAAACCTGACGCCTAGGTCTGATGTGAAGTCAACGGGAGAGGAGTCAAAGACCTGCCCGGCGTAGCACTCTCGGAGGAGCGAAAGGAAGTGCCGGTGGGAGGCGGAAACCTCGCCTTGTGCCTTTGACGGCAGCGCTGATGGTGGGGGAGATGACGATGACGGCACTGGTGCTAAAGCTGCTGCTGCTGCCCCTGCTGTACCTTCGTCACGATGATTCGACTCTTGAGCGGATGTGGAGAGCAGAGCCTGCAGAAGGTTAGACCAAGAATCGGAACGTTACCAGCTAGGCCGACAGTCCAAAAATGAATGTCACTGGAGAATATGGATGTGACAGGGACAGCACAGGGGACACTTTTGAGTCGACTCAAAAGTCACCTCAGAATATGGATGTGACAGGGACAGCACAGGGGACACTGAGTTAGGCTGGTGTGCATTTTCTGATTTTGCCCACAGAGAAAACGACAAGAACGCCACTGTTTTAGCCTACCTCCATGATCTTCCACTGGCACGCCTTGTACCCTCCAGAAAACGACATGAACACGACTGGCCGTGGCCGCCCTGCAAGCTCCTGGGCGGCAAGGCAGGGAGGAGGACGGTAGGATGCTGAATTGCAGGGCAATCAGACAGGTGCAAGGTGCAATTTTTTGGCGCCTCATAAATCAACTCAAGGCAGGGAGAAGGATGATAGGATGCTGAATTGCAGGGCAATCAGACAGGTGCCAGGTGCAGGAGAGATCGTCTGTTGCATGCTCATATTCTGCTCGGCACGAAACAGCGAGATGAGTATGTAACAGAAAATGCCTTGTCATGTACCTTTGCTAGTTCACCCAAAACTGCTCTTGCCAGTGCTTCTGCTCTCCAGGGCATCCATCTGATGGATGCCGTGAAATGTGAGAATGCGGAGTAGGGGAGAATGAAGGGGAGGAATGCGGAGATGGGAATCAGGGGAGGAATTAGGGGAGGACTGGACTGCTCTTGCCAGTGCTTCTGCTCTCCAGGGCAACCATCTGATGGGATGCCATGAAATGTGAGAATGCGGAGAGGGAGACACTGAGGGGAGGGGGAGAGGCGCCTCAAAAGCGACTGAAATTGAGTGTTGAGGCGACTTAGAAGTTTGCTCTCTAGTGCATCCATCTGATGAAATATAGTGAAATTTGAGAATGCGGAGAGGAGAGACACTGAGGGGAGGGGAGAATCAGAAGACGGGGAGAACGATGAGAGGGGAAAATGCGAATCTTTTGCATTACAGGTGAAGCAGTGGAGGATGGCAAGCGAGGGCATCCCATCCGCATTCGTTGATCACGCGCAGATATGCAGCCAGTTGCCGTTGCGTGCTCTGCATCCACCCCATCACAACCACTATCGGCCTCAAGCTAGTACAAGTCCAACTAGCGGAGCGGAATCGGTCTGCAACTTCTGGAACGGAACTGTAACGGCTAGAATGCGGACGGAATCCGACTAGAGCAGCCGGATTCTGGCTGCAAAAATCGGCATTGCATTCTCCCTGATGTGCTTCTGAGCCATCGATTCGTGATCTGCTGCTATCGCTTCGGGAAGCGAAAGCGGCGTGCGCTGCAGTAGGACCGTCATTGGCTCGACCGTTGCGTTTTTGTAACGAATGCGCGGTAGGTTCGGACGGAATTGACAACGCTGTTTGATCGGAGCTCGTCTCTCGAGCAGTTGAAGATTGGGAAGTTGATTGTTCATCGAGTCGAATTGCTAAAAATTTTCTGAGACTCTGCAGTGTCTGGAATGGAGGAGCTGACTGGCTTGTTTGCGACTCGGCTCCAGTAGATGAGAGAATTGCTGTCCCGTGTCGCAGCCATTCCTTCCTTATCCTCAACTAGAGCCTCTTTTCCCCAGTGTGACAGGTTTGGGGATTGTTATTGTTTATTGCCTAATTAATCCTTGTATATCGTTCTAGATTGCAGCGCAATCAACGGAACCGCAGTCAAACGTACAATGTTCACACCCGACACAACAACCACATCTGGTCTAGCGAGGTCGTGTTTTGAAACCCAGATCGGGCGTACCCGAGCTTCCGAAAGGTGGTTATCATTTCATGTCTGAAAGGATAAATGATTATTACAAATTCATCCCCTGTCATGACCCAACAACACAACCGACGCAGATGTGTGTCCAAACCAAATAGATTCCGAGTTTCCTGTCAGAACACGACCGAGAAAGCTTCGAGAGTGTCTTTCTGAATCTGAAATCTGGATGCCTCGAGAATTGTTTTCTGGAGAGCTGTTCCGCAGGGACCCTTGACATTCCAATCCAGCTCAAGCCTGCCAGACCCATCATATCGCCATAACTTCCTCGTCCACGACCATCTCCATTTTAGGTTGATCCTCATTCTTAGTTGACGACCATTGATGACGTCCATTGTTAGTAGACTCCTTCTCAGGATGCACCTACGAACGGGGATCTAGTAATCCCCTGCTTACTTGATTTCTGCTGGAAAGCCGTGATGAGCTAGATACGGTGTTTCTAGTCATGCCGGGATATTGTTTTGGTCGCGGAGATGGTAAGAGAATTCATGGATTGCAACGGGTTTCAACAGCTGCTGTCCGTGACCTTTTTTGAATAACGTTTTAATAGTACCTTTCAATAGTCTTCCGTTTCACCTTTCTTCGCTTGCCCTAGTTTTGTTTCGTGTGATCAAGTATAGTAAACAGCACAGCCATCCGACTCGCTTCATCCCATACACCTTAATTCCGCATAGGCATCTGTGACGGCGATCTACAGTACTCGCTTCAGCTACCATGATAGGGTTAGGTCAATACACGGCTCTGAGCCTAGCCGCCTTGCTAGGAGTAGTCTACCATGCCTTCTACACGCGGGAGCAGTTCTTCCCAGCCATGCTCTACCTCTCCACCTCGAAAATCTGCCTGGTTGTCATGGGGAATATGGCCTTCGTCATGCTTCTACTTCTCGGCCGTATCGTCAAAGCCATTTTCCTCGGAAAGCTGCGGGAAGCTGAGGTCGAGAGACTACACGAGCTGTCGCGACACGAGATCATGGAGACGTGTCTCGCGATGACGATTTTCCGGGAGGAATTCACCTTTTCTTTCGTCGGAATGTTTTCGACCCTTCTTTTTGTGAAGATTTTCCACTGGCTGGCGCAGAAACGGGTGGAGTATATCGAAACGACGCCTGCAGTATCGCGGCTTTCGCACATCCGGATCACCGTGTTCATGGTGCTGCTACTGGCCATGGACTGCGTGCTCGAATTCCAGGCGGTCGCGTACCTTCTGAAGACTCGCTCCGCTTCAGTCCGGATCCTCTTCGCCTTTGAGTAAGATTGCCGTTTTTTTCTTCTTGTATGGCGCAAAAAAATCTGCGTGCTCGAATTTCAGGCGGTCGCGTACCTTCCTTCTGAAGACCCGTTCCGCTTCAGTCCGGATCCTCCTCACCTTCGAGTAAAATTGCCGCATTTTTTTCCTCTGCGTGGCGCCAAAGAATCTGCGTGCCACCAAAGAATCTGCGTGCGCGACTCATAGTCTTGCACTTTCTGGAAACTCGCTCCGCTGTTGTCCGAATTCTCTTCGCCTTGGAGTAAGCCAGGGTGAGAGTACGTGTTGTACACGGTGACGGAGGGGCAGTGGGAGCATAAGCTCTCATGCATACACCGTTGAGAAGGCTGCAGTCTCACCCTCTTGTGACCTTGTAACATTGTAACACCGCAGGTACTTCATCCTTGCGTCTGCAATGCTGGCGAACATCGTCAAGTACGTGTTGTACATGGTGGACACGGTGATGGAGGGGCAGTGGGAGCACAAGGCCTTATACACCCCACTGACAAGGCTGCAATCTCACCCTTTAAAACACTGTAACACCGCAGGTACTTCATCCTTGCGTCTGCGATGCTGGCAAATATCGTCAAGTACGTGTTGTACATGGTGGATACAGTGATGGAGGGGCAGTGGGAGCACAAGGCCTTATACACCCCACTGACAAGGCTGCAATCTCACCCTTTAAAACACTGTAACACCGCAGGTACTTCATCCTTGCGTCTGCGATGCTGGCGAACATCGTCAAGTACGTGTTGTACATGGTGGATACAGTGATGGAGGGGCAGTGGGAGCACAAGGCCTTATACACCCGCTGACAAGGCTGCAATCTCACCCTTTAAAACACTGTAACACCGCAGGTACTTCATCCTTGCGTCTGCGATGCTGGCGAACATCGTCAAGTACGTGTTGTACATGGTGGACACGGTGATGGAGGGGCAGTGGGAGCACAAGGCGACGTACATCTTCTACCTGGAGCTCGTGAAGGACCTCCTGCACCTGCTCGTCTACCTCGCCTTCTTCTCCATCATCTTCATGTGAGCCTGTCCTCTTCGGTTGCGAGAGAGAGAATCTACCTTTGTGCGAGCAATTGGAGCACAAGGCGACGTACATTTTCTATCTGGGGCTCGTGAAGGACCTCCTGCACCTGCTCGTCTACCTCGCCTTCTTCTCCATCATCTTCATGTGAGAATTTGAACGCGTTTGTGTAAGTAACTCAGTTGATTAAGTTTTCAGAGGAAGGAAATGGTCATGCTGATTCACTTACCCACGAGCCGCTCCGCTCTGTTGATTTGTGTTCTTCACCTCCCTGTTTTGTGCCTCCTCCTCATCCCCTCCCCTCAGGACGTACGGCCTGCCCATGCACCTAATCCGCGACCTCTACGAAACCTGCCAACAAGCCTCACTCTTCTGTTCCTACCCCTTGCGCCCCTCCTCGTTGCTCCGCTCCTCGTTGCTCCCCTCCCCTTCAGGACGTACGGCCTGCCCCTGCACCTCATCCGCGACCTCTATGAAACCTTCTTTGATGTCTCATGCTTGTCATTATGCTGTTTCCTGCTCCCCTCGTTTCTCGCCGCCTTGTTCTCAGGACGTACGGCCTGCCGCTGCACCTAATCCGCGACCTCTACGAGACCTTCCGCAACTTCCGCATGCGCGTGGCAGACTTCATCCGCTACCGCCGCATCACATCCAACCTCAACGAGCGCTTCCCTGATGCCACACCCGAGGAGCTCGAGAGGTGTGTGGCTTGCTGTTTGCATTTACGTGAGGCGTCTCAAAAGCCTAATTTTTTTTCAGAAATTCTGAAATCTTTCAGAGCCTCATTGAGTCTTGGAAAGTCGAATGCGAGTTGCTGATTTCATTTCATCCGCAACCACCACAACACCTCCAATGTCAACAAAAAAATCACTGATGCCATGCCCGGAAGGCTCGAGAGGTAGGTAGCTTGCTTGCTGATCTCAAAAGGCGCATTCGAGTGAGTGACAGACTTCAGTCCAGCCCACCTATCCACTCCCCTCTCCCCACCCTTCCAGGGCGGACAGCACGTGAATCATCTGCAGACTTTTGAGGCGCCTCAAAGGGCGCATTCGAATGACAGACTTGAGCCCACCTACCGACTCCCCTCTCCCCTCTCCCCACCCTTCCAGGGCGGACAGCACATGCATCATCTGCAGGGAGGAGATGACGTCAGCCAAGAAGCTTCCCTGCGGGCACCTCTTCCACGTGCACTGCCTGCGCTCGTGGCTCGAGCGCCAGCAGACCTGCCCCACCTGCCGCGCGCCCCTGCTGCAGCCCCAGGCGCAGCCCACGCCCCCCCCTGCCGCCGCTGCCGCCGCCGCCGCCGCTAGAAACGCCGCCGCTGCTGTTGCCGGTGCTGCCGGTGCTGCCGGTGCTGCCGGTGCTGCCGGTGCTGCCGGTGCTGCTGGTGCTGCTGGTGCTGCTGGTGCTGGCGGTGCTGGTGGTGCTGGTGGTGCGGGTGGTAATGTGGGTCTTGGGGGGATTGCTGGTCTGGGGTTTGGAGTGCCAGGGGGAGCTGGGGTTGTGCCTCTTGCCGTTCCTGCTGCTGCGCCTGGTGTTGCTCCTGGTGCTGGTGGTGCCGCTGCTGGTGGTGCTGGCGTGGGAGGCGTCATTCCCTTGGGGCAGTTTCGCATTGCAGCAGGTGGGGGTATGCCGGCTGTGCACGTTTTTCACGGGCAGCTGAACCTTCCTGGCGGGATGGGGGCAGCTGGAGGGGTTGGGGCGTTCGGGCAGGGGCAGCAGCAGGCGCTGCATGGGTTACAGGGATTGCAAGGGCAGCTGGAACAGCAACCGTATCTGCAGCAACAGCTGCAGCAGCTGCTATACGCTCAGCAGGTGCAGCACCAGCAGTGGCACCAGTGGCAGCAGCAGCAGTGGCAGCAGTGGCAGCAGTGGGGGCAGTGGCAGTACTGGCAGCAGTGGCAGCAGCAGGTTCAGGCTGCATATGCCGCTGCAGCAGCAGCAGCAGGGGGGGGTGCATCTGCAGGAACAGCAGGTACATCTGGAGCAGCAGTAGGTACATCTGGAGCCGCAGCAGGTACATCTGAAACAGGGTCATCTGGGGCTTCACCTACTTCTGCCAACGCTGCTTCTCCTTTTGCATCTGCTGCTACTAACACTCCTGGTGGTGAGGCTAGTGCTGGTGGGTCTTCAAGCACAACTGCTGCTTCAGCTCCCACTGCTGCTTCCACTGCAACTCCCACCGCTGCTCCTACTGCGCCTGCCACTGTAGCTGCCACGACAACCCCCAGTCCGGCTCCCAATGCAGCCCAGCCGCCTCCCACTGCAGCCACTGCCTCTTCATCAGATGCCTACCTCCGTCAATACAACGCCTGGTACGTTTTCTCTCACTTCTCTGTGTTCGCTTTATTGTGGTGGCTTGAACCAAAACCCCCCTGCTGCCAATTTCTCTGGATTGGATGCCTTTTGCTGTTAGATGCTGGTTCTGGTCATTTGAACTGTATCACTTTTTTTTTTTTCCATCAGATTGATGGGGAAAAGCAAGGTGGACTCTGAACAGGTCCTAGCTGACTGTTCCGGCTGCCGCAGTGCTGAATGATTCCTTATTTTTAACTTTCTCTTTCTGTGAATGGATTGTTGCTTATTTATTTCTTCCTTTTGGTCGTCCAGGTTGTCAGCTGCATACCCACAGCAGCAGCAACAACAGCAGCAACAGCAGCTGCAGCATCAGCAGTACCTTCAGCTGCTTCAGCAGTATCAGCAGCCACAGCAGCAGCAGCAGCAGCAGCAGCAGCAGCAGCAACAGCAGCAACACCTTTACCAGCAGCAGTACCTGCAGCAATACTTGCAGCAGCTGCAGCAGCAGCTAACAGCGCAGGCACAGGCACAGGGACAGGTGCAAGCTCAGGGGCAGGGCACTGGCCACACTGGTTCTGGTGCAGGTGCATCTGGTGCAGCATCTAGTTCAGGTGTGCCTGGTGGAGGTGCATCCGGTGCAGGTGCATCTGTTGCAGGCACAGGCGAACAAGCATCCCAGAACCTCCCCACTCCAGCTCAGGCCCATCCCACTGGGCCTGCTAATTCCAATAGCACAGGTGCAAATACCTCTGCTGGCCTGGGCAATGGTAGCAGTGGTGGCAGCAGTGGCAGTGGTTGTGGTGGGGATGCTTCTGCTCCTGTTGCTGCTGGTGTGGAGCCTTCTCAAGGAAACAGAGGGGAGGGACAGGGGCAAACAGCAGCAAGTGAAGGGCAGAGCTAGAATGGTGATTGCTGCTGACTGATTTTTCCATGAGGTTTTTTTTGTATTTGCTGCTACTGTATCACCTAAGGTAGCTGCTTGCATATCTGGCAGCTGTATCTAGTTCACAGAATAATGAATGTTTCTGTTTGGATTGGATTTCTTCCCAAACGTCACCTAGGAGAAGAGACATCTCCATGAAAATGTGACTTTATAGGGGGCAAAATGTTGCTTGGACTGATAATGAAGTGCTACGGTACCGTATGCCTGAGGTTTCTGGCGAACAAGGCGTGCAAAGAAAACAAATCAACCAACAACTTCTGAAGCCTCTGCTACAATGTCCAATGCATCTTTGAAATCCTGTGATTCTATCAATTTCAGATCATCCTTTGCTGCGTCCTGCATCAGAAAGAGGGAGAGGGCAAGGAAAACAGAAAGCAGAAGAGAAAAGAGAAAACGGATCTAAGAAGTGAAAGCAGAAAAGAATGCAGGACGCGGGGAATCGACCAAGTTTGAGCACGTAAGAAAGGTAGGGTGAGAACAGATTTCTTTGTCAAAGGTGAGGCAAATTGGTCGGCACATTGCAACCAAAGGTCACGATTTGAGCTTCTGGGTAGGAAATAAGAGGAAGGGGAGCCTGGCACACTAGAGCGAACTTACTACCAGGAGATCAGTCGGCAATTTCGCATTTTGGTACCCTTACAGAGACAATCGCACTCACCACTGCGGATTGGAGGTCGAGGTAGGCTGTTTCGAGTCGCTTGCGACAATCAGGGACCATCATACGCGATTCGGCGAGAACATTCTCCTGCATGTAAGAACGACCACAACCACAAGAGCTTAGAATCCGGCATTTTTCAACCATTAAAGCCAGCTGTTACGGTAAATGACTTAGCTGCTGTGTAATAAAATGGAAACTCCGTGCCTGCTGTTTAATGTCGTGCGAATCTGCACCGCGTGCCTTCATGTCCTCTACTTTCGCAGCGTCCTTCTCGACTTCTGTCTCGTACGACTTCAACTCTTTAAGCAACCGCTTGCAGACTCCTGCTCGCAGCTTCAGCTCCTTCAGATCCGCCATGGTCAGCAACTACTGGAAGCGGCGATGTACACCTACAGGCGACGAAATAGCACACCTATAGGCGACGAAAAATATTGAAATGACAAACTCTCGCCTAGATTATGGGAGAAATGTCCTGATTTATAGTTGCAAGCTGAGGAGATCAGGGCCTGAAAGTACCCTGAAAGTACTCTGCTAGGGATAAGGATCACGTGGACATGGGGTCCGCATCATCTAGAAAGTTCTTGACAGCTGGCTGTGCGCGGGATGAATGCTCCTGGCGTGCGAGAGTATCGTAGTAATGGTATTCGTCCTTTCGCGATTTGTGACCTACACAAATCGCCTGTTGCACATGCCTCTTCGCGGACCTCGCTTGCGTCGCAATATCTCGTCATACGGCTTCTCGGTACAGTGTAGTGTTCGAGCCAGCTTGACTCGACACAGATACAACTCGAGGGCTTCGCTCCAAAGGGTTGATCCCAGCACTGTCAAACCGATCCCAACCGCTGAGAGATACGGTTTGTTTTCAAGACGGAACCACGAAACCGCAATATCCAGCTCCTCGCGTCAGTAGGCTCTCAGCCGCACTCACTGGGGATTCATTTCCATGCGCGCCAGCGTCGGATTCATACACACCCGAAGCCGCATTCCTTTCCTTCGACCGAGGCGACCTTCCCTCCCTCCTCCTCCATGGTTTTAGGAATCCCAGCTTGCCAGCAGCCTTGTTGCTTCGGTTCAACCAATCTAGGGAAAGGAAACTAACTAATTAATAAAAGTCTGCATGCACCCCAAAGGTGTTCAGCCCGGTCGAACCCTTATTATCAATATGTGCGAGCCCGCTTTGCGGCGAGCGGTTTCAAGGCGAGCAGTTTCACGGCTCGTCAGCTTGCTTACAGGTGCGGTGCGCCTTCCCTCATTTCCTGCTGATGTCGGCTTCCGCTTTTAACCAGTATGCGCTCCCGCATCCATATCATTTTATTAACTCCCCAATAGTCGTTCTTGATTCTCCTCCTGCCCTTGCTTTCGGCTTCCGCTTTTAACCCGTCTGCGCTGCCGCAGCCTTGTCATCACAGTCAAGCATTCTCTTGGTGACTTTTGAGTCGATGGTGACTTTTGAGTCGATGGTGACTCTTGAGTCGACTCAAAAGTCACCTCGCGGCCTTGTCGTCACAGTCGAGCCTTTTTCTTGCTTTCGTTTGTTTGTTTTAATTTCATGTATCCTTCCTGTTTTGTCCTTTCATTATCAACCGCATTATCCGCAGGGCCTCAACCCTCCACTTTCCACAATTAGTACCTTCCCCTAACCCCACCCCCCGCCCCATTCTTGCATGCAAACCCATTCCTTCCAGTATCATTACTTCTCGCCTTCTTCGCCACAACCGCAACAGCCCAAAGTACGTGCTTCTCTATGCTTCTTCTCACACTCCTTTAACGTGCGACTCTTAGCACTCCTTCCCATTCCTGCCTTGTCTGTGCAAGACGTCTTAATTGAATCTCTCTCTCTTATCTTCCCCTCTCTCCCACACAGCCTTTCTTACCTCCCTCCTGCGGGGTCCAGGCATCTTGGCCTCCCTTGTTCTTTCCAACTCCTCCGAATCCTGCCCGGGAGTTTTAGTTCAGCTGACCGTGGCGGGTAATGTCGAAATTACTCCACTTTCTCTCATGGTAGAACGGCCCAGGAGCGCAGCAGCAGTTCCTGGAGGGGTGCAAGTGAAGACCGCAAAAAAAGCAGAACAGGTGAGTGGGCTGGTCGCGTGGGTACTTCGTGAGTGACTGGGAGAGCACAGCACCGACTGTCTACTCAGTACACAGCTGCCAGAAGGCCTACCTGCCCCTGCCCCTGCCCCTGCCCCTGCCCCTGTTTGGCACTGACTGGGAGAGCACAGCACCAACTGTCTACTCGGTGCACAGCTGTCTGCCTGCCCCTGCCCTCACATTCTCCTGTGCCTCCCTTTCCCACCCCATTCCCCCCATCCCCTCCAGCTTTTCCGGTTTGGCAGTGACTGGGAGAGCACAGCACCAACTGTCTGCTCGGTGCACAGCTGCCAGCCTGCCCCTGCCCTCCTCCTGCCGTCTCTCGCCCGCCAGAAGGCCTACCTGTGGCCGGCAGAGATAGAGTGGTGGATGGTAGCTGCAAGGGAAGATGGCGGCGGTTGCTAGGGATCTTGTGGGAACTCCTTTCCTCCCCCAACTCCACAATTTTCCCTGTGCCTCCCTTCCCACCCGCGCTACAGCTATTCCGGTTTGGCAGTGACTGGGAGAGCACAGCACCGACTGTCTACTCGGTGCACAGCTGCCAGGCTGCAGTCAACCTGGACTTACCGTCTCTCGTCCGCCAGAAGGCCTACCTGTGGCCCGCAGAGATGGAGTGGTGGATCGTAGCGGAAGGGAGGATGGCGGCGGCTCACAGGGACCTTGTGGGGGACGCCTCTCTCCCACCTCGCTTCCCCGCGCCGAAATATGGTGCTGCATTTGCGAGCGACGGAGCAGTGTATGGCGGGGCATATGTCAGCGAGTTACGGTGAGTTAGACCGAGCTACAGTGATAGTGAGCTAAAGTGGGTTTTACTGGCCAAGCTACAGTCATTGGCCATGAATCCATGATAGTAGCGAAAGGGAGGATGACGGCGGCTCACAGGGACCCTGTGGGGGACTCCTCTCTCCTACTGCGATTCCCCACGCCGAGACACGGTGCTGCGTTTGCGAGCGACGGAGCAGCGTATGGCGGGGCGTATGTCAGCGAGCTACGTTGAGTTGAACAAGGTACCATGTTTTGGAGTGCTGTGCGTGCAAAGTGAGTTGAAGGTGAGTTCGAGCCATGAAAATGCTACGCTCTTGCTCTAGCCCATTTGCAGTCTCACCTCGCCCATTTGCAGTCTCGCCTGGTGTGGAGCTCAGCTATACAATTAATCTCGTCGGACCCTCGACCAACCCGGTGGCATTAGAGCTTCCCTTTCTTCGCACCCCCTTCCCCTCCCCGCCTGTTCCCTTACACCTGACGTCCTGGCAGGTTCAGCTCTCGTGTGGAGCTCAGCTATACAATCACGCTCGTCGGACCCTCGACCAACCCAGTGGCATTAGAGCTTCACTTTCTTCAGAGCATTCTGGCAGATCGCACGAATCACATTCCTCTGCCATGCTTCTGGTTCACCTCCTTGCCCCATGTGTGGAACTGCTACGGCATCCATTCACTTTCTTACCGTGATTTTGGAGTCTTATACGAGGGAGAGGTGTCTGGAGTGGTTATTAGGAGTTTAAAGTTTAGAATAGGTGACTTAGAGGTGGATGGTAGTATAACAGCCCTGCCACATGTTCGCCATTTACGAGAAGGTTGATGCTGCTACAATATTGTTGCCGCACCGATGTTCCCTGTACAGAGTATCTCGTGTTTTGTTCTTCTAACATACCTAGTAAAGTTTCCAACATTCAATGTTATAGAGTGCCGTGTGCTATTACTGGGCTTGTCATGTCGAACGAGCATTGTTGCCAATATATGTCAGTTACACCAAGGCAGGTGCATTTTTTTGTTCTTTATCAACTCAGCACATAACTATAACACGAGTGCTATACACAACAAAGAATCTCCTGCTATGTGTATACACACGGTACCATAACCAACACCACCTCTTCTTCACCCATCCCCTCTAGTCCTGAACTAGGCCAGTGCGGTTGGTTTGCACAAGTATGCAATTGAACAAATCAGGAGCAGGTAGGTAGGTATAGTAAGCTGGGGATAACCCTACCTTACTCCACAAAACTTGTCTTTATCAGGTCGCCGATCCACCTTCTACCGAATGTCTTTTCCTCCCTAACCAGATTCTACTCCGGGATGTGCTCCTTTCCCCACCACAGGATTCACCCCTTCAACTGAGGAGCCCTGTGTTCCCGTGCCGTTAGGTCTGGTGCTATCCGGACCTGCTTGGCTGCTCCGGGCTGCTAGCCGCACTCCAGCTTCGGCGGCTCGTTTGAGAGCTTCGGCAACAAGATCACTGCTATTGGCTCCCCAAGGAACATGAGTGACGTCAAGACTCGTGTGCTTCTCAGCAGCAAGACTCGTACTAATATGCTTCTCTGAGTCAAGACTTGTACTGGCATGCTTCTCCTTTGAGTCAAGCCCGTTACCGGTATGCTTAACTTGGTCAAGAGGAGAGTTTTGAGGTGTATTTCCGGCGAAAATCTCCTCTTGATCCACTAGTCTTAACTTGGTCTCCCTTGCTGCGCCCTTTGCGCTTTCTCTCGCCCCTGCCTTTCCTTCCGCTCCTGTCAGCCCTCCCTGCACTCTGCACTCATCTACACCCCCCTCAACCCGTTCCCTCACCACACTCCCACTGCCACGAATCAATTCTTCCTCTCCCCTCCCCTCTCCACCTTCCCTCAACCCTCCGTTTGCCCCTTCTTGTTCTGTCCCTCCTCCTCCATCTTCCACATCCCTTCCCTCTTGCCCTCCTCCTCCTCCTCCTCCTCCTCCTCCTCCTCCTCCTCCTCCTCCTCCTCCTCCTCCTCCTCCTCCTCCTCCTCCTCCTCCTCCTCCTCCTCCTCCTCCTCCTCCTCCTCCCCCTCCTCCTCCCCCCTCCTCCCCCGTACCTTCCTCAAACTCCCCATCCTCTCTCTCACTCCTCTCTCCTCCCTCACTAGCTCCCCCCATCCCATAGACCCTCACATCCCTCTCAGACCCCCCATCACCTGCCAACCCATGCCCATTAGCTCCAAAAAAAGCCGCCCCCCGGCCATCCACCCCACCACTCCTCTCACCCATCCCACCCAACCCTGCCCTTCCCTCACCTCCCTCACTAACCACCTCTCCCACCGCAATCTCCTCTCTCCTCTGCACCTCTCCCTGTCCTACCTTCCAGCCGTCTCTGCTATCCCTCCTCCCCTCCCGCCCCATCCTAACCCCCACTGGAGAGTCTAGAAACGCAGTTAGTCTCCTAGGCCCTCTAGCCCCAGCAGATAAGGACCGCTTTATTACAGGACTACCAGCAGCACCAGCAGCATTGCCACCACTAGCAGCAGCTAGGCTTGTCCCTGTTGCTCCCAGTACCAGCGCTGGTGTTGCCCCTACTGCTCCTCCTGCTCCTCCTTCCACTGCTCCTGCCGCTGCTGCTCCAGCCGCACTTGCTCCTCCTCCTCCTCCTGCTCCTGCTGCTGCTGCTGCTTGTCTCGGGGAGGGAGCGGGTTGCTGCATGGCTTTTGGCATGAACTTGGGGTTAACCAGCGGCACCTTAAAGCCCATCTTCTTCAACAGTCGACTCCTCACCCCGCCACCACCCATTGCAGCAGACGCCACACCACCCTTACCACCAACCTTACCACCACCCCGGCCACTGATACCAAAGCTGCTGCTGCCCCTGCCGCTGATACCACCTCTGCCAAAGCTGCTGCTGCCGCCCCTCCCGCTGCTGCCCAGGCTACTGATTGAACGAGGGAAAGGGCGTGAGGCAGGGAGCGAGGCAGAGTGGGGCAGCGAGGCCTTGGAGAGGGAGTGTGAGCGGACGGGAGTGGATACAGGGTGCGAGCGAGCCTTGGGAAATGGTTGTCGGGATGGCGGCTGCAGCGAGAGGAAAAAGGCAAGTTGGGGTAGTTGTAAATGAGAGAAGGAAAGAGGTGAGGCCTTGGAGAGGGAATGGGAGCGGACGGGAGTGGATACAGGCTGCGAGCGAGCCTTGGGAAACGGTTGCCGGGATGGCGGCTGCAACAAAAGCGGAAAGGGGGTTTGCAATAAGAAACTCGGGGATTAGACATTGAAAATTGTGGTATGGATGGTGTGGTGCATTCATGCAGGTTTTTGAGAATTCTCAAAAACCAGCTGGATGGTGTGATGCATTCATGCAGGTTTTTGAGAATTCTCAAAAACCAGCTGGATGGTGTGGTGCATTCATGCAGGTTTTTGAGAATTCTCAAAAACCAGCTGGATGGTGTGGTGCATTCATGCATGTCGTTGAATGGCAAATGCGTGAAATTGCATGTCACATGCATGACGTAGCATGTCGCATGTATGACGTTGCTTGCATGGCAATGAATGACGATGCATCTCCAAAGGCAGCACACCACAAGGAAGCAGAAGCAGCAGCAACAACACATACCGGCCCCATCAACTGTCGTGGCCCCTTCCCCTGCTTCCTCCCTCCTCCCCTCTCTCCACCCTCCTCGCCCTCCCCACCCATCTCCTCTTCGTCCCCCATCTCCTCCTCCTCCTCCTCCTCCTCCTCCTGCTCCTCCTCCTCCTGTCCTTCCTTCTCCAGCCCCGGAATAAAGTCTTCAGACTCATCCTCATCCACACCTATCCCCAACAAATCCTCCTCCTCCTCTTCCTCTTCATCCTCCTCCTCCCCTCCCTCATCGTCGCCTCCCACTTGCACCTCCCCACCCTGTCCCTCCTCCTCCTGCTCCACCTCCTCTTCCTCTTCCTCTTCCTCCTCTTCCTCCTCTTCCAGCTGTTTCAGCCTGGATTTGCGTTTCAGAGCACCAGACACAGCAACCCGGGTCCCTTTCTTGCTCGGAGCATTTCTTTTTCTTCCATTTGAAACTAGTGCTCCTGATGCTGCAGCAGTGGAGCGAGGCCTTCTAACCAGCACCACACGTGCCTCTTCCGGTTCCTTTTTTTGTTCTTCCTCCTCCTCCTCTTCCGCCTCAACCTCAACCTCCCGCTCTTGCTCTTGATCCTGGGGCCGAAAGTCCTGCAGGGAGGAACACCAGGGGAACAGCAAGCTTACTCAGCTCAGTCGCAGAAAAGTGGGTTCTTGGGAGCACTTTTGAGAACTATGACTGCAGGCATGCCGTGTGTGTGTGATGTGATGAGCGCTTACTTGAAAGCGGAGGCAACGCAACCCCACTAATAGTCCGTGCGTGAAGCAATGCCACATCAAGTTTGTTAATTGGTTTGTTTGTTTTGTTTTTTTTTCAACCCAGAAATCATGTTACGGCAACCAGGCAGGAGAACTTACATCAGAATCGTAGTCATCATCTTGTGCCGCTGCGACCTCCTCCACTTCCCCTTTCCCCTGCCCCCGACCTCTGCTGCTGCCCACTGGATGGCTGCGAGCAGAAGAACAATTTTTTTGGGAAAAAAACATACATACAGGAAAACACTTTTTGGAAAAAGCTATGCTGCTGGGGCTGGGGGCATGTGGGGATGGGGGCATGTGGGGATGGGGGCATGTGGGGCTGGGGGCATGTGGGGGTGGGGGCATGTTGGGGTGGGGGCATGTGGCTTGTGGCGCATTCTAATACTTCCCACTCGTCTTTTCTCGCCTCATTCGCACCTTAAATCTGCCACACTCTTGGTTCGTCTCTTCCTCTTCACCCCTCCCATGCCTCCCTCCCCTTCCCCCTCCCCATCCCCCTCCCCCTCCCCCTCCCCTTCCACGTCCTCCTCCGCCACTTCCTCTGCCCCCGCTGCCTCCGCTCCCCCCGTTTTCCGCGGAGTCAGTACGCGCAAGCCCACCCTCCGCCCGCCAATCACCGCCTGGCGCGCGGAACTCTCCAACGCGCCAGAACTTCCCCCTCCGCGCGCGCTCCGCGCCCGGGTAGCGGACGGCGCGGGAGCTTCAAGGCTCGCAACCGCGACCAATCCGCGTCCGCCACGTGTCGGCCTCTGCTTCGTCTCATTTTTCTCTTTCTTCCCCTTCTTTCCCTTCTCTTCTTCCTCCTCCTCGTCCGATTCTTCCGCCTGAACCCCCGCGGCTAGCTTTGCGTAGTTCACGGCGACTCGCCGTCGTTTAGACCGCTCCATTACTGCGTTAATGGCAAGATAAGTAGCTCGCGACGCGCGCAGTATTTGATATTCGCGCGTTTCGAGCAAGAGGTGAACGAGAGGAGAAGGATGAAACAGGGCAGAAAAAAACGCCTGAGAGACTAAGACACAAAGCCACTAGTCGTCGGAGAGCCCAAGTTGAAATGACCGCGCAACGTTACTGAAATAGCTCTTGACTCGACTTAACACAGTCGGTGTTTTGCAGGCGCCTAAGAAATTACTTTTGACTCAACTAACACGGTCGCAGGAATAAACGCTAGTCGGTGTGACCAAAACGGCAAGTGGAAAGGCTGCGGTGGTGAGTGACGCGCCACGAGAATAAGCAGAGAAAACACCACTATTTTGTGGGGGCGGTGTTGCTGATTATATTTGGAGGGTAGGACCAATTACTGCTTAACACGTGCTTGTGAACTATAACGAAGAGCAGCCTGTCGCGTTTGAAGATGATCTCAGTTTTGCGCGTGACGCGTTAAGTGGGTTTAGATACGATGCGTAGTGGTTGAGATGGTTCACGAGAGGCATCACCGCTTTGGAACAAGCAGAACCACGATATACTACTGTCAGAAGTGTTCAAGGCCTACCAAACCACCAAACCAAACACCCCTGCCGTCGATGTTTTCAAAATATTCCCAACAAGAGGCGACAATGTCGTCCTAGGGTTGCGAAGCGTTTTGCATTATTAACATATGTTTTACAACTTTTATTACTAACTATGGATCTCGTTTTCAATGATTACCTAACTACTTATACCGAGTCTGTAACTCAAGACTGAGATTTGCAAAATTCTTCGCGTTGGGAATCGAACCTAAGACCTGGATTCTGTCACAACACAAGCTTCATCAGTGCGATTCAGCACCTTTCGCGAATCGCAAATGACTGGTCACTATACCTGAGTACCCGCTCCGCTGTCCGAACACATTGTTTTACTCGCGTCGCGCTAGAGATCACAGCCGCAAGCGCGATGGCAGATCAAGCGAATCAGCAGCAGCAGGAGCAGCAGCTACCCTCGTGGCTGCAGCATATTCCCGGCGAGGACGAACCGCCGCACGATGCCACAGGTAGGTAGTGCACTCGCTCGCAGCATTGATTGTTTTACGATGTGACTAAGTCACCTCAAGCGAATCAGCAGCTGCTGCTGCTGCTACCCTCGGGGCTGCAGCATATTCCCGGCGAGGACGAACCATCGCACGATGCCACAGGTAGCGGCACTCACTGCATTGCGTATTTCGCAAAGGAGACGTAGAAAATGGATGACGTCCAAAGTCAGGGCTCGCGTCGTGCTTTTCAAAATCACTTCTGAGAATTCTCAAAACGGAAGCTCCACATTCAAGTCATCGGAACAGCGTTCTCGGAGCATCCTGGGATGCTCTTAAGTGCACGGCTTCTGTGCTTTGCGTGAGGCGCGGCGTTGCGTTTATTTGGTTCGGACCGATTGATTTCCGAGCAGTAGGGATTCCTGACCTTGTTCTCTTTTTTTCCTCGTTTTTGGCAGTCCCGGTTGTGATGGCAGAGGTGAAACCTGCACTTGCGAATAAATTAATAAAGTGAGTCGACTTGACATTAACACCGTCAGCATTATCAGGTGACCGTTGATCAGGGAGTTACAAATCTGCCCGTCAGATCTGCCCGTCCCTTTCCCTTTATGTGCGTTTGCCCTCTTCCCTGTCACCCACTCCTTTCCCCTCAACACCCCCACACCCCCCCCCCTCCCCCCCCTCACTCATACCCTTGCCTCTCACTCATACCCTTGCCCCCTCACTCATACCCTTGCCCCCTAGGCAGCTGGCATCAGTGGCACCGCTGCGGGACCTGCACCATGTGAAGAGGGTGCGGCGGACTGGGGAAGGTGAGCGGGCGGTTAAGGCACGGGGAGAGTGAGGTGATGGGAAGAGGGAGAAGCATAGTGGTAGAGGGAGTGAGAGCGAGTGAGCATTTTCGCACCAGGTGTTACTTCCTTCACTTTTTAGGGCTGCTGGAGAATTTACTTATGCCAAGTGTCCTTTCCTTCCTTCTCGCTCCAGGCCGGGCCGTCTCGCTGCACGTCGTGCTGACACCTGGCAGCGATCCATTGGCTCTCCCCGAGCCGCTGCAGCAGCTGGTGACACAGCACGGGCTGGAGCCTGCTGTCGCTCAGGTGAGTCGTCTGTTCATTCATTGTTAATAATGCCTGTTAATTATTGATCGTTCTGCTCGTATTGTGACTTTCTGCAATTTGCATGCGCCCCGGCTCACGACTGCGAGGAGCGTGTGGCTGGCAGGTGCCGGCTCACGCCCCTCGCACCAAGGAGCGGTGGCAGCAGCAGCAATCAGTCTGGCCCACGTCCTTCCACCCTCCCCTGTGCGTTCTGCTGCTTTCATTCAACCCAAAATCATTACATCTGTGAAGGGCCCTTGATGCTAGTCTTGACTCTTGCACGTGAACGGGTGCATCTCTCGATAAATGTCTCGATGCTAGTCTTGACTCACAAAAGATTTGGTCCTTCATAACTGTTTGTTATGTGGCCCTCAAATATTCCAACAACCCTCCATGGTTTATCGTTCTGCCCGTTTCTCCCAACCAGGCCTGGCAGTGGCGCTGCTGCTCCCCCCGCTGCTGTCACACCGGCTACAGCCACATACATCCAGCAGTGCTTCCGTGTGATTATAGAGGGGGCGGTGAATGCATGTGAGGGCAGGCTGGGCAGCAAAGCATATGCGCAAGGGAAGACTCTAAGTGAAGAGAAAAAGGGAGGAAGAGAGTTACTGGGCGAAGGGGATGGAGGTGAGAGACGGGAGAGAGAGGAAATGCAAGGGGAGGTTGTGGATGGGGAGCACAAGGAGGAGGAGGAGGGACACAGGAGAGGGCATCAGTGCAGTTCATGTGACCGCACTGAACCGTTGAGTGCCCAGCATGGGGGGTTTCTGTGCCCATGCTGTGTCGAGGTATGCTTACGGGACTTCTTCTGGCTCTTTTTTCCCTCCCTTCCTATCCTCCATGTTGAGATTGCTTATGAGAATTCTCGAAAGTACTATGGGGGATTTCCCGTGTTGGGTCGAGGTACGCTTATGGGACATCCTCTGCCTTTTTCTTTCTTCCCCTGTCTTTCCCCTCACCGCTTCTCCCCCCAGACCCCTCCCTCCCTCTTCCCCCATTTGAATATTACGTGTCTTCCCACTCACCCCAATTCATCTCCCTCCAACTCACCCCATTCTTTCTCCCATTCCCTCTATTTCCTCTCCTTCTCAACCTATGCCTCTCCCTCTCACCCCATTGCCTCTCCCTCTCACCCCATTGCCTCTCCCTCTCACCCCATTGCCTCTCCCTCTCACCCCATTGCCTCTCCTTCTCACCCCATTGCCTCTCCCTCTCACCCCATTGCCTCTCCCTCTCACCCCATTGCCTCTCCTTCTCACCCCATTGCCTCTCCCTCTCACCCCATTGCCTCTCCCTCTCACCCTTTGCCTCTCCTTCTCACCCCATTGCCTCTCCTTCTCACCCCATTGCCTCTCCTTCTCACCCCATTGCCTCTCCCTCTCACCCCATTGCCTCTCCCTCTCACCCCATTGCCTCTCCCTCTCACCCCATTGCCTCTCCCTCTCACCCCATTGCCTCTCCCTCTCACCCCATTGCCTCTCCCTCGCACCCCATTGCCTCTCCCTCTCACCCCATTGCCTCTCCCTCTCACCCCATTGCCTCTCCCTCTCACCCCATTGCCTCTCCCTCTCACCCCATTGCCTCTCCCTCTCACCCCATTGCCTCTCCCTCTCACCCCATTGCCTCTCCCTCTCACCCCATTGCCTCTCCCTCTCACCCCATTGCCTCTCCCTCTCACCCCATTGCCTCTCCCTCTCACCCCATTGCCTCTCCCTCTCACCCCATTGCCTCTCCCTCTCACCCCATTGCCTCTCCCTCTCACCCCATTGCCTCTCCCTCTCACCCCATTGCCTCTCCCTCTCACCCCATTGCCTCTCCCTCTCACCCTTTGCCTCTCCCTCTCACCCCATTGCCTCTCCCTCTCACCCCATTGCCTCTCCCTCTCACCCCATTGCCTCTCCCTCTCACCCTTTGCCATTTCTCGCTCTCCCGTTTTCAGGGGTTCAAGATGGCTGTTATCGCCGACCCTAGCAACGGGCTGATTCTCGCTTCTCTGAACCCATTTCCCCTCTCGCTCACCCCCATGCTTGCTATTTCTCACTGTCTCGCTATCAGGGGTTCAATATGGCTGTGATCGCTGACCCTAGCAACGGGCTGATTCTCGCTTCTACGCAAAATCCCTCTGCATCCGCCGCTCAGCGAAACAAGAAGATGAGAAGGGCGCACAGCACAACAACCACTCCCAGAACAGCGACAGCAAGAGCCACAGCAGCCACAGCAGCAGTTACAACAGCAACGAGAGCACCCTCAGCAGCAGTTGGAACAGCAACAACGGCAATGGCAGGAACAGCAAAGACAGCGGGCAGTCAAGCCGCGAGGAACAGCAATCCATGTGCAATCAACGATGGCAGGAAGGAGAAATATGCGAGAGGGAGGTTGGGGCATCCCCTGGGGCACCCTCTGGGGCGTCCTCAGGGACTCCCTCTGGGGCATCCCCTGGGGCATGCGGTGATGATTGCGATTGCTGCTGCTGCCGCCCGGGACCGAGCACTGTTCCCCAGTGAGGCAGCACAGGACAAAACACTGTTCAGGGATGGCTGTGGGGAGGAGGCAAAGGGAGGGTTAACTGGGAGGGGTGGTTCCGAGGGAGTACTGGGGGAGGAGAAGGAGAGTGAAGTGGAGCAGAGGGAAGTGGAGCAGAGAGAGCAGAAGCACCTGAGAGAAGGGGGCCGGGATGAGGAAGGGGAAGAGGTGAGAGGGGGAGGTGTGGAGGTGAAAGGAGATGGCAAGTCGCCTCCTTTGAAGAGGCAGAAGGGCAATGATGTGAGTGGTGGGAGGGGTGTGATTGGTTGGTGGGAGGGGAGGGAGTGGTGGGTGGGAGGGATGGGAGGTATGGGAGGGGAACGGGCATGGAGGTGAAGGGAGAAGGCAAGTTGCCTCCTCTGAAAGAGCAGAAGGGCAATGATATGAGTGGTGGGAGGGGTGGGACTGATGCGAGAGATGGGGTTGGTGGAATGACGGGAGTGATGGGAGGACGAAAAGCATGCCATCATGCATTGCTAGCCACAGGAGCACTGAGGTTTTCGCCCTTGTAGTATTGTACTTCCATTCTGCTACCTTGTTCAGCTTTGTCTCACACACATACGTAGGTCCACTTCTGTTTTCTCCTCTCATCTCCTCCCTATCTACCCCTGCGTTCGCTCCACGTAACACACTCCTTCTTTTTCCCGCTCTCTGGTGCACAGGTCCGCGCACTAGGTGAACTGGCACGCCCTGCTGCCTCTCCAAACGCACCACCGTGCTCCGCTCTCCGCCCGTACCTCTGCACGGGCTTCGATGCCTTTATGCTGCACGAGCCGTGCATCATGTGAGTGACGGGTGGTGTGGGTGGTGTGGGTGAAGCAGGGGCCAGGCGACCCAGCACGCTCTGCTGTCTCTCCATTTGCCCCACTGTGCTCTGCTCTCCGCCCGTACCTCTGCACGGGCTTCCATGCTTTCCTTCTGCATGAGCCGTGCATCATGTGAGTGATGGGTGGTGTCGGTGCTGTGGGTGGGTGATGCTGTGTGAGCCATGCATCATGTGAGTCCTAGTCAGGGTTGGCTGCTGGTATGGTATGTGTCAGGTACCTACCATTGATGCATCTGCTGGTGAGCCATTTTTTAGAATTCTCTACAACCAACCGTTGGTGCATCTGCTGGTTGGTCTTTCAAGCCTCTCCCCACACCGCACCCTCTTCTCACACCCTCTTCTCACACCCTCTTCTCACGCTGATGCTTCCCCTCCGCCCAGGTGTGCAATGGCCTTGGTGCATCAGCGTCTGCGCCCTGCACTGCACTCATTCTTCCCATTTCTTCCATTCTTTCTTCTCGACAACTCACCCTCTTCCTCCCAGGTGTGCAATGGCATTGGTGCATCAGCGTGTGAGACGAGTCTTCTACGCGATTCCAAATGCACTAGGAGGAGCGTTGGGCAGCTGCTGGAAGCTGCATGGAGTGAAGTCCCTCAACCACCACTACGAAGTGTTCAGGGTTGACCTCAGTCAACTGTTCAATCAACCACCGCTATGAGGTGTTTAAGGTCGACCGTTAGATCTGGGGTTGCCTGGGAGCGCTGGGCAGTTGCTGGAAGCTGCACGGGATGAAGTCCCTGCCACCACTACAAGGTGTGTAGGGTTGACCTGAGTCAACTGTTCAGTCAACTGCCACCACCATGACATTTGGAGGTTTGACCTGGCTCAACTGTTGCATTTTGGTCACCTGGGAGCGCTGGGCAACTGCTGGAAGCTGCATGGGGTGAAGTCCCTCAACCACCACTAGGAGGTGTTCTAGGTTGACCTCAGTCAACTTCATTAACCATCACCCTACTGTATTTAGAGTTGACCTCAGTCAACTTTCAGAACCATCTGAAGCCCCTGTAATTCCAAGTGGTTATTTTCACAACAACAGGAGGGTGCATGTGTGCAGTGTGCAGTGTGCAGTGTGCAGTGTGCACCCAACACCAAACAACGCAGATGATTTACTACGATTAGTAAATTAACTACAGCTTTCCCTGTAGCATACTGTCAGTGTGAGCTAAAGCTGGGAGGCCAATACCCGGTGCTTGGTCCGGAGGAAAAACGACCAGTGCCGTACCTGATTCAGCACAGGGATACCCAATACCCAATGGATACATGTCTATAGGTACGAAAAGAAGAATGTTACCGTATACCCAAGTTCGATGGTATAGGCTTAGCAGGTAAGACAAAAGGTACAGCTTGTGCTTACCTGGCCTGCGCCTGTTCTCGTGTCGGTGGTGGACAGCTTGGTTGCCGCAGCCTGCAGCCACGTCAGCCAGTCCCGCATGGCGTGCGCTGACGTGGCGGGCTGCGATTGGCCAAGGCACACGTCGAGGAGGTAGAGCTTGTGGAGCAGCAGGGGGAGGTCGCATCCGGGGGAGGTGGGGTTGTTGGCGGGATTTGATACGAAGGAGGATATGATTTTATCTGCTGACAGCTGGATGAGCGGCGGAGTGGGGTTGGCGGCAGGTGATGGTACCTCCCCTTTCTCCTGGGAAAACGAGGGAGGAGGGGGAAAGCGGGTGGGTAGGAAGGAGATGAAAGAGGGCATTCAGAATTTCCCGGCACAACAAGTTATGATTCCTCTCTGATCAGCAACAAATAGAGACTGGCCCATTTGCACGAGCGACTCGGTCCACCCTCACGTTAGTTTGAAGATGAGCGACTCACCATGAGGGTGGACCGAGTCGCTCATGCAGATGAGAATTCTCAAAAATCACTCGCAGCGACTCACCATGAGGTGCAGCATGAGTGCAGCACAGCGGTGGCGGAGGCAGGAGCAAGCAGGCGAGGCAGCAGGGAGGGCGAGGATGAGGGGAAGAGGACGAGAGGGAGCGGCAACTTTGAATACACTCACCATAAAAATCACACCTTGTGTTAACGACTCACCATGAGGTGCAGCATCAGTGCAGCACAGCGGTGGCGAAAGCGGGAGCAGGGAGGGGAGGCAGCAGGGAGGGCGAGGACGAGGGGGAGCGCTGCCAGCCACCAGTGCTTGCCAGGTGGCGGAATGTGATTGGTGGATGGAGCCACTTTGGAATTAGTGTCGGGTGAAGGAGGAGGTGGTGTGGCCTTCAAGGAGACGGGGTCAGCTGACATTGCCCTGGGGAGAGAGGCAGGGACGGATGGGAAGGAGGAAGAAGAAACTTCTGAGTCAACTCAAAGACACACGGTGCGGCATGGAAGGCAGTATTAAGTGAAGACCCACCCAAAATTTCACGCAGCACACAGCATTCACCAAAGCAGGCGGTGTGTGAAAGTTGTCAGTGAGAAACCCCTGACAGTCCTGCCATGGCAGTGTGTGTGTGGGAGTGGTCCGCTAGTAGGTGAAGCACATGCACCTACTTGCGTAGTGAGTATTTTTGAGTCGACTCAAAAATAGACTCGCTACAAGCGGCAGGCGGCAGGTGAGTGGGCCACCAGGAGGTGAAGCAGACGCACCTCCTCCTGCCACACAAGCCCTCAAATTCCACCCCACACTCACCAGAGAAAGCGGTAGGCGAATTGATCCACAGTAAGAAAACCCTGACAACCCGCGTGCCTGCTGCTCCTGCAAGCAGCAATGGCAGTGAGGGCTCTGAGAGCAGCAGTGTGCAGCAGCAATAGGTTAGAGTGATCCGCCAGTAGATGAACCACGTGCAGGAAGAGCAGAGCTAGGTGGGGCTGGGGCAGTAACGAGGGGTGATTTGATGGGGAGAATGGCTGGCCGATGCAAAGTGCAGAGATGGTTTTCAGGAGGAGGTCCATTTTGTGGAGTCGGGTTGATACTACTTCTCGTATGGACTCTAAGGGGTTTGAGAGCGCTGAGGGCTTTAAGGAGGGCGCACTGGTTGGGGGACCACGAGGTGCCACATCATCATCAGCAGCAGCGGCAGCAGCAGCAGCAGCAGCAGCAGCAGCAATGGCGGGTGGTGAGGGTGGGTTGGGTACGTGCACATCCGAAGCTGTGTGTGTAGTGTATTCCATGGCTGCTTGATCTCTGTACAGGAGAGATGGGGAGAATCCAACGGCCAGAAGAGCTGCTGCCACGTCAGCGTACCCCGGGAGCCAATCAGGAGCCAGGGGAGGCAGCAGGGACGTGGTATGTGAGGAGGAAGATGGGGAGGTAACGGGGGGTTGGAGGGAAGAGGAGGCAGAGGGGAAGGGGGTGAGGGAAGAGCCGATGATAGGGAGGGAGGGAGGAGAGAGGCCGGTGGTTGGGGAGAAGAGGAAAGGCCGCACTTGATGCAACTCTGCTTGCTGCACATCTGCTGCTAACCCTGCACCTTCGGTTGCTGCAGCTGCTGCTGCTGTTGCTGTTGCTGCTTGTGCTTGTGCTTCTGCTCCTGCCCCTGCTTCTGATGCTGACGGTGATGGGGCGAGAGCAAGGTCGCAGAGGAGGGAGCAGGCTGCCGTGTCCAATTGATCACTTCTGGAGAGAATCACTGGGGAGGGTGAGAGGGGTGTGGAGGGGGGAGAGATGGGGGAAGGAGGGAGGAATGCTTAAGGGTGAGAGCAAGGTCGCAGAGCAGGGAGCAGGCTGCAGTGTCGACCTAGCCGTCGCTGGATAAAACCACTGGGAAGGGGGGGGTGGAAGAAAGAAGCGAGAACGGAGACATGTTTAATTGTCAACTCGAAAGTCGCCCTGCTTCTGATGCTGGTCGTGATGGTGGTCGCATGGCATGGGAAAATCTCCACACAACGAAAAGCAGGGAGTATGTATGCGCTCAGGAGCATGAGGCAGTTACTCACTCTCTGCAAAGACTCGCCTCAGGAGCGACGCACTGACTCTTGAACAGGCAGACAGCTCCTTCCCCTCATCCTTCTTCCCCCCCTTCGCCTCTTCCCCTTCCTCCCCTTTCGTCCCCTTCTTCCCTCGCCGCTCCTCCTCTCCATCCGCCTTCTTTCCTTCTGCGATTTTTCTCAACTGCTGAACGCACTTCGTCCGTAGGAGAGTCGGCACCAGGCCCGAGGCGAGCAGGGATGCAAACCTTTTGTCCGGAAGGAGAGCTATATCAGCACCAAGCGAGGGACCCGGACCAGGTAGTGCTGCTGCTCCGGCTGCTCCTGCTGCTGTATCTTGTGACTCTGCTGGGCCTACAGTCCCTGCAGCTGTCCCGCTTCCTGTACGCTTGCCTAGGTCACACTGCTCCTGGAATCTGCGAGTATAGCAAGGGTCCACACGACCACTGAACACCTGTTGGCGGCAGGGTTGACAAGACGCCGGCATGATGGGGGGAGGGTACGCAGGGACTGAGAATTCTAAAAAATCACTGAACAAGTTGGTTATTAGAATTCTTAAAAACCACTGAACACCTGTCGGCGGCAGGGTTGACAAGAGGCCGGCATGAAGGAGGGTACACAGGGATTGACAGGAGGATTGAGAAGGAACATGGCCGGAGGAGGTCTGCAGGTATGTATGTATGTATGTATGTATGTATGTATGTATGTATGTATGTATGTATGTATGTATGTATGTATGTATGTATGTATGTATGTATGTATGTATGTATGTATGTATGTATGTATGTATGTATGTATGTATGTATGTATGTAGGAGCATGAGAAGCAGGGTAAACAAAGGACACATGGTGATCAGAGCTCCTCCTCGCATACCTTGGGATTTTGAGGCGGCTCAAAAGGTACGTATGGAGGTAGGAGCATGAGGAGCATTGTAAAATAGGAGCCAAGACAATGATCAGAACTCCATGAGAACAACATAAGCCTTACATACAATGAAATATAATCACAAACATCATTGTCAATGCTCACCCTCGCATACCCTGAAATAAGTACACACAAGTGACATCAGATGACTTAAGAGCCTCACACACCCTGGGATTCACGCACGCACATCATTATCACGCCTCACCCTTGCACACCCTGAAATCCACGCAGACGAGCCACATCAGATGACTAAAGAGCCTCACACACCCTAGGATTCACGCACGCACATCATTATCACGCCTCACCCTTGCACACCCTGAAATCCACGCAGACGAGCCACATCAGATGACTTAAGAGCCTCACATACCCTGGGATTCACGCACACAAGCACTGTAGCAGCGGAGGGTACTGAAGGGGACGGAATCGCACGAAGAAACTCCGCTCCCTCGCCTCCTCCTTTTCCTCCCCTTTCTTCTCCTTTTCCGTCTCCGACTCCTTCTGCCTCCCCTCCAGCACCATTAGCAGCACCAGCGGCAGCGGCGGCAGCAGCAGTGGCAGCAGCAGTGGCAGCAGCAGTGGCAGCAGCAGCAGCAGCGGTTGAGGAGGCATGATGGAGAGCAATAAGGTGGTCACGCAGTGGCATGCCGTGTGCCTCCACTAGCTGATGGGGGAGAGGAAGGGGGGACAGGGCGACCAGCACAGAGGCAGTAACAGCAGCGGTTGAGGAGGCATGGTGGAGAGAGATGAGATGGTCACGGAGGGGCAAGCCGTGCGCCTCCACCAGCTGATGGGAGAGCATGGGGGGAGCAGCACGCAACAGGGCACACAATGATTGAGACGTACGAAAGTTGAGGAGGCATGATGAAGAGTGGTGAGATGGTTGCGCAGCGGCATGCCATGCCATGCCATGCGCCTCCACAAGTTGAGAGAGAAGGGCATGAAGGTGAGGCACACGGTGGGCGGAGGGGAGGGGAGACGGGGCATTCAGCACCTTGTGCTCCTCGTCGCATCCCCCCCGCTCCTCACTGCTTGAACTACCTCACCAAATCCCTACCTCACCATTCCTCCCTTGCCTCCTTACCTGCTGACAGCTTTCAACTGCCGTCTGCACTTCCTTCAACCACTCCCCTCTCCCCCTTCACTCCTCTTCACACATCACCACCACACCACACCGCTACCCCCTGTCCCCTTACCTGCTGACAGCTATCAACTGCTGTCTGCACTTCCTTCAACGCTGCATGCAGCGCCCTGTGCTCATCGTCCCCCTCACTATCCCCCTCACTATCCCCCTCCTCCTCCCCCACCTCCACCTTCCCCCTCCTTGTGCCCCCTCCCCTCCATTCTCGTTCCCCCAACCCCACCCAACCACTCCATCCCCTCCTCCTCCTCCTCCTCCTCCTCGTCCTCCTCCCTCATCTCCTCCTCTCTTTTCTCCTCCTTCACTCCCCTCTCCCCCTCTCCTCCTTCCTCTGCCTCCTCTCCCCCCACCTCCTTTCTCTCTCCCACCTTCTCCTCCCCCTCACCCCCAATCCTGCCTCTTCTTCTCCCGTGCGTCCCCACATCCCTTTCACTCCCTCCTCCTCCCCCTGCTTCCCCTCCGCACCACCAGCAGCAGCTATCGCCTTGTCAACCGCATTCACGCCGTCTCTCCCCTCTGCTCCTCCCCTCTCTGCATAAACCCCCTTCAGCTGCAGCCCTCACAGTGGCGCTCCTCCCTCTTCTCCTGGCGCCAATCGCGGTGCTTGCTGTAACAGCAGCAGCAGGAGCATCCTTTCCCTTCCCTCTGCCTCTCACGCTCCCTCCCCCTCTCCCTCTTCCTCTCCCGCCATCCTCAGCCGTCTCCCTCTCCTCCTCGTTACCCTCGTTCCTCCCCTCCAATTTTCTCTTCCTTCCCTTCCCTTCCTCCTCCCCTCCCCCCTCTGCCCCCTCTCTTTTCCCCTCCTCCCTTTCCCCTTCCATTTCCTCCTCTTGACCCCTCAGCTCAGCTTCTTTAGCCCTTTTCTCCTCTTCCTCTGCCTTCCTAGCAGCAGCAGCTGCTGCCCATTGCGCTTTAAGCTGCTTCGTTTCAAGGGACTCCCGCACCAAATCAGCCAAATCGAACTTACGACTGCAAAGAAGGGAGTGGGGTGGGGAGGTGTAGAGTTGATTGGAGGGGGGTAAGGTTGAACAGCAACAGCAGCAGCAGCAGCAGCAGCAGACTGCATTTCGACCCGCTTTATAGTGTTACTCAAAATTACTTCCAACAAGATATGCATAATGGAAAGAAACCAAAACGGAACCTAGTTACGAGCTTTGGGTCATCGCCAACGGATCCCGCCCGGTTTTTTAGACGCCACAAAAAACGTATAAAAAATGAGGCGTCTTGAAAATCGTCTAAAAAATGAGGCGTCTTGAAAATCGTCTAAAAAATGAGGCGCCTCAAAAACCAAAACGGAACCTAGCTGCGAGCTTTGGGCCAACGCCAAGAGATCCCGTCTATGAAGAAGAGTTTTGAGACGTCTTTAAGCACTTCTTCATTTACAAGCTTTGGGCCATCGCTAAGGGATCCCGTCCGGACCTGCGAGCCTTGGGAGGAGCAGGAAATGCGTCGCCTGCGACAGAATCGCCGCCTCGCTTGCCTCTCGCGCGACCCCCACGCCCGCGACCCCCGCGACCCCTGCGAGCGTCCATGTTTCTTTTTGCGATAACGTCGTCGAATGCTCGTCGCCTGCCCGTCGCCTGCTCGTCGCCGGCTCGTCGAATGGTCGTCGCCTGGTCGCTGCGTGAAGACGGTCGCCAACGGATGGGTTTGCGAGCGTAAGTCGACTTCCAAATCTGTGCTACTGCGAGCGTGAAATGCGGCGTCTAAACTACCTAGCTGATGAGGTCAGGTGTTGGCGAAAACCTTCGCGTCGCGCTCGTCAGTACGTGCATTGTTTATCCGATATTCGTATCGGATGGTTGAGAAAAAAGTGACTCATAAACAATATCCTCCACATAGGAGCAGTCGCTCTTGTGTTGAAGGACGTTACCCTCTTCTTAGAAAAAAATATAAACAACGTCATCAATGTGTACCTCATTGCTACCGATACTGGCATCGTACGAATAGATTGGCGGAGCATGCACGCCAAAGCGTACCAAAGCAGTACCGGCAGTTTACCAGTCTAAAATAGAATATTATCCCAGTCGAACTCCAAACCCGCTTCAGCTTCCACTAGAAGGGCAGGAAATGCCGCTTCCACTGGGAGGGCACAGCATGCACGCCAAAGCATGTACTAAAGCAGTACCAGCAGTTTACCAGTCTAGACACGAATATTCTGCCAGTCGAACTCCAAACCCGCTTCCGCTTTCGCTGGGAGGGCAAGCGATGCTGCTTCCGCTGTTGGACCTGAGAATGCTGCCCCAGGTTCCACAGTACCGGCAGTTTACCAGTCTAGACTAGAATATTCTGCCAGCAGAACTCCAAATTCGCTTCCGCTTCCACTGGGGGGGCAAGGGATGGCGCTTCAGCTGGGAGGGAAAGGGATGCTTCCCCAGTTTCGAATGGTGGGCTGCATTGTTCAGAAAAACCTCCGAACTGATCAGAAGGAAGCAACTCTTCTGCGGGTGGTGTGTCTGAGAGCAACGCGGCGGCAGGCATGGATACGCCTACGCCTGCGCCTGCAGCAACGTCTGGTGGTGCTGCCGCTGCTGCTTCTGCTGGTGCCGGTGCAGCTGTCGCCGCTGCTGTGACCGCAGCCCTTGTAGCTGCCTTTGCTGCTTCCACTGCTGCTGCTTCCGTGCATGAATCGACTGTCATGGATACGACTGCGCCTGCGCCTGACCCTGCAGCAACGTCTGGTGGTGCTGCCTCTGCTGCTTCTGCTGGTGCCGGTGCACCTGTCGCCGCTGCTACGCCCGCGGCCCTTGCAACTGCAACTGCTGCTTCCACTGCTGCTGCTTCCGTGCATGAATCGACTGTCATGGATACGACTGCGCCTGCGCCTGCGCCTGACCCTGCAGCAACGTCTGGTGGTGCTGCCGCTGCTGCTTCTGCTGGTGCCGGTGCAGCTGTCGCCGCTGCTGTGACCGCAGCCCTTGCAGCTGCCTTTGCTGCTTCCACTGCTGCTGCTTCCGTGCATGAATCGACTGTCATGGATACGACTGCGCCTGCGCCTGCGCCTGCGCCTGACCCTGCAGCAACGTCTGGTGGTGCTGCCGCTGCTGCTTCTGCTGGTGCCGGTGCAGCTGTCGCCACTGCTGTGACCGCAGCCCTTGCAGCTGCCTTTGCTGCTTCCACTGCTGCTGCTTCCGTGCATGAATCGACTGTCATGGATACGACTGCGCCTGCACCTGCGCCTGCGCCTGACCCTGCAGCAACGTCTGGTGGTGCTGCCGCTGCTGCTTCTGCTGGTGCCGGCGCAGCTGTCGCCACTGATACGCCCGCGGCCCTTGCAACTGCAACTGCTGCTTCCACTGCTGCTGCTTCCGTGCATGAATCGACTGGCCCGTAAAGATCTGCCGGACTTACTGTCATGATGATATGTGCCGCTGATGCTGCTGTGCGAGCTGCTAGTATCTCACCCATCGCCACCGCTACGGCTAGGTCTTTTTCTGCAAGTGGTGCTGCTGCTACTCGTGCTACTGCTGCTTGGCGGACTGCCCTTACCTTTGCTTCTGCTGCTTCCACTGCCTTTCCCATCCAGCGCAGCCACACCGGCCTGAGTTCCCGCAAACTATCCGGAAGAATATTTCCCCATGCCCGTCTCGCACAAAACCCGCACTCATGCAGCCTCCCAAACCACTCTTTCGCCGCAGCCAGGTTCTTGCGGAGAAATCTCACTTCGTGCGGCTCAAGAATTCCCCAGACCGCGTCCCACATTGTGCTGTTATCGGGATCCCGTGTCATCACCACTTTAAGAATGGCCGCCAAGGGCGCTCCCTCCTCAAGCGACGCAACTCGGCCTCCCCAGAAAGTCGTTTTTCGCCCGATCCGCACCGTTATATAAAGTTTCCCGTCACGCCTCTTCTCCACCCCAGGGTAACCTTTCACCGGCTGTGCTTCCGAAGTTCCACCACTCCCTCCATCGCGCACCCTCCGTCCCGGTCCCTCTGTCCCCGCTGTCCCTCCCACCCCAGGGTAACCTTTCACCGGCTGTGCTTCCGGGGCTCCACCACTCCCTCCATGGCGCACCCTCCGTCCCGGTCCCTCTGTCCCCGCTGTCCCCGCTGCTGTCCCTCCCACCCCGCACGGCAGTCCTAGAGCAGCCGCTGTCCACGATGCAATCGCTCCGAGAGCACGGCGACGTTTGGCAGCATGCTGCTGCTGCTGCTGCTGCTGCTGTGAGCGGCCGTTGCTGGTGTCCTCAAGCAAGAAAGACTCCGAATCCTCTCCCTCCGCCTCTCCTCCACCTCCTGCTGCTGCACCCACTGCACCTCCTCCAACAACCCTCCCCCTGCCTCCTCTGCCTCCCCTGTCTCCCCTGCCGTCCCTCATCCCACTCCCCCCTGCCCGCCCTCCATCTGCCACCGAATCTCTTCCATCATTTCCGGCGCCCACTACCATGTTGTGCTGCAAAACCCACCCGACCTCGTTGGGGGATGTGAAGCTTCTTCCACGCCCCACAGCCCAACCCCCCTCCACTCCTCTCCCCCTGCCTTCTCTCCCCCCTTCCTCCAAACTCTCCCTGACCTTGCTCCGCCTGAACCCTCTCGCTTCCCCCTCTCTGACTGCGCCTGCCTCCGCCCATAAACCCTCCCCTGCAAAAGAAAGGAGGGGAGGGGGAGGGTGGAATGGGGGGAGAGGAGGTATGATAAAGGGCAAGAGCAAGGTTGCAGGCTGCAGTGTCGACTTGATCGCTTCTGGACAGAATTACTGGATAGGGTGAGAAGGAATGCAAACAGGTACCCCCTGCCCCCTGCACTAGATATCGCAAAGCAAGAGGTTTTTACTCACTCTCTGCAAACACTCGTCTTGGAAGGGCCCTACTGTCCCTCAAACGGGCTGGACTCTCCTCCCTCTCATCCTCCTCCCTCCCCTCCCTTGCCTCCACCCCTTCATCCCATTCCGCCCCCTCCTCCCCTCGTCCTTCGTTCTCTCCATCTGCAAGTACTGAGATCTTTTTGAAGGGGAGGAGAGCTATCCCTCTATCTGCGCCTGCAACCCCCGCTGCTATCCCTCTATCTGCGCCTGCAACCCCCGCTGCTATCCCTCTATCTGCGCCTGCAACCCCCGCTGCTATCCCTCTATCTGCGCCTGCAACCCCCGCTGCTATCCCTCTATCTGCGCCTGCAACCCCCGCTGCTATCCCTCTATCTGCGCATGCAACCCCAGCTGCTATCCCTCTATCTGCGCCTACAACCCCCGCTGCTATCCCCCTTCCTGTGCCTGCAACCCCCCCTGCTGTCGAGGACGGAACCGCACACAGCAACTTTCCTCCCTCTCCTGCTTCTCCTCTTCTTTCTCCTCCTCCTATTCCTTCTCTTTCTTCTCCTTTTATCTCCCCTGCAGCAGCAGCACCAGAAGGGGCAGCAGCAGCAGCAGCAGCAGCGGTGGCAGTAGATTGCAGCAGCAGCAGCAGTGGCAGCAGCAGCAGCAGCAGCAGCAACAGCAGCGGTTGAGGAAGCATGATGACGAGAGATGAGATGGTCATGCAGATGCATGCCACGTGACACCAACTGATGGGGGGGGGGGACACGGTGAGGCAGAGAGCAAGGGAGTGGGGAATGGGAAGGGGAGAGGGCGAGCAGCAGAGAGAAGAACCAGTCGTTAAGGAGGCGGTGAGGTGGACGTGACTATCTCACTTCTCGGCGTGGAGGTGGTGGAAGGAAATGAGATGGTCACGGCGGGGCATGCCGTGTGCTTCCACCAACTGATGGGCGGGCATGGGGACGGGGAGCACAGAAGCTGCAGATGGAAAAGACGGGGAGAGAGAGAGAGAGAGAAGGAAGGGAGCAAAGCGAAGGAGGAAGTGAATACGGAGAAAGAGGAGAGGAGAGGAGAGGAGAGGTGAGAGAGGGGTTGTGACGGCGCGTCACTCTCATGCCTGCCTGCACCACTCTCATGCCTACCTGCACGACTACACAACCAACCATCCCCTTCACTCCTCTTCACACATCACCACCGCACTACACCACTGCCCCCTGCATCCTTACCTGCTGACTGCTATCAATGGCCGTCTGCACTTCCTTCAACGGCGCATGCAGCGCCCTGTGCTCCTCCCTCATCTCCTCCCCTTCCTCCTCATCCTCCTCCTCCCACATCTCCTCCCCTTCCTCCTCATCCTCCTCCTCCCACATCTCCTCCCTTTCCTCCTCATCCTCCTCCTCCCACACCTCTTCCCCGTCAGTCACCCTGTCAACTGACATCATGCCGCCTGCACCCTCTGTTGACTTTTGAGTTGACTCAAAAGTCAACTCGTCAGTCACCTTGTCAACTGACATCATGCCGTCTGCCCCCTCTGCTTCTTCCTCACTCCTGGACCCGCCCCTTCTTCTCCCTATGCGTCCCCACATCCCTTTCACTTCCTCCTCCTCCCCCTGCTTCCTCTCCGCACCACCAGCACCTATTACCCTGTCAACTGACATTATGCCGCCTGCCCCCTCTGTAGAGAGGGTGTTTTTGAGACGTCTCAAAAACACCCTCTCTACACGTGTCCCCTCCGCACCACCAGCACCTATCACCTTGTCAACTGACGTTATGCCGCCTGCCCCCTCTGCTTCCAACACCTCTCCGTCTCCCCCTGAGGTCACACCCCTCACAGAGGCACTCCTCCCTCTTCTCCTGCTGCCAATCGCGGTGCCTGCTGTAGCAGCAGCAGGAGGAGGAGCGTCCCTTACCTTCCCTCTCCCTCTCCCGCCCCCTCTCCCACTCCCACTCCCTCCACCTCGCCCAAGTCCCCTCCCTTCCCCTCCATGATCAACCGTATCCCTCTCCTCGTTACTCTCCCTCCTCCCCTCCAATTTTCTCTTCCTTCCCTTCCCTTCCCCCTCCCCTCCCTCTTGTCTCCCCCCCCCCTATTCCCCCCTCTCTTTCCCCCTCCCGTTCCCGGTCTCGTCCCCTCATCTCAGATTCGTTAGCCCTCTTCTCCTCTTCCTCTGCCTTCCTAGCAGCAGCAGCTGCGGCCCATTGCGCTTTAAGCTGCTTCGTTTCAAGAGACTCGCGCACAAAATCAGCCAAATCGAACTTACGACTGCAAAGAAGGGAGTGGGGTGGGGAGGTGTAGAGATGGATGGAGGGGGGTAAGGTTGAACAGCAACAACAGCAGCAGCAGCAGCAGCAGTAGCAGCACACTGCATTTCGACCTGCTTTATAGTGTTACTCAATATTACTCACAACAAGATTGTGCATTACGAAAACCAAAACGGAACCTAGTTAAGAGCTTTGTGACATCATCCCGTCCGGACCTGCGAGCCTTGGGAGGAGCAGGAAATGCGTCGCCTGCGACTGAATCGCCGCCTCGCTTGCCTCTCGCGCGACCACGCCCGCGACCCCCGCGACTCCCACGACTCCCCCGGGCGTCCATGTTTGTTTCTGCGACGCGGTAGTCGCCTGGTCGTCGCTTGATCGTCGCCTTGTTTGTCGTCTGATCGTCGCCTGGTCGTCGCCTGGTCGTCGCCTGGTCGTTGCCTGGCCGTTGACGGGAGGATTTGCGAGTGTAAGCCGAGTGTTAATCGCTAAGCGTAAAACGCGGCATTCTTGACCTGTGTCTCAGCTATTGCTCTGCTGCAAGGCTGATTGGGTGCTGTAAAAATTCTCGTGTTGTACTCCTCAAAACGTGCATCGCTATTGCGCAGGAAACACAAAGTCGAAGTGAAGATATTTGTCGATAACATTCACTGTACGATGTTAAGCAGGAAAGTGGGTCGAAAACGACTCTGGCTTTCCGTACAGCGTCGCTTTTTTGTGACTAGAGCTCTATATATGAACAAATCCTCCCGTTGCTCTGATTCAAGCACATTATCCTTTTCATACAATCGCATCTACCTGGCTCAATTAATCCCACAAGAGCCAGCTCCCTATACAAGAACACCCCCCAGCCCGCAACTTTTTCCCTTAGATTCCGGAGTTTGCTCGTTATCTTCCCCTCCCTCCACCAGCTTTTTATTCTCTAGGAGACTGGTCCGTACTACCGCCATTGTTTGCGTGGCCCATTCGTGGTTTCCCAGCTTCCGTGTTCTGAAGCCGTTGCGTTATAAGCGTATTAATATTCCCTTTGTGTTTCGCTAGTGTTCGACTGGTTATCCGACCAGTGCGAACTGCCACCTGCGACAAATTTCCCACCAATTCGGGACGCGAAAAATGTCGTCGGAAATGTCGCCGCCCAATAAGAAGCGCACGTCGGAGCGCCAAATCACGAAGGACGATTTCCAGGAAGACGACAACGAAGAGCCGTCAGGCTCAAACCCCTGGGCGGGAGGGTTTCAGAAAGCCTCGAACGAGGTAATGGCGACTCGACGCATCGTTAAAGCGCGCCGGCCCGCAGGAGGTGCCGGCGCGTCTCCCGCTCCCCCCGCTCCTGCCGCCGCTGCGCCGCCGGAAAAACCAGCTCCGGCGGCTGCTGACGTGGCAGGCGGGTCCGACGTGGCGGAAGCGAAGGAGCAGGCGGAGGAGGAGGGGACGGAGGAGGTGAGTTCTGGCGGCAAGCGCGCGAAGAAGGCGGGATCCGACGGCGCGGAGGAGGAGAAGGCGGCGGAAGGTTCTGCGAAGGAGGGCGACCAGGAGGGAGAGAAGAAAACGGGAGAGGGTAATGCTAGCGAAGACGCCATTACAGAGGATAAGGCAGCGGCGGAGAAAGAAGGATCAGGGGAGAGCGACAAGCAGGAGGCGAAGGTGGAGGGCGCGAATGGCGCGGGAACCGCGGCGGGAGCAGCGGCAAGCCCGTCTGGTTTCGTGGGGTTTGCCAAGCCCGCTCCAGGGTTCAATCCCTTCCTCTCCTCCTCTTCCGGCGGAGGTTTCGCCTCCTTCTCCTCTTCCGCCTTCGCTTCCCCCTTTTCCGCCGCTTCCGCCTCTTCCGGATCCTCCGCGTTCTCCTTCTCATTCCCCGCCACCACCTCCGCATCCCCCGCCGCCGGTTCCGCCGCCGCAACCGGCGGTTCGTCGATCTTCCCTGCCGTTTCGAGCATTTTCGGGTCGGGGGCGGCAGCCAATGGGAGCAGCGCAAGCGGTGCGATCGGCGCGACTCCGGGCCTGGGGATTGGGTTCGGCAGCAGCGGGGCTGGCGGCGGCGGTGCGCCAGCTGTCACGCTGTCGGCGGTCCACGTGGCGACGGGGGAGGAGAAGGAGCGCGCGGTTTTCGCGGCGGATGCGACGCTGTTCGAATTCGGGGAGGGGGGGAAGTGGAAGGAGCGGGGGAAGGGGGAAGTTCGGCTAAACGTTCAGGCGGAAGAGGAGGGGGAGGAGGCGGGGGAGGGGAAGGGGGAGGGGGAGGAGGGGAAGGAGGGGGAGGAGGGGAAGGAAGGGGTGAAGGAAGAGAAGGAAGGAACCGAGAAAACGGAGAAGGAAGAGGAGGAGAAGAAGGGAGGAGAGAAAGAGGAGGAGACGGATGTGAAAGAGGGAGAGAAGGGAGAGAAGGACACGTCAGCAGAGAAGGCCAAAACCACAGAGAAACGGCCGGCTCGGCTTGTCATGCGAGCGAGGGGCAATTTCCGTCTTCTTCTGAACGCGAATCTTTTCCCCGATATGAAAGTCACTCGGATGGATGGGCGGGGAATTTCGTTTGCTTGTGTGAACAGTACGGGGGAGGAGAAGGAGAAGGAGAAAGAGAAAGAGAAGGAGAAGGAAGGGGGTGGTGCTGCAGCAGCAGTTGGTTTGACGATGCTGGCGCTTCGTTTTAAGGACGTGGCTCATACAGAGGAGCTGCTGTCGCTCATTAACGAGTATAAGGGCGGCAAGGGGAAGGATCCTTCCCAGAAAGCTCCTGATGCTGCAGAGGCGAAGGAGGAGGGGAAGGAGGAGGAGGCAGCACAAGATAAGGAAGGGAAAGAGGATGAGGAGACAGGGAAGAAAGAGGAGGAGAAGAAGGAGGATGGGGATAAGAAGGAGGAGGAGGAGGGGAAGCAAGAGGAGAAGGCAAGTGCGGAATGAGCAGCAAGAGGAGTGGTCTGTGAGGAGGAAAGGATAAGGGTGAGTAAGTCTTTTCCCTCTCAACGTCTGCAGAAATAAGTTATTGATTTTTATTTTTTTTCCAGGCGGGTTGGAGAGGGGAGGAGGGCGTGTTCTCAAAATGCGATATTAAAGGCACCACCACGCACTTCCCACCTCTCACTCCCTACCACACACTTTCCACCACAGACTCCCTTCCCTACCATGCACTCCCCCCACCACACGCTTCCTGCTACACACTTCCCACAGTGCAGGTGCAGGTGCAGTTGTAACTGGATTCCTCAATTCACGGCTCGTATCACTGCAATCCGCATGTCTTCCTACTGCATGTCAAGTCAAGTCGCTGCTCTTCACATGCTTGCTGCTTCAAGGTTTTGGAGGAGTCGACTCAAAAGTCACCTCGCTCGCTCCCGCTCCCCTTCTTCAATGTCCAAGCCCTTTGAGCCGACTTTAAGGCTTTAAGGTCACCTCGCTCGCTCCCGTAACCCGTTCCCCTTCTTCAATCAAGGTCCAAGCCTGCATCTCCTGCGTTATTCGACAAGGCGGGCCAGCTCCTGTCCAAATTCTTGCATTCTTCTTTCAATTCCACTGCCATGGTTGTGTTGTGTCCCAGCCAGACAGACTCTACGTATGGACCTGTAATTGGAAACAAATGTGGATGCTTTTAGGATACTATGGTTGTGTAGGTTGGTGGATTATAAGCATGTGTTTCTTATGTAAAGACACATGCGTGTACCATAATGCCTGCCTGCCTGCCTTTGTATTGGGTTGGGTTGGGGGGGATCAACATTTCATTGCCACATGCAGAAATTAGTCGAATAACCAGTAGTGGCATTATTGGCACCGACTGAAGAGAGGTGGGTGCGTGTATCGAGGGTTGAACAATGTCAGAAACAGAACCACTCCTGCGGATGTTTTCAAGCATGGACCGACATTTTGTTTCATTGCCACTTGCAGAACCCAAGGCTGACGTGGCAGGATGCAACTGGTCTGTTGAATAGAGGCGGGTCTGTGAGTGGGTTGACCAATGTTGCGAACAGGACCACTCCTGCTACAAATGATGAGCATATCACTGCAAATGATACGAGTTGTGTTGTGATAGAAAGGGGGGTTTACTACAACGTGGACTGCTTGTGCAATGAATGTTGCACGGATTGGTGCAAACAGCAGGACAGGGGCAGTTGTGAACGGGCCGGGCCTGATAACAACAAGAACAACTCCAGCATTTAAAGTTGGGTACAGCACGGCAAATGGGAGGGGGAGTTGTGATAACAAGGGGGTACCATATCTGTGCCGGTGTGTCAGGGCTGCTTGGTAATCCGGCACACCCACGGCATTGCAAATGGTGTGAGGTGCCACCGATGCCCACAGGTCTTGTGTTGGCTTACGTCGATTTTTAAGTCGACTTAAAAAACAAATGGTGTGAGCTGCCACCGATGCCCACAGGTCTTGTATTGGCTAACGTACCAGATTTTAGGGTGTACTTTTTAACTAACCCTGCACTCACCATATCTGTGGCAGTGTGTCAGTGTTGGCTTGCCATATCAGTGTTGGCTTACCATATCAGTGTTGGCTTACCATATCAGTGTTGGCTTACCATATCAGTGTTGGCTTACCATATCAGTGTTGGCTTACCATATCAGTGTTGGCTTACCATATCAGTGTTGGCTTACCATATCAGTGTTGGCTTACCATATCAGTGTTGGCTTACCATATCAGTGTTGGCTTACCATATCAGTGTTGGCTTACCATATCGGTGTTGGCTTACCATATCGGTGTTGGCTTACCATATCGGTGTTGGCTTACCATATCGGTGTTGGCTTACCATATCGGTGTTGGCTTACCATATCAGTGTTGGCTTACCATATCAGTGTTGGCTTACCATATCAGTGTTGGCTTACCATATCAGTGTTGGCTTACCATATCAGTGTTGGCTTACCATATCAGTGTTGGCTTACCATATCAGTGTTGGCTTACCATATCAGTGTTGGCTTACCATATCAGTGTTGGCTTACCATATCAGTGTTGGCTTACCATATCAGTGTTGGCTTACCATATCAGTGTTGGCTTACCATATCAGTGTTGGCTTACCATATCAATGTTGGCTTACCATATCAGTGTTGGCTTACCATATCAGTGTTGGCTTACCATATCAGTGTTGGCTTACCATATCAGTGTTGGCTTACCATATCAGTGTTGGCTTACCATATCAGTGTTGGCTTACCATATCAGTGTTGGCTTACCATATCAGTGTTGGACTACCTACCATTTCTAGGGCGTGTCTCTGCACTCACCATATCTGTGGCGGTGTGTCAGGGCTGCTTGGAAACCCGGGACCCCCATGGCATTGCAGAAGGCGTGAGCTGCCACTGATGCCCGCAGGTGTTTTGTTGCCTTACCTACATAACCATAAATCATATCCCTCTGGACTCACCGTATCTGTGCCGATGTGTCAAGGCTCCTTGGAAATCCGGGACCCCATGGCATTGCAGAAAGCGTGAGGTGCCACTGACGCCGTGTTGTGCTGTGTTGGCTTACCTAACATACTTTAGGGTATCCCTCTGGACTCACCGTATCTGTATGGATGTGTCAGGGCTGCTTGGAAATCCGGGACCCCCATGGCATTGCAGAATGCGTGAGCTGCCACTGACGCCCACAGACTGCCCGTTCTCAGAATGATGAAAGCGGCGAGGCAGCCAAACACCCACGTGAAGGCCATTTGGAACGCTGAGAAAACAAAAGAAAATAGAGGGAGATGGGAGAGAGGAAAGCAAGGCTGCCTGCACGTTCTCAGGATGAACTGAGAGAGTGCAAGTGAGTGAGGGGGGTGAGTGAGGGGGTGAGTGAGGGGGTGAGTGAGGGGGTGAGTGAGGGGGTGAGTGAGGGGGTGAGTGAGGGGGTGAGTGAGGGGCTGAGCGAGTGAGTACACTCTGAGTTGCGGAAAACAGATTAGATGAAGAGTGAATTGGGTGAAGAGTACATGCATTGCGAGAGCGTGCAAAGTAGGGAACACCAACCATGGCAAGAGCTTGGGGAAGGGAGCAGCGATGGTCGTCGGCCATTTTTGAGACGTCTCGAACTTGCATATTAAGTTCACGCAAAGTAAGGAGTGCATGGGGGACACACCAACCATGGCAAGAGCTTGGGGAAGGGAGCAGCGATGGTAGTGCACTAGGTTCCAGATGTGATGGCCGTGTGCTGCCACAGGGAAAGGTGGGGGGTGGGTGTTTGTGGGGAATGGAAGGAGGCGCAATCTCATTGCGGGGTCTCAAATCCACAAGGATCACAAAAATCAAAAATAAATTAAAAAAAAAAGGAGTCACAAAAATCAAGAGAGAGTAGAACGCGACAATAACACGAGCAGAGGACCACTCTGATCCAAAGAAGTGGTGAGGAGAGCACTGAGGCATTTCACAAGTAGGGTGGAGAGCAGACAAGAGTAGAGTCCACTTAACTGGGCAGGTTCGGCCCCGTAAGGGTTAAAGAAAAAGCGAACCTAGGCTGAAGAAAAGCGGGCAGATGAAAACCGTGGAGGTGACCGAGAAGCCGCCCGCAAGCAGAAGGGGACACAGGGCTGCCCGGAAAACAAACTCCTCGCTGAGAGGAGCCTGTGATGTGGAAGGTACGGTGAAGGCAAGGCAGAACGTGGGGGAAGTAAGCGCGGGGAGGAAGGAAGATGAAAGGAGAGCGAGGGAAGGAGACAAAACGAGAAGAAGCATTAGTGCCATCACAAGCTCTTAAAAGATCATTCCTTTTCTCCCTCATTCTGAACAACGCTCATTCCTTTCCTCAACGATATCTCAACATCTCGAGCCTTCTTGAAGGTGAATGTTTTGAGAGTAACTAAAATTCTTAAAAAGACTTGACACCACCAGCGTCACACATTTTCCCTTTCCATTTCTCACTCATCACATGTATCATTCCCCCTTTCCACCTTCACATGCCTCCCTCAATTTCCCGTCCTTCCTTCACATGTCTCCCTTAATTTCCCTTTCCCCCATCACATGTCTCCCTCAATTTCCCTCCCCCCTTCACATGTCTCCTCTGTTGCCCTTTTTCTCACCACCACGAGGTTTCGAGCATGAAACAGCAGGTCACTTGGAAGCACTGGCAGCACCAGTGGCTTAGATGCATGTGGGACGGGACAGCACAAAGCTCACTTCCCCCTTTCCCCCTGTTCTCACCACCACCAGGTTGCGGACGTGGGACAGCAGGTCACTCGGGAGCACTGGCAGCACCAGTGGCTTAGATGCACACGGAACAGAAGCAGCCGCACCACCACCATCAGCAGCGCCATCTGCACCATCGGCACTGGCTAGAGCGGTGTAATGACGATTCTCACGCCTCGCAGCGGCTATGGCTTGGAGTGAATTGAATGCGGAGAGAATGAGAGGGCCGAGAAAGAGGAGAACCACGAGGAGGAGAGGGAAGGCGAGGGAGGGGATCTGCTTGTTGGGAGGACGAGAAGGGGGGGGGGGGGGGAAGGTTAGGGAGAGAGGAGGCAAAACGGGTGGGGGAGAGAAGGGATGATGAGGGAGGGGATCTGCTGGTTGAGAGGTGGATATGAGAGAAACAGGGAAGCAGGGGAAATGGAAGAAGGGAAGTGAGGGAGGGGAAACGGGGGAGGGGTAATGGGGGAGGGTATGAGTGGGAGAGGGAGTATGCTGGAGTAATGGCGGACCCTGTGGCTATACCAGGACTACTTTTGAAATCAATGGCGACGAAAACACACACACACACACACACACACACACACACACACACACACACACACACACACACACACACACACACACACAAAAGAAGTTGATGGCGTGATAATGGACCTGGTAAGGAATGAGAATCTATAAGTATAGCTTACCAGGTAGTCAGGTTGCAGAGAAAGAAGACGTGGAACGGAAGGTAGAGGGGCATGGGAGTCGTCCAACTGCAGCACGCCACGTGGAAGATAGAGCAGAAGAACAGGATACGGTGTTCTTGCTGTTAAAAATTTGGTATGAGAGGGAATTCTGAAGCGTATCAACACGAGATAGTGAGTTTTTGGTGTGAAGCACGTGGTCCTAGAAGGAGGTCGGGTCGAGATAACTTCGAGGAAGGTATTTCTAAAGAGGTGAGCCTAAAACGCACTTCAGGGCAACAAAAACTTCAAAATCATTCTTGGAAGGGACATCAACGGGGACATACCAGGCCGAATGTTTTGGCACATGCGACAATGGCGGCGGATGCCACGCAGGAACCGAGCACGCTCGTGATTCGCTGGCACACGACACGTGGGTCGTCGCGATTGGCCGGTGGAGCTCCGCGCAAGAGACGGGGAACCTCCCACACGTAAAGAGAGAGAACGAAGAGGGAGGCGATTGAAGCGGATAGGAGGACGGAGAGAAGCGGATTCATGACTGAACGCTAAGGAGAAAACCTACTTCATTACTAATTTAATATGTTGATGTGCAAAGGTCGCGTGCGACTGGCAATGTCATTTGGATACGCCAGCGCCTGGAGAGAGAAGCAATGCGTCCTGCCTAAAGTGGTGGCGACAGTCCGCCTGCTTCGCTCAGCGTAAATGCATATCCAGCTCTAATCACTAAAACGTTCAGGAACAGGGAAACTGCTGAAAGTACTCCCGTGCTTGGAAAGGCGGTTTGGAAATACTCTCAAAATAGAAATCAAGGGATTCTTTAGTACAGCACACGGCAGCACAGCCAAGAGCGAAAATTGATCGTGTCGATGACGAGAGCTAGCGAAATCACGAGACCTAGCGAAATTGATAACTGTCGAATACGAAATACGATATTTTTCTGGCGAAAACGTTTAGCGTCGTGAATACATAACCGTTTTAATGAGTTGTTTTTCGCGAGCCTATTCTGACACGAACCAGACCAAACTCCAGGAATTCCTTGAATTCTGGAGGTTGTGTTTCAGCTTTCACAATTTTCGTCTCCAATTCCACTGCTCCTCATATCTTCATGTTACCTCCCTGATACTCGGACATACAAAAAATGCTTAGCTAGTAAACCGAAGCTCACGGCCGCAATCTTCGTGTCACCACGCTTCAGTAAGACCTTGAGCTACTTGGCTCCTTTTCGTTAAAAATAATTTCTAGCGATGGCGAACCTCCGTAGAGACGTCCGCGCTATAGAGAAAGAGAGGCAAGGAACGTCAAACGCGCCTTCGAACCGTGCCATAAAGCAGCAACTATCCTCGTTAGTAGCTTTCGAGTCGGCGTTAAAGCAGCAGCTGACCTCGCTTGCTACCGAGACAGCGGCACTCGCGGCACACGTGGGGAAGGCAACGCGCTCCGTTGTAAGAACCCGCGAGTTGAGACGAGGTGCGGAAACGTGACGTGTCAGAATTCGCTTTAAGAGTACCTTAGTTGTTAAGTATGAATGAGAAATAAATCTGTAAAGGCCAACGCCTTCCACTGTAAGAATCCCCGTTTTTATGCTCCTCAGCACAGCTCTGTAACGGGTTAATTTAGAAGCTCTGAAACGTCACAATTGTGTTTCTACAGTCTGGATACCGACTTGTTGGCATTGTTATTCCCGTTGACTTCCCTGGGAGTACACTGAATTGCGTTGCCTTCCCTTGTGGTACGTTGACTGCCGCTGGCTGGCGTTGACTGGCGTTGACCAGCAACTGGACGAGGCGTGCAAGGCCATGGAGAGCCGGAGCAACTTGATGACAGCCACTGAGGAGGTACGCTGGAAAGGAGAGGCGCTAGGGAATCTCAAAAGGAGCTTCTGTATAACCTGATGGCGACCCTGAGGACGTATGCTGGGAAGGAGGGGCGAGTAGTGGGACTGATTCTGTCCGCTGTATCTTTTCGTGTGAACTTTGACATTGTTGTTGCTGGACTTCTGAGGTGATTCTTACAGAACTTCCGTTGCTGCTGTTGTTGATGTTTCATCCGGGCATCAGTTCAGTTCAGTTGTTCTCTTGGTTCTCTCCTTGTTTCTCCCGCTTCGTCCCTGTCGTCGCTTCCCCTCCCCCCCCTCTCATATTTGCAGTCCATTCAGAAGATGCCAGCTGTCCTCAGCTCATTGGAGGCCTATCTGGACGAATCCATTGCGTGGTGCGTGCGGGAGAGGCGACGGGGGAGGTTGGTTTTGTGAAAGAAATAAGATGGTGAAAAGTGGGGCGAAGGGGGGAAACAGACAGAAGGAGATTTCTAGAAACGGGAGAGAGTTAAGTCAGAGAGAGACAGGGGTGGAGGGGGTGTTTGAAAAACGGTACCATGCGTTTCAGAAATAAATGGCAGGAAAAGGCTGAGAGGGTGGGAGGAGAATGGGGGGGAGGATGGGCTAGGAAGAGAAGGGAGGTAGGTCTTGCTGGGGTATAATAAGAAGGGGAAGTCCTTTTTTGTTGAGCCCTCCATATTTTTGTTTCTCGTTCCTCTGCCTGATTTATCAACAACCTTTGATCCCTGCAAACGCATGGTGGAATTTCTCATATGGGCTAATCCCTTCGTTTTTTATTTTTCTCTTGTTTTCCACCCCTGTTGTATTCGCTCGAAAAAGGCACCATGCCGCTCCAATTACCATGTTATCAACCCATTCTCTGATCCATGCTGTGCATTTCAAGCCATGTCAAAATTCAATCCCTCATGTGCATCCGGGCAATTCTCTAACTCATGTCTTTCTCATGTCCGACCCTTTGCTATCCATGTCTTTACCATTTTCTACCCCTTGTCAATTTTTATCCATGTCTGTCCCTTATATCCACGTCTTCACCCTGACCATTTTCCACTCCGTGTCTTCACCCTGACCCTTTTCTACTCAATTTCTTCACCATGCGTCTCTGACAGTGCCTCCGATTTACTACATGTGGCCCCATTCCCGTTGCAACCGCCACTTCAGCCATCCCATGTGGCACCTGTATCCCATGCTGCCAACATTTCTCAGTCTCTGAAGCAATCTCAACCGACCCACGCATCCAAACCATCCCATGAATCTCATGGTTATGAATCTCAGGCAGCAACCCAGACTCGTCTCACCCATTCGCATCAACCAACTCAACTGCTGCAAGCCCCGCATTATCTACATGCTTCATTGCACCAATCATAGCAGCGGCAACATGCAGGGCGGGGGAATCAATCGTTGGAGGCTATTCAGAACCAACCACGCTAATCACACGACCCGCGACAAGCCAACTGGTTCTTGGTGTATCTACCTACTAAAACCCCTTTGGTTCCATTGCCGTGTGGAGTAAATTATATGCATGTAGTAACATTGATTTTCTACCATTAATGGCATTATGGATTGAGTCGCACTGGCAAAAAAACGCTGCAGGAGTAGAGTGACTTAGATTTCAGGAGCAAGTCAAAGTGTGCTCAAACTTGTCAACACAACCACGTGCCAAGGACCTTCCTTCCACAATGAACGCTTGCTGGTTTTGGGAAGATCCAAAGGAATGGCTTTTAATGTGTTTAAGCATAGAAGGTATGTACCTCGAACATGGATGTTGCGAAAATATGACTCTATGCTGTCTTTTATCCACAGAAGAAGCGTTTGAGCGGATAGTAGCCAAATGTAGTTTCTCTGTTGTGAGTGTCCATTCATTCTGTTTCTACCTCTGGAAGAGGAGAACTCAGAAATGAGTATATCATTTGTGTGATGGCGGGAAACTTTTTGAAATCTTCCCCGCCGGTTGCCGCATTTGGCGTTTTGAACTGTGTCACATGCGTTCTCCGACCACATTTTTTCGGCGCGAGCCCCGTCATTTAGGCCCCCAAATAAGGGATTCTGCATCCTACGATTGATCCACGTCGCATATCGTAGGGATCTGGTGTCATTTATTGATTGCGTCGCATCTTCTCGACTTCGAAAGCCCTGGAAAAGCTCCGAACCACACGCTGGCGTATATCTGTGGTGGCTGAAAGCATGATGCATTTTTCACTTTATCTGGGCGAGTTGCACCGGCAAATGCAGCACCATTGGTTCAGCCAGAGTCGTCAACCACACACTATTTCGAACCATGAGTTACATGAGATTTGGGTAAAATAATTGCCCATACGAGGAATGTGGGTAGCATTTGCACCGTCGTGGTGTACGAGCAGTGCACCTACTGGGATGTGAACTGGCGTGCTCTGCCAGCACCATGCTCCCCTCGAATATTGTGCAACTGGTGAGTTTTTTCTTATAGCCTGTACAAATGACGGAATCATTCGACTATACACTCTTACTATTCCCAATTTACAGCCCGCGGCAGCCCAGCGCAACGCCGTTTAGCATTCTTTCTGACAGCTTTGCCAAGGTGGCATCGGGCCTGCAACGACAGCCTCAATTCCTCTGACACCTTCTAACAACCACTCGACGGCGTCTGGTTTGGAAAGCGTCAACCTCGAGGTTTCACCAGACTCGGAGCCACAGGAGCTACAAGAACCACCAACCCCATTTGCAAGCAGTCATCCGAAGCTAGTCATAATTCACTATCCAACCACATCACACATCCCGCTTCTTGCATCCCGCCTTCTCACATCCCAACCACATCCCATATCATCCCCCATCATGCATTCTGCATCCCCATCCGGGGATCATGCCGCTTCCCCCACATCCACATCCCTTCGCGCGATCAAAAACCGCTGCGACGGGCTCATGCACCCTGAAAGATGGGAAATCGGGGATCCCAAGGATCCGAGGTAGCGTGTTTTCGGCAGCCTCGATGGCGGAAACCCGGAATGCCTGAGGAGAGGAATGCACTGCTTACTACCCTCTTACCATGGGCGGTCACATGACGGCGGAAAAGAATTTGACCGAGTGACCGTAGAGGAGTCATGATCCATCCAGCGTGACCTCCTCCAGTACTATAATATCCATCGAGCTGATCCGAGAAGTCACAATTGATTTCTTCTCTCTCGCGACCCCATCCGGCTCAGCGTCTCAGTCTCCTGCTAAATTCTCTATACTTCTTCTCTCCTTTGTTCTCTCAATTGCCTTCTCTCTCCTGGTCGTCTCTCTTGTTAGAGCTTTCGCGACCACCAATTCTCCTTGTCTCAACAACTACATCAACCGTCGCGTTCCATGGCCCCGCCAACTACCATGGATCACACCATGCCAACTAGTTACGTTGACAACAACAGACGGGATTCGGCAATTACTACTAAGCACGATCAAAATTCGACGTCAGCAGCAGCTACCGCCGCCGGTTCTCCGCTCTGCCGGCAATCGTGCAACACGCCTGCGTCTCAACAACAAAGATCGTCGCCTCCTGCGTGTCCTCAAGCCCCGAGAGCATCGAGCCGCGGCCTCAAGAGACGGATGGTGCCTTCAGAGAACCTCAGGAGACTCTTCAGACCAATCAACTTCGACGGAGTCACGTCGTCTTGAAAATTTTGATTGTAGAAGATCGCTGTCAACATTAAACCCCAAGGCGAATCCCAGCTTTTATCGAGCTCCTCCTAAGGAGGAACTTCAAGTTCGATCAGGATTCGATCAAGGAGCCTAATTGGGCTCTTCAAGAATAGTGGCTCATCGGATAAAATGAGCAGAGCAAAGGGCAGATTGTTTATAGTTCCACTCCAGCTTCTAACTCGCTGGAAGATCATCCTGCTCTGTCATAGCTCTTTAAGCTTAGGAATTCATGTACCATGCAGCGCCAAGATGCGCCAGAGTTGAATAAGATGAAAAGAAAGTACCGTAACAGAATCGGTGCAATTTACAAAATTTTACAGGGGTTCTGGGTACACACTAAACGATCTTGACGCCTTATCCAAAGTTGTTGAATACTTTCTTGCACAGATGATCCCCATAGACCACTGACTCCAATCCGGATGTCCCCATGGTCTTCACCAAAGCATCTAGAGGTTCCACTCTTGCATCAAAATTCGGCTGTGCAAGCATACACCACCACCAGCAGGCACAAGGAGTAAGAAAGAGGTCAAGATCAACCAAGATCAAGATCAGAAGCATCACATATTTTGTGCAACAGATCCCATAATCTCCCAAGCTCTTACTTCGTAGAAGAATGGCACAGAAACTCGAAATGTGCGGCTTCTGTTGACAACCCGATGGGGAGTTGGCTGGTACAGCCCGTTTGTCCACAGCTGCACAGTCGTTATGGGCAGTGGGCAAAGATACAATGACATTTGAGGTCACGTTGGGCATATTTTCAATAATTATGGATGTCAAACAGGCTCATATGACGCAGGCGTCTTGGATATGGTCAAGCTGCAAAACCTCGGTGCATGTTCAGCAAGCTGCAACACTAAAAATGGCTGTGTTGGACAAAACTTTGACACGCTCACAACAATAAGGATATGCTAAAAAGAAACAATGAGATTGTCACTGCTGAATTGCGACAATTGAATAAACAGGAGGGGGGAAGGACATGAGTGCACTTTCCATACCTTGAGCATGTCACCAATGTTGACCACGAAGCTTCCTGGAACTGGAGGAGCGTCCACCCACTCGCCAGCCTTGTTCTTCACCTGTCCCTCCAAACAAAAAAAGCAAAGGGTTTTGGTGAAAGTATTAAACACCACATCAACAAAGCACAAGCAGGAAATAATGCAAGGTTGTACATGAAGGACTGTATGTGGCGGGCTGTACCTGCAAGTCTTTACCTGCAGGGCTGTGATCCCAGGATCCTGATTCACAAAAGTGAGAAGACCTGCAGGGGAGAACAGTGCAGCAGATACAAGATGCAGAGAGATTGAGCGTCATTTGCACGGAAAAGGAGACAGGCTCCAGTGTGAAGTGAGAGGAAACATGTAATTCCTACCCAGAACAAAAAGCGGTCTTAAGACAACTTGAAGGGGAGAGGAAAAGAAGCCTAACGTACCGTAATCCGTGTGCTCTCCGCTGGACCAATTACAAATGCCACATTCATCGCATTTGATGTCTCATTTGCCCCAGTTATATTCGTCCCGACAGTCATATTGCATGAGAACCGTTTGAATGAAACGGGAGAAGGGCCAGGGGGAGAAACAGGACGGAAAGAGGGAAACGGAAGTCAGACGTGGTAAAGTGTCTGTATTGTGCAAGCTTGCAGAAGGGGGATTTTGTAGATAAACACACTAATATCCGACGCCAGAACAACATGAGAACGCCCAACATATACTGATGCGTCAATATGGACCACCCCCCCCACCCCCCCCCCTCTCCCCCCCCCCCTCCTCCTCCCCCCCTTCCTCCACACACACACACCAGCTGAGCGATTCCGTGTCATGTGCAGCAAGAGGGGGGTAGCCAATAACCCGGATGACCCAGAAGGGGTCATCAGCCCTCCCGTGCTCAAACGTGTCGAGCGGGAGGTGCAGGCCCATGGCCATGCCCCTTAGCACTGTGCGACCCAGAGCTGAAAGAGGGGAAGGAAGGGGGAAGAGGGAGCAGAGGATAGAGCAGGGACAAGTGATGCTGATGGGATCGAGTGGCAGGTGCAGTCCCATGGCCATGCCCCTTAGCACCGTGCGACCCAGAGCTGGTAGTAGGGGAATGGAGAGCAGGGGAGGGAAGAAGAGAGGAGAGAGCAGGAATCATGCAATCTGAGCACGAAACACAAACTCCAGCTAAGACATTGTGAGTCAAGGGCATCAAGAGGGGGGTAGCCAATGACTCGGATGACCCAGAAGGGGTCGTCCGCCCTGCCATGCTCAAAGGTGTCGAGTGGAAGGTGCAGGCCCATGGCCATGCCCCTTAGCACCGTGCGCCCCAGAGCTGCAAGGAGGGGAAAACAATGGAGAGCAGGGGATTGAAGGAGAGATAGAAGGAATCAGTAACCTTGACGCAATTAAGCAGGAGGTGCAGGCCCATGGCCATGCCCCTTAGCACCGTGCGACCCAGCGCTGGTTGGGGAGGGGAAGGAGGGAGTGGGACAGTGGGATAATGATGATGGAACTACAGAGGTGAAGAGTGGCAGGTGCAGCCCCATGGCCATGCCCCCGTGCGGCCCAGGGCTGAAAGAGGGGGAAACAAAGGGGAGCAGGGGATTGAAGAAGAGATAGCAGGAATCAGAAACTTTGATGCAATTAAGCTGGAGCTGCAGCCCCATGGCCATGCCCCTTAGCACCGTGCAACCCAGAGCTGGGATGTACTTTTGATGTCCGCCACACGCCCTACCTTTCATTTTTGTCATATTGTCATAACTTTCATCTTTTATTACATATGCCTACCGACCATTGTTGCCACACACTTACTTGACTTTATGTTCTTAACACGTACATACCTTTCATCTTGGTCACATATTCCTCCACAACTGGCCTGAAGCGTTCCGGTTGACTGGGCCTGCATAGCAAGGAGAGGCAAGACAATATGTCCTTTACAAGAGATTGAAAATGGAACCGACTGTGATACAATGGGGGCAGGCGCATGGTAGAAAACACCAGAGAAACAAGTAACAAGCAAGAGCTTATCCCTGTAGCGAAATCCAACATGTTACATCTTGGCAAACACAACAATCTGCAAGGGTGCTACAAAAACAAAAAAATGTGGAAAGGGCTTAAACGACAGACAGGGATTGTTGGCAGGGAAGGACGAGTGACACTATGGCAGGGACTAGGTGACATTAGGGACTAGGTCCTTCGCTCACCATGGGTTGGGGCCGTGAAGCGGTTTCCCGGAAAGCACGAGAGGATGATTAGCTAGATGCTCCCTGTACAGCTGGCGAGGAGGGAGGGGAGGAGGGAGGGGGGGAGGGAGGGAGAGAAGGAGGGGGGAGGGCAGAGAGGGACATAGAATGGAGACGTGCACAGAGCCGATACATCCATGCTTCCATGTATGCTGGGGGGAAAGAGGGGAAGGACGAGCCCGGAGAAGCTTGTGACTCTGAACTAAACAGAACAGTACACCTGCAAAACAGTTTCTTAGAAAAGAAAACTTGTCAGATTAACAAGGTTCACATGAATGGCTCCAATTACCAGCTACGCACATCAACCGGCTCAGACTACCAGCTAAGCTCACACCGACGGCTCAGATCACCGACTCAGCTCACACTAACGGCTCAGATCACCAACTCAGCTCACACCAACGGCTCAGATCACTGGGCTCAACTCACATCAATAGCTTCATGCATGTCGCGCCGGCCCTGAGTAATGTTCTCTCCAAGCCTCTGGTACCCCCTGCACGCAGCAAGGGAAAGAGTAGGAACTGGGTAAAGAGGCATGTTGCGCGTTGGTTGCTCTGAAGCCGCAAAGTCAACCCAAATCTGAAATAGAACAAAACAAGGGGGCAAACAAGCAGCGGGGCTTCAGTTGGCCATTGCAAGCGGGTGGGACATATCACTTTCCATCCCCAGCACACAGATGAACCACCTCACATGCGCAACCTCTCTACCCCCCTCACGACGTTTGAGACGTCTCAAAAGCGGTCATTGCAAGTGGGTGGGACATATCACTTTCCGTCTCCAGCACACCAGACAGCCCCCCTCACATGCGCACCCTCTCTACCCCCCTCACCTGCGTGCACTCCCTACCCTCCTCCCAAGCCCAACCGCCCTACCTGAAGATCGGAGACTTGGAGAGGGCAATCTCGTTCTTAGCCTCATCAGCAAGTGCACTCATGTTACCACACGAACCCCATCAAATGCGCACCTCCCCGCCTCACATGCACGCATCCCCTGCCCTCCTCACAGGCACAAACACCATACCTGAAAATCGGCGACTTTGAGAGGGCAATCTCGTTCTTAGCCTCATTAGAGAGCGCAAAAAACTCTCTCCCCACTTCTCGGGCCTCATCCACCAGCTGTTGGGACACGCCATGGCCAGTCTGGAATGTGGCACATGGAAACAGTAGGCAAGACACACACACAAGCTTAAATCACTAAACTACGGCAAAATCCCCGTCTTGTAATGACTCTCGTTCAAAAGAAACAGCAGCAGATACTCATTGAGCACTTGAAACGCATGACATCCGTATCATCGCCTGAAAAGACCCGTTTTGGAAAACAACAGAGGCAAACTCACTAGGTAGAAGAAGCCGACTTCCTGGCAAGCTGCATGGATCTCTGAAGCAACCCGCCTGACGTCACTGGGGTATGACGCCTCTGAAGCTTCTGATGAAGTCGTGGGTAAAGCTGGGTTCAGACTGTTCGAGTCAGAACAGAACTCAACGAGAGGACAGATGTCTGCGGGAAAAAAAAGACATACAGAAGTAATTAAGACGGCGAGTTATTTATGAGCCAATCCGCCTGATGTCGGTGGCGTATGACGCTCTAATGAAGCTTCTGGTGACGCCTGACGTCACTGCCCGGAGCGTGAACAAGAAGACGTACCGATCTTCGGGAGCTCCTGAAACGTGCGGACTAAGACGTCCTTACTCGCGACGACGTGCAGCACTGTGAGCTTCTTTCGGTAAGTAAAAATTATCGTGGAAGGGTATGATTTCCGTCGAATCGCAGCAACGCCATGGGTGCGAGATCCGCTCCAGAGTGATGTTTTTTGGCATAAGGATGAGAAGCAACAGGTCGCCGACATCCTAAAACTATTTACAAGCGGGGGCAGAAAATGCTGAAAAAGATAGGTGTTACAACACCCGTAATAAAAGCCTACCGTAGGACAATGCTACAAAAAACGACCGAGGCAAGCGGGTTTGTGCTGGTTCTAAGCGAGCGGATTTTATTGGAATCGCTGCTAGGCCTTCAAAGTAATAAGGCGGTTAGTCACTGCTTCCACTGTGCATTCATTTGGCCAGAATTAGGAGATTTACTAGGCCTAGTCAGCTTGTAGGAAACAGGAATTGCCCTGAACATGCAAGGGTGTGAGGGGATGAGTTGTTGGATGTGGAGTAGTGATGGTCAAGCTTCAACCGTTTGCGAAGTTGAAGTTACTGGCATGTCCACGCGAATCTCGAAACGGCGGTAACTACATTACCTTGGAAAGCGAACAGAACATAACTAGTCCATCGACCTCCCTATTTGTCCCGCCTTGAGTCATGTCTGTCTTGGACTTGTCAGATTTTCCCGCGCTGGAGAAGTGTTCTGACTGGCAATGAAGCTGCGGCGGAATTGGCTAGGGTAGGGTGTTCCCTCTCAGGGCAGATCCAGAAGTACATTCTGTCTATCCACCTAAAAACCGTTTCAATATTACATCTTGACCGTTTAAAAACGTGAACTACCTCATTCAGAACGGAACTGAAATGGTCAAGACACCTCATCAGACACGCTTTGAACAAATCAACTATTTAGTGCTTTCCCTGTTGTGCTCGTTTCTTACGCACAGCCTCCACAGCCTCCGCGCATTTCCTGCTCTGCCAACTTGAATCGCCTAAACCAGTCCAGCTCGGGTCAGGTTACCATTCTAAGATCCAGTGCGAAATGTAGGTTTTCTGTAGCTACTCGCGCCGCCTGTGAGACACGCATGCTGCTCGTAGCTCGTATGCAACTAATACAAAATGGTCGCCTTGTTTTCGGACAAACATTCAGATTTTGAACCTGTGTCCACAACGAGGAGTCCCCTGCGCCTTGGTCGAACCGCATTTCCAATCCTATACAAGCTTCCATCACGAGCGCGCCGAGGGCTATCCGTTTTAATCACTATCCTCTCTATACTCGCTATCCTCACAGCCACCGTTATAATCACGCACAGCAGCCTGGGAGGCGTCGTCTCAGCTGGCATCAGCCCCAGCAAAGCCGTGCGCTGGATCACGCGATACACGCAGAATCTGACGGCTCAGATCGCCTCACACGGGGAAAGTAACACCCGTAGTAATGTAGCTTCGCCAGAAGGTCGAGTAGTTTGTTGGTGGTCCGACGCTCATGGCGGCTATTCAGGGCTGGAAGATCTCGCAGCCGCGGAGTTAACAGAGCAGAATAGGAGGAAGGGAGGTGTGATAATATCGGGGTCTGGTTGTGCTCGTTGCACGGTAGGCGAGCTCTGCGCGTTTGACATCGATATAAGAGCACCAGCGGGATGGGATGTGACTCCGCCGCCTGATATAATCGACGTGGCGCGCGGCGCGACGTCCAATCTCACGCTCAACGTGGATCGAACCAGCAACAACGCGAACTCTAGCGGATATCATGGCGGGGATCACGCAGCGAATGGCGGCGGAGGGGACGGGTGGAGCGGAAGCGGACGGGAGATGGGAGTGGGTGACACTAGAGAGTCTCTTGTAGTTCGTCTGGTGGGGCCGGCGTTAGCGGCAGCGGATGTGACTAAAGAGGGGGGTGACATAAGAATATGGAGAGTTGCTTACCGCGTGTGGGATGCAGGGAACTACAGCGTGCTCCTGCTATCGGAATGTGGGAATCTGGACTTCACCCACAACAGCACTGAACGCGCCCTAGGCACGGTGGCTGAATGGAACCTCACTGTGCTCCCAAGCCCTGTTCCTGCTTCTCCATCCTTCTCCACCGATCCAATCACATTCAATCAATCTGTCGGACCTGCAGTGGCAGGCACTGACTCTACCGCGGACACCACTACTGAATCCTCAGACAGAACTGACTATAACGAGTACCAGGACACCCCATGCGACCACTCCGCGTACGGTCGATGGCTCTTCGACCCACCAAAGGGCAAGTACACGTGGCAGCTGTACCCGTGCGCGCAGCCCCTCCCGCCGCCTTCTGATTGGCTCAGCGCGCTTCAGTCTCGGGGCATCTATGAGATCAACATCGTGGGCGATTCACATCAACGGTTCCTGTTCAACCACCTCTTTTTCCTGCTCACAGGGAAAGCACACGTTTCCCAGTCGAAGGTCCATCATGATATGAAGCACATGATCATGCCCTCTCCTGCTCTCGCCTCTGCTCCTGCTGCTGATTTGCCTGACACCCCTGCTGCTGCCGCCTCTGCTCCTTTTGGCGAGGGGGCGTCACCTGGCAATAGCAGTCAAGCTGCAGAGCAGCGGCCGTTGAAGCTCAACTTCTACTGGATTGCTGGGATCTACAACATCGGGCAATACGGATGCAAGTAAGTGTCTGCGGCGTTGCATAAAATGTTATTTGATAAGAGGCTCTAATGGCTTGTCTCTCATGCGTGTGTCTTTACGCGGCCATGCATGCCTGATGGTGCACGCACGCATGTCCATGTATGGCTGTTCGGGCATGCAACATGCCTCTTCATATCTGCTCATGCGTCCATGTCTGCTCTTGCAGGAAGAAGTTTTCGAATCAGGGTGGCCCACTCCCCACTATCTCATCAGCAGCAGATGTCACTATAATCAACGGAGGCACGTGGATCCATGGTTTCTGTGACGCGCCTGAAGATGCTTTCGGGTTCTTTCTTCCAAGGTTCCTGCGCTGGGCTTATATGCAAATGCAGGCGGCTCGAAAGTGGCATGCGGCGAGAGAGCAGCTTCTTGAATCAATAAGGAAGAAACAGCAGCAGCAGCAGCAGCAGCAGCAGCAGGAGGAGCAGCAGGAGCAGCAGCAGCAGCAGCAGCAGCAGCAGGCAGTTGCACGAGGCAACGTCAACGTTTTTCTCAGAGCTGCTTCTGAAGCAGGTAGCAGGAACTCCAGAGGGCCCTGGCTGCTGTACCGGACCATCCCTCCATTACCACGTAACGGTTTTTGCCGTTATGGATCAAACAGTCTCGTATTTCATTTGAATAACGTGGCTATTGCACATCTAGCCCGATATAGAATTGGGCTTTTAGATGGGCGGCACGTTGAGGTGCCAAAGATGGAAGATTACTGTAGTGGTCGTGATAACCACTACAGCTGTTTTAGACACCGCCCGAAGTTTGGGAAAGGGAAGGGAATCTATGAGGGTGATGTAGGGGAGGCTATGGTGTACATGACGATGTATCATATATTAAATCTGCTGGAATGAAATTCTCTCTTTCTTCAGCAAGGACTCCCTGAATATATCTGTATGTTTTTGAGGGTGTACTGCGCACCCACTCGATTCCGTAAACCAACCGTTCTTCACCGCAAAAAATCTAGTTGAAACCCCCCTCATCGCAAATCTCTAGGTCATCGAAGTGATTTGAATTGCCCCTATTTTCGGTCCCTGCATTCTTGCGTGTTGCCGACCCAAGCATTTCATCTTGCAGCCATTTTTCCCACCAACCATTTCCTATCCCATCCGTCTTTCTGCTTCGTGCCTTGTCCTCCTGGTGTAACTCCGTTTATCCGCAGCGCGCGATACGCCGCTAGATAGCATTGGAAATGGCGCCGTCGAATTCGCTCCTCTCGCCGTCACCTGCGGCGCTGTCATTTCTGAACTCGCACTTTCAGCGGCTCGAAGATCTCTCGCTCGCGCCAAATCTCCTAGGCAATCTCTCTTCGGAGATTAAAGACCTAATTTCGCGCAAGGATTCGCTCTGTTCGTTGCTCGCCTCGTCGCTCCAACCCGCAGATGACGACAACGTCCGAGCCAGCAGCTCCAGGCTCGGCGAATCCGAGCCTGATACACGTCCGGGAATCATTTCATCCGTGGCTGCTCGCGCGCTCCAATCCATAGCAGCCACGTCAGAACGAATCGAAGAATGCCACGTGCGCGCCTCCGTGGCGGCCGCTGACGTGCAGCCGATGGTGGATCGGCTTGCCAGGCTGGCAGCTGAGGTGGCGAGATGCGAGAGGGTGAGGGGATACGTAGAGGTGGTGATAGGGTTTGAGCGTCAAGTAGGAGATGTGGAGGAGAAAGTGGGAATGGCGGTGGGACTATGGAGGAAAGAAACCGGTTCTGTTGCTTCCTCCTCTGCCTCTGCCTCTGCCGCTGCTGCTGCTGGCGCTGGTGTTGCTACTGCTGGTCCTGCTGCTGCTGCTGGTGCTTCTCCTGCTGCAAGTGCCGCCCCCATCACTTCCAGGAAGCAACCATTTCGAAACCCTAAGCTCCTCTCCTCGCTCCGCACCGCCTCTCACGCCATCCTCACCGTATCCAACCGCTCCGCGTCCACCGCGCGCCACCACCCGGCCTGGTCCCGCCTGTTGACAGCTGTCGACCTCCGATTGGACGCTGCAACTGCCGCCCTGCTAGGCCCTCTAATGGACTGTTACAGGGGATGTCTCGCTGCTGCCTGCTGGCCCCCTCCCCTTAGGAGGAGGAGGAGGAGGAGGAGGAGGGGGAGGAGGGGAAGAAGGAACAACAGATGCTCCTGCTGCTGCTGCAGGTTCGGCACTGGTTCGGCTCGCCGGACCTGGAGGCGAGCTTCGGGCTGAGTTCACGAGCCTGTTTTTGGCGCTGTGCTCCCTGCAGCACGCGCAGAAGGTGAGGCGAGAGGCAGAGCAGGTACGGATTCAAAGCGAAAGAGAGGTTGCTTATATGGAGGATGGAGAGGAAGAGGAGGAGGAAGAGGAGGAGGAGGAGGAGGAGGAGGCAGACCTAGGGAATATCCAGAACCTTGGGAATATCCAGGTGGAAGAGCCGTTGCTATGGGGGATGGAGGAGCTGGTTCAGCCAATCGCGTCGCAGGCCCGGCCTCCTTTCGACCAATGGGGAGCGAGCGGGCGGGCGGAGTGGGCCTTTGCGCTGACCCTCCGTGTGGCGTTGACTGGCGTTGACTCGTTTGACCTCGCGCTACAGCCACTGGTGGACGAGGAAGGGCTTACGGGGGTGAGTGTGCGGGAGGGCTGGGTCCGGGCCGTGGTTCGGATGCTCCCGATCCACTTTCTGCGGAGGTCCGTCGTGCCGAACCTGGCTGAGAAGCTTCTGGGAACCACAGGAGTTGGAGGAGAAGGAAGTTTGGGAGGGAAGGGGGAGGAAGATTGGGAAGAAAATTTAAGTGAGAATGAGGAGAGGGCAGCAGCAGCGAGGGAGTGGCTTCGAGTGGTGAGTGAGTGCATTGCCTTTGACTCTGCCATGTCTCGCCTGCTGGTCTTCGGCTCTCCTGCTCCTTCTGCCGGTGATGCTGCTGCTGGTGGTGCTGGTCTTGCCATTGATGCTGCTGCTTCTGCTGCCGCTGCCGCTGGTGCTGGTGCTGCTGCTGGTGCAGTAACAGCAGAATCTGCCAGTGCAGATCTCCCCGTGCCAGCATCAGATTTCTGGGCGGCACTGCAGGTCGATCCCACAGTGGGGGTGTTCGCGGAGCGACCTGATTGGCTGCTGCTCTGGATCCAATTGGAGCGCGCCAGCGCACGCAGGAGCGTCCTAGCTGTCATGAGCAGGGGCGCTTCCTGGAAGGTTCCTCGGGATGGGGAGGATGAGGCAAGCTTGGGCTTGCAAGATCTGTCTGCTTCTGGCCTGCTGTTGACTGCAGTTGACCGCCCTGAAGCCGCGGAAACAGCAGGAAAGGGAATCGTTGAGTTTCGACCGCCGTCCGTTGCTCTTTGGCTGATTGAGATTCTCCGGGCGGCTGTCTCCCGATGCGGGCGGCTTTCCGGGACTGTATCTGAAGGCACTGTAGCAAGCAGCACTGTAGCAAGCAGCACTATAGCAAGCAGCACTGTAGCAAGCAGCACTGTAGCAGGCAGCAGTGACAATAACGAAGGGAGCGGCACCAGCAGTAGCATCCTCAGCCCCAGGGCCATCGGCCGCGGGCGGCAGCGCCTGTCTTTTGTCGAGGGGCTCTGCCGCCCGATTCTCTCGGCGTTTCTGAAAGAGACAGAGCAGAGAGCGGATGAGATAGAAGCAGCAGGAGCCCTGGCGAGGGATGGTGATTTGGAGGATATGGCTGGGTGTGCCAATGCTGCGAGGTTTGTTGCTCATGCCCTGGGGACATGGCAGGATGAAGGGTTCCTGGTGGAGGCATGGGAGGAGGGGAGGAGAGAGAGGAGGTCGAGGCAAGCGAGGAGGAAGGTGAGGGAAGTTTCTTCGCAGCAGCAGAGGAAGAAGGAGAATCAGCAGCAGCAACAGCAGGAGAAGGAGAAGGAGAGAGAGCAGGCGGAGTCTGCGGGAAGGCGAAAGGTGGAAGGGGAGGATCAGGAGCAAGAGCAGGAGCAGGAGGAGGAAGAGGAGGAAGGAGGAGACGGATGGGAGCTACTGGATGTGGAAGAGAATGAAAGTGAAGCAGAGCAACAACGGCAGCCTCAGCAACACCAGCAACATCGGCAGGGGGAGAACCAGCAGAAGAACCAACCAGAGCAGCAAGGTGAGCAACAAGCAGAGCAGCACGTGGAGCACGCGGACCCGCAGATGGGCCGGATTCAGGACCTACTAGACCAATTCCAGGGCCCCGGTCCAGACCTCTTCTCCTCTGAAATTCACCGACTCGCCGCCCTGCACTCCACGCTCGTCGCCAGGCTGGCAACAGCTGTCGCGCGTGGATTCGTCTCCCGGGCCGCCGAGTACCCGCGCGCCATTGTGCGCGTCCAGGCCCCTCCCCTCTCCCCTCCCTCTCCTTCTGGCGATGCACATACTCCCTCCCTCTCCTCCTCCATATCCTCCTCCCTCGCGCTCTCCTCCTCTCTAGTCGATGCGCTCATCTTCCTCCGCATCCGCCTGCTCTCTGCCCGCCACTCACTCGACGCGGCTCTCTTCTCCTCCTTCTGGCGCCACCTCGCTGCCTTCCTGGACAGGTTTCTAGTGGATAAGGTTGTGTTGGGGCGAGAGGTGAACGTAGGCGTGGGTGTGGGGGCGGGGGGTGCAGACTTGGCTGGAGGGGGAGGGGTTGGAGGAGTTGGAAGGGTGAGCGGAGGTCCAGGTGTTTTTTCAGATGGGGTGGGCTCGAGGAGTGCGAAGAAGGGTGGTGGTGGGGCGGGGCTTGTGTTGGGCAGCTTGAAATTTTCGGAGCGGGCAGGGCAGCAGTATTCGCACGACATGCAGGTGGTGGTGTCTGTGTTTGAGATTGCCACCCCCCGCCCGCTCAACTTCTTCAAAAGGACGAGAGACACCGCCCGGCTGATGGCCATGACGGATAGAGACGCCAACGGGTTACTGTTCATGCTGTCGCTGGTGAGTGGGTCTGGGGGAGCAGCATCGTCTTCATCCTCGTTATTAGCTTCTTCGTCAAAAGCACTGGCGTTGGCCAGTGCAGCTATAGGGGCTGCTGGGGCAGCTGTTGGTGCGGGTGGTAGGGATACCAGCAGTGGCAGGGATTCAGGGGTTGATAGCCCGGAAGCCAAACAACAGGAGCAGCAGCAGCAGGTGGAAGAGGAGAGGCAACAGAGGGCGGCAGCAGCGTTGAGGCGGAGAGGGATCTTGCATTTACAGGCAGGGGAAGTGCAAGCTGTGCTGGAGAGACGTGCTCTGCCAAAAAGGTAGCGAAGCGAGTATTGCTTATGAGTTGATCGTAGCTGGGATGGCTAATGAAACCTTGTTTGGCCCCAACTATAGAGGAAACAATAACTGTCATGTATGCCACTCTGTTGCACTGATTGTTACTAAGAGCATGCAATATGAGTTGCACGCATGTGATAACTTAAAATGCATATTGCACGAGTGATAATAGGCAATGTTCATCTGGGCAAAATAGAACATTAAGTCGATTTCAGTATCCTTGATTTATGTACGAGCTTGACCAGGTGTACATATCAGCCTTTAATGTAGCAATTTCTCAGCAAGCTCTTCACCACTGACAAATGCCTGCTGGCATCCCCTTCCGAAACGCGATCAGAGCGGTTCGTCACTGGCACGCCGCATCTTGCGTTTCGCCCTGATTTGTGCACGAATTGAGGCCACGAGCGGGGCATTCGGAGGGTGAAGGGAATGCGCCCATTTTTCCTGGTGTTTCTCAACCAACCAACTGCACACTTGGCTGGGTTCGCCAGTTTCGCGTTGTTCCAACAAACTTCGCAGGCCTTGCGAAAGCGTTACACGTTTTCGCATAACCCTACTGCACCATCCTTTCCCAACCTCCAGCACGCCACTTACTGGAACATCACAGCATCGGAACCCCCACCTCGATAGGCGGCCCCTATTTCCTTCGGTGCTGATCAGTGCACTTCTGTTCGTCAGTAGGAGCGTCCAAGCCGCAATGGCTACCGTAGTGCTGCCTCTGGTCAAACGGAGGAAAGGATCGTGTGATATACAGCGGCTGCGGCGATTTCGTACCAGGTCCCCAGAGTGGCGAGGCACACGGCGGCAAACAGCAACCTCTCCCATCCCACCATGCTCAATGAACAGTGATTTGATATATACCAACTTTTTTTAACCAGCCAATTGCCGCCGTCTGCGCTGACCGCAGCAGTCAAGAGGCGACGTCAGTGGCTGCGCCACTGCGATGCCACGCGACTCGGTAGGCTCTTATGAAGCCCTGTACATCTGGGGTGCCCATCGCTCCTCGCCTCCTTGAACTCGCGTGCTTCTCCGTAGAAGACAATTTAGTATAAACACCAGTGGTCGCGGCTCCGTGCCTCAATAAAACGAGTTATAGTAAGCTACCGCTTTTCGTGTTAGGCCGGTATAGAATACGTTGCCTTTGATCCACGTGGAATGCAGCACAAGGACGACCGGTTCTAACTAATTAGCTCCTTTGATGCACGTGACTCGCCGTCCGCAGAGCTTATTAGCGGCGCGTCCGCTTCCAAAACCCCAGAGCTGATTATTCACGCAGAGGAAACCGTAGCGGCGACGTTTTCCTCGCGGGCTTTCGCGCTCGTTCGCGCTCATTCGCTCTCTTAAATCGCGATGATCCCTAGGGAGGGGCGGCCACAGCGGCCCGTAAGCGGCTCGGTCCGAGTACCCACGCTGGTGTCCCTCGTCTCAATCCTCTCGCTCGTTCTAGCCGTTACAGAACCAGCGCGCGCAGGACGATTCTTGACGGGAAAGGGTTTGAAACGAGGGGATAGGATTGGTGGGTCTTCGTTGCGTATCCTGGACGAGGTGCTTATAGAGTCGGGTGTTCCGGATCTTGTAACGGTGCTCAATGACAAAGGGGATGCTGAAAAAGAGAAGAAAAAGAAAGAGAAGGAGAAGGAGAAGGAGAAGGAAAAGGAAAAGAAGAAAAAGGAGAAGGAAAAAAAGGACAAGGAAAAGAAGGACAAGGAGAGTAAGAGCAGTGACAAGACGGGCGCTGCTGATGCGGCGAACCAGGTAACTGCTAAAGGGGATGCTATCGGGGGCCCCGCTGTCGAGGGCGATACGAACCAAGATCCCACGGCTGGTTCAAACGGTCCGGAGGAGCAAGGTGTCGGCAAGTCTCCACCTGCCGACGAGGAGTCAGGGAACGGCAAGGGGACAAAAGTTTCGCAACCTCCTTCGCCAAAAGAGTCGCCCGATGAATCGCCAGACGAGCCTTCCAGCAGCCAGTCGCAGGAGCCGAAGGAGTCGCAGAAGTCGCAGGAAAGCTCGAAAAAGTCTGCGGCAACGCCTGAAAAGCCGCCCGCTAACGAAGCAGCGCCGAAAACGACGCCGAAACCGGCACCGGAACCCGCGCCGGAACCCGCGCCGGAACCTGCGGCGGAACCACCGCCGCAACCGGCGCCAGAACCAACCCCAGCCGTAGATGGCAATTCCAATCTGGCGGTGGGGGATGCGGGAGGGGGTTCAGGGGACAACAGCACGGAAGCTTCGTCGAACGAGCAGGGCCCGTATGACGGATCGACGGGAGATAAGGGCGTGCAGGAGTGGAACGGAGGGTCGAAAGATGACGGAAAAGATGGCGGAAAAGATGACGGAAAAGGAGACGGAAGCGATGGAGGGGCGCAAGGGAAGGGCGGGGCGGAAACCGCCGGGTTCAAGATGAAAGACGTGAAGCGCGCCAATTCCGTGAAGCCGCAGAAGATCGACGGCTGGTTCGCAATTCACGATGGTTACAGTGGCGAAGCTTCGGCGCTAAAGTCGGCTGACGTCATCTTCTATGGCGACTCGCTCATAGAGGTACAATAGATACTATACAGAGTGGGGCAGGTGTTATACATTGAGGCACTAAAGTTATAATACAGAGGGAGGCTAATGATACTATAGAGATGGCTCACTGTGTGATACCAAGGAGGGTTGAAAGAGGAAGGCAGTCCGGAATGGGTGCTGAAGTTGGGTTTCTTGGCCTTTCTGTGCAGGGATGGAGCGAGAAGTTTCTGGGAAGGCAGCTGGGACTCTACGCTGGTGTCAGGTACAATGCAGAAACTTTTAATTTTCTCTCTTTATTCTTTTCTTTGTTGGTGCTGCCGGCGAAGGGTCTGTCCTAAGGGTGCTGTTTCTAGCATTGGCATGCACCTGCATAGTGCGCATGCTTCCGCTTGTTGATGTTTGGCCAATTGTTGTCTAAGAATCCTCAACCATCGTTTCTGTGCCTGCGTGCTGCTGCTGCTGCTGCTGCTGCTGCTGCGTGTGGCTGCAGCGCCGTATTCGATGCTCTCAAGGCGTCTCTCGGTGCGGGGAGGGAGGTGCGGGCGTTTGGGATTGCTGGCGACACAACGGACGACCTTATATGGAGGCTGGAGGTGCGGATTACCGTGTGTGTGTGTGACTGTTGTGACTGACTGGGTGACTGTGTGGCTGTGACCGTGTGTGACTGCTGGTGCTGGCGACACAAAGGACGACCTTATATGGAGGTTGGAGGTGCGGAATACAGTCAGTGTGTGTGTGTGTGTGTGTGTGTGTGTGTGTGTGTGTGTGTGTGTGTGTGTGTGTGTGTGTGTGTCTTGCTTCCTACCAATGCCCCAACGTTCCCTCATTTCTCCTCTTTCCCTCATTTCCTGTCCTTTCCTCCTCTCTCCTCTCTTTTTCCTCCCCTCCCCTCCCCTACCCACCTCTCCCTCCTCTCCTACCCTATCCTCTCACCTCCTCTCCTCCCCTCCTCCCCTCCCTCTCCCCACTTCTCACGCCGTGACCCCAACACCCAAGCAGAACGGTGAGCGCCCATCCTCTCTCAGCCTCACGCTGGCAGTGGACTGCGTGGACATACGTGGGCATAAACGACGTTTTCGAGTCTCTTCTTGTCAACCCCCCTTCTATTCTTCACTCCCACTCTTCCCCTTTCTATCCCCTTCACCCAAGCAGAACGGCGAGCGCCCATCTTCTCTCAGCCTCACTCTGGCAGTGGTCTGCGTGGGCATTAATGACGTTTTCGAGTCTGCTACTAACGGAGGCGTGGACGCGCAGGCGATTGCTAATAAGGTTCGGCTTCTGAAGTATACTTTTCTGCTCTCTCAAGTTGAAGTGGAAAGTAAAGAACCAAATGTTTAGTATTCGTTCTTACCTAACTATAACGGGTTTGCGTTTGCAGTACTGTACAAGAGTATCGAGTTGTCTCGAATTCGGCTTTTGGTTGAAAGCGAAACTACCTCCCTGCTTGGACCCCCGTGCGTTTCTTTGCAGATTGACGATGTGGTAACCGCAATTCGCGCATCACAACCCACAACGAAAGTGCTCGTCCTTGGCCTGTTACCTGAGGTGAGCTTTCTATTCAACAGCTTATTTATGTTGTCTATTTTAAGCTGGCTTCAAAAGCGTAAGCACAGTGGAAGTAGCAGGAACATGACATGTAGACCGAGGGAACAGCATTTAGGAAAAACGAGAATAGTTAAAAATAACCTCAAAACAATACCCTTCCCACTCTCCCCACCCTCCCTCTCCCGGCCCCCTCCCACTTCCCTTGCACCTCTCTCCGGGGGTACCTTTCCAAGTCAACACAACCAGAACCCCAGCCAGGGCAAGTCAACGCCATTCTCAAATTCCCTTCCACCCTCCTTGCACCCTGTTTCCAACCTCTTTCACCCTCTACCTTCACACCCTCTCTCCAGGGGTACCTCTCCAAGTCATCACAACCAAATCCCCAGCCAGGGCAAGTCTACGGCATTCTCAAAATACCTTCCACCCTTCTTGCACCCTGTTTCCAACCTCTTTCACCCTCTTCCTTCACACCCTCTCCCCAGGGCTACCTCTCCAAGTCATCAGAACCAGATCCCCAGCCAGGGCAAGTCGACGCGGTTCTCGCACAGTCAATTCCAGGTCAGCTGCTGGTAGTAGTTCTGTCTTAGTGGCAAGTCAACGCTGTTGCCCTACTGTCAATTACAGGTCAGCTGTTGCTAGCAGTGTCTTGAGTGTCAAGTCAACGCTGTTCTCACATAGTCAAACACAGGTCAGCTGCTGGCAGCAGTTCTGTCTTGAGTGGCAAGTCAACGCCGTTCCCCCACAGTCAATTATAGGTCAGCTCTTGCTAGCAGTGTCTTGAGTGGCAAGTCAACGCCACTCCATTCTCTGTACCCATTCCAATCTTATTTCATCATTTTGTCGCTCTGGCGCTGTGCTTATAAAGATCTGAAACACTTGTTATTCACGAGTACCCTACCCTTGACTTGCTTCTCCTGTCTCGATGCAGATGGCACGAGCACCTACTTCCTAGATTGTAAGGATGCGTTCCTTAACGAGGATGGCCTTCTGCTTGAAGACCATTACATCAGTGTAAGCCGTTGCCTGTAATAAGTGTCGGGGAAGACTATGCATACAGCCATGGGTCAAGTGGTGTATAACGGCGTGTCTCTGCCAAGTGTGAATGCAGCATTATATCTCCCTATGCCCCCTTTTCCCCCCCTTCCCCCCCTCACTCCTTCTCACAGGACTCTTTCCAGCGCCTACACCTCTCAGCAGCAGGCTACGACGCATGGGCCAGATGCATCGCCCCGCAAGCCCAGGCCATCCTTGGGTAAGTCTGAATATATTCATGTATTTAAATATATGACTAATAAATATATTTATTATTATTATCCCGCCATCTTTTTCCCTTTCCGCCATCTTCCTCTTGTCTCATCCTCCTGTAGGCCTGCCTCATTGCTTTTCCCTTCTCCAGACCCAGGGCGGTGGCACATCCTTTTCCATCTCATTGCTTTTCCCTTCTCTTCTCCTCTTCCTTCCTCCCGCACCCCACAGGGAGAAGCCTGTAGGCCTGCCTGTGGCAACACCTCCAGCCCAGGGCGATGCCAGCAGCCCCAACGGCCCTCCTGGTGACTCTCCTCCTTCGCTCCCCTCCCCTTCCCCTTCCTCACCCTCCTCACCATCCTCTGCCTCCTCTCCCTCCTCTCCGTCATCACCTGGATCACCTTCATCTCCCTCTCCCTCCTCCCCTTCCTCTCCCTCAACTTCTGACTCGCCTCCCTCTGCGTCATCGCCTCCCTCATCCCCTTCCCCTTCTCCTTCCACTCCCTCCACTTCGCCCTCATCCCCTTCCCCTTCTCCTTCTTCTCCCTCCACTTCGCCCTCCTCTCCCTCCACTTCCCCTTCTTCCCCCTCTCCTCCCACCACCAACACCTCCTCCCCGGACCCTGCTCCCCCACCCAAATCTCCCGATTCGAACAAGAAACCTCCCACATCACCCGATCCCCTCCCCCCTACACCTTCCTCCCCCTCCACCACTCCCGCTGATCCCTCCTCCAACTCAACTACCCCTGAAGAGCCTTCCTCCGCTTCACCTTCCCCAAAAAACCTTCCGAAAAACCTTCCAAAGGACCTTCCAAAAAGCCTTCCTCCCCTGCTCTTACCCCCCAAAATAGCTCCTACCCGACTCTCCCTGGAGAAATACCCGCCACTCTTACGCCTATCCCTTCCTCCTCTTCTCCAACCCCCCCTTCCTCCACTCCTAGCCCCCCCACCTCCGCTCCAACCCCCCCCACCTCCGGTCCTCCAACCCCTGTGATGGAATCAAACCACACCATGTCTCCTAAGAAAGAATCATCAACAGGGGGTGCTAATGGTGCTGGCTCTGGTGCTGGTGACTCAACAACTGATAACGGCACTGCTGGTTCTGGTGCAGCTGGTGCAGGTGCTGGTGGTGGTGTCGCCGGTGCCAGTGCTGCTGGTGTTGGTTCCGGTGTTGCCGCTGCTAGTGGTGGTTCAGCCATTCCTGCAGGCCAAAGCGCCTCGAAAGCAGCAGCAGGAGCTGAAGCCAACTTAGGCAGGTGGCAACTGCTGATCAGTTCCCTCCTGGGCCTCGCTTGTACTTTATTCTTGGGGGTGTGGTGATGGACGGAACCAATGGAAGGCTGAGCAGCAAGAGCTGCAGCTAGCTTTGGCGGGTGGCAGCTGCTGGCAGCTATCATCCAGCTTATTTGCTCGGGGTTTTCTTCTAGGCTGTGCTCTGCCGTGTTGTGATGTGTCATATAGTAGGATTTAGTGTTGTGCAAGTTAGCTCCTTGGTGCAGTGTAATGTAAGGCATATAAGTAATGAAGTGTTAAACATAGTAACTTAGGAGATTAGGGCTTAAGGGAGGGACTAGGAACGATGGCGAGGAGTTTGGCCAAAAGAGAGAGGTTGCACTAGAAAGAGTGGTACAAGATATAGGCAAGGCAAAGGGTACACCACCAGCAGTTGATATAACTAACCTAATACACTAGTAAGCTGTAGGCAGGTATAAGATATGCAATATAAATTAACACACCCCCGTAACTGCCTACGGCTATAGCTAGTGGTGTCTGGTAGCAGGTCGCCTGAAGAGCAGTTGCTGTAGCTGGGATACGCACAGAAACAGCGGTGGCTGATCGGCAGCACCTCTGACTGCCAGAACGGAGAGAGGAGAGCGTAGGCTGCCGGTGTTACACACCAACGGTTGGATAGGAGGAGGAAGCGTGGCGGAGGGCGTAGGCTGCCGGTGTTACACACCAACGGTTGGATAGGAGGAGGAAGCCGGTGGTGTACATGAGGCGGATGAGAGGAGCAAACAAGCGGAGGAGGAGGTGGCTGGAGGAGAGGAGATGGGAAGAGGAGAGGACAGGAAGTGCAGCGGAAGGAGGAGGAGAAGGGGAGGCGGCTGCCTTCAAATACCCGCCACCCCCACACCCTCTTCCCCCCCCCCCAACGCGGCACGCACTGCAAATGCACGGGCAGCGATGATGAGGAGGATGAGGGAGGGGCGGGAGGATTCAAGGGGGCTTAAGCACCCCCGTAGCCGCGGGCGCGAGCCCCGCAACCTCACCCCCGCAACGTCCACCGTAGAAGAGAGCGGCGGCAGGTGCGGAGGCGAGGAGCGGGGTAGCAATGGCGGGGGCGCTGGCGGCCGCTGCTGGCGCTGGCGCATGTCGCTGGCGCTGGCGCAGGTGACCGGCGCAGGCGCTGGCGCTGGCGATTGCAACAATCGCTGGCGCACGGCGCTGGCGCTCGCGCAGGCGTCCGCGACGGTCGGAGGCGCTGGCGACGGCGTCCACGGCCATCGGCGGGGCGACGCTTCAGTGCGCGGGACGGGGCGACCAGCGCGTGGGGCTGGCAGGACGAGGCGGGCAGCACGACGGACGTGAGGCGCCATCGCGTCCATCGCGACCGTCATGCTGTGCGCCGTGACGAGCGCCACGACGGGCGCGACAGGAGCTGCGACGAGCAGCGCGACGGGGGGAGCGATGGCTAACGGCGGGCTCATGAAAATAAAGTGGCCTAGGATCAGGCCAGCTCTGATACCATGTTAAACATAGTAACTTAGGAGATTAGGGCTTAAGGGAGGGACTAGGAACGATGGCGAGGAGTTTGGCCAAAAGAGAGAGGTTGCACTAGAAAGAGTGGTACAAGATATAGGCAAGGCAAAGGGTACACCACCAGCAGTTGATATAACTAACCTAATACACTAGTAAGCTGTAGGCAGGTATAAGAGATGCAATATAAATTAACATGAAGCCCAACGTTACCTGGCAAATGTTGTGTTGTGTACTACTGGATATTCTCCTTGTGCCCAAGCCTGTAACTTAGAACAGTATTGGTGGGCTTGAGTGGTCACTTCTTTTCGAAGATGGATAAGAGCTGGTGGAGACTTGGTGTAGTTCTAGGTGCCTCAAAAGTTCCTCCTTTCTGTCAAATGTTATAGCCTATTGTGGGTCATGCTATATGGGGTACAAACAGTTAGGGTTAGGCATATGTACCCCAACCCAATCAATGCTACTCATTCCGCTGTATTCTGTTTCTGAGATGGTATCAGCAGTAGGTTAGCCGTTCCTAAGCCACGCCCAGTATCCGCCGTTCCTAGGCCCCGCCCAGTATCCGCCGTTCCTAGCCTTAGGCCGTCTCTAGCCTTGGCGTACCTTCCCTCCTCCCCGTCTGCCCTATTCGCGCTAGCCAGCCCGTACGCCAGCGCCCTAGCCAGCCCGCGCGCCAGCGCGCACGCTAGCACGCACGCCACCGCGTACGCTAGCAGCGCGCACGCCAGCGCGCCACGCCAGCGCGCCACGCCAGCGCGCCACGCCAGCGCGCCACGCCAGCGCGCCACGCCAGCGCGCACGCCAGCGCGCCACGCCAGCGCGCACGCCAGCGCGCTGCGCCAGCGCGCACGCCAGCGCGCCACGCCGACGCACACGCCAGCGCGCTACGCCAGCGCGTCACGCCGACCAGCGCGCCGCGCGGCCCGCCAGCCAACGCGCCGCGCCGCTCACCAGCCAGCGCGCCGCGCCTTCCGCCAGCCAGCGCGCCGCGCCGCCCGCCAGCCTGTGCACCGCGCCACTCGCCTGTCCGCATGCCGTGCCGCCTGCCCGCTTGCACGCCTGCGTGCCTGCTCACACGCCTCTGACTGTCTCACCCTCCCGCGGCTGGCAGCCGCATTCTCTCACTTTCGCCCCCTATAGCGACCTCCCGAGTTCTTCGCTTTGACCCTGAGGGGAGACCTGTTGACTTTAGTACGTGGCTTACGCAGGCGCAGCGCCACCTTAAGAGCCAGCGGCAGGATGGCGTGCACCTGTTCGCACACGCGTCCGGCGCTCAGACCGCCCCTCTGCAGCCTCGGCCGCTGCCCACTACCCCACCGCCTGCTCCTGAGCTAGAGGCCGAGTACCAGCGCCAGCTCCTCGCTCGCGACGTGTGGGAGTCTCGTGACGCCGCTGCCTGCCTCGCCCTGACCGACCTTCTTCCGTCGACAGAGGCAGCCCACTTCGCTCAGGTCGAGTCTGCTGCAGATCTGTATAAGGCTATTGTTGCTCGCTACTCTACTCCCTCCTCTGCGTCGCTCAGTCGCCTCCTCGTACCCTTTATTTACCCTGACCTCGCCTCCTTTGAGACTGTCTCAGACCTTGTTACCCACCTTCGCTCCCTTGACGCTCGCTTTCGCGCTGCTTGCACTGAGGACCAGCTTGCCCTTGCCCCGCCCCCTATGTGGCTTACTATTCACTGGCTAGTCACTCGCCTCCCTGACCGCCTAGCCACAGCCCGCGACGCGCTTCTTCTGACGCACCCCACTGAGCTTACCATCGATCTTCTTGAGACTGCTCTCTCGAAGATCGAGAGTAACCTCCTCACCGTTGCCTCTGCCTCTTCCGCGCCTCCTCCTCGACTTTTTGAGGGGTGCGCAGTACCACAGCTTCCCATTTTCTCTACCTCCCTTGCCACTCCCACGTCTTCTGCCTCTGAGGAGACGGCGGCTGTTTCTGTCTCTGGCGGACAGAAACGTGGCAAGGCCGGCAAGAAGGGCGGGAAGGGCGGCGGGGGTACTGGAGGTGGTGCGGGTAGTGGCGGTGGCGGTGGAGCAGGTGGTGGGAGTGGTGGTGGGGGTGGCTCGGGACCTGACGGCCCTCCTTTCGACGGTGGAGTTTTCACTGGTGGTGAGGGGTTCCAGCAGCAGCAGCAGCCGACTCCTCAGCAGCTGCCACCGCCTGGACAGCAGCAGCGGCAGGGACAGCAGCAGCAGCAGCGACAGGGCCAGCAGCAGCGCCTACCGCAGCAGCAGCCTCAGCAGTGGGGCCCTCCGCAGCAGTGGGGCCCTCAGCAGCAGTGGAGGTCTGCTGGTCCCCCGAGCACTGGGCGCAGTGGCGCCCCCTCCAGTCGGGGACCTCGCGCGGCCGGCCGCGACGTTGGTCCCTGTGAGTACTGGATCCTTACGGGTCCTCGTAGGGACACGTACTGTGGCCGCCCCGACCACTCTGCTGCACGCTGCTTCAGTCGTCTCGACGACCTCTACCGCTTGCACCACGGCCCCTCCGC